GGGAAGTTGATTAATCCCGCATGGACCTAGATACCTCACGTCATGGCTCCCTTTCGGTGCCTCTCATCATCCCTTCTAGCTCCTTCCTAGTACGGGATCTTAGTGTCCGGCTGGAGGCATTCCACGTTGGACCGTGACGGACTCGCGACTATTTATTCCTCTATTTCCCCTGATTTCCCTGCACTTTTTTCTCTTTGTTCTCCATCCATCTTTGCGGCTCTTGGTTCTCTCCGCAACAATGAAGCTCGGCTGGTTGGAGTTTGTTGCCGTCACGGCCTCGGTGGCCCAGGCTAAGGTAGGCCATCGCCAGTTAATACTCTATGGATCTTTTTAACCATTCGATCATTAGGATCTCGCGTACTCGCCCCCCTACTATCCCTCGCCATGGGCCGATGGTCAACCCGCCGAATGGTCCGACGCGTACAAACGCGCCGTTGATATCGTCTCCAACATGACTTTGGCGGAAAAGGTCAACTTAACGACTGGCACTGGGTGCGTCGCATAAACATCAATGGTGTTGGATCGTCGCTGATAATTTATAGCTGGCAATTGGAAGAATGTGTTGGTCAGACTGGTAGCGTTCCTAGACTTGGTATCTGGGGTATCTGTCTGCAGGACTCGCCTCTTGGTATCCGTTACGGTATGACTCCCTTGTATACTTTGATCGCATTGAGCCATGGGCTAACAATTTCCAAGGCGACCACAGCTCTGGCTTCCCCGCTGGTCTCAACGTCGCCGCCACCTGGGACCGCAAGCTCGCCTACCTCCGTGGTGAGGCTATGGGTCAAGAATTCAACGACAAAGGAATTGACGTCCAATTGGGTCCCGTTGCTGGCCCTATCGGCAGATCCCCCGATGGCGGTCGCAACTGGGAAGGTTTCGCTCCTGACCCGGTCCTGACCGGTGTGCTCATGGCCGAGACCATCAAGGGCATCCAGGATGCCGGTGTCATTGCTACTGCTAAGCACTACATTGGCAACGAGCAGGAGCATTTCCGTCAGGTTTCCGAGGCTCTCGACTATGGCTACAACATCACTGAGACTGTCAGCTCCAACATCGACGACAAGACCATGCACGAGCTCTACCTGTGGCCTTTCGCCGATGCTGTTCGTGCCGGTGTCGGTTCCGTCATGTGCTCGTACAACCAGATCAACAACAGCTACGGCTGCCAGAACAGCTATTTGCTGAACAACCTGCTCAAGCACGAGCTGGGCTTCCAGGGGTTTGTTATGACCGACTGGGGTGCTCACCACAGCGGTGTCGCCTCCACCCTTGCTGGTACTGACATGTCGATGCCCGGAGATATCTCGTTTGACGATGGTATGTCATACTTCGGTCCCAACCTGACTGTAGCTGTTCTCAACGGTACCGTTCCCGAGTGGCGTGTCGACGACATGGCCGTTCGTATCATGTCTGCTTTCTACAAGGTTGGCCGTGACCGCCAGCGCACGCCTCCCAACTTCAGCTCGTGGACCAACGACGAGTACAGCTACGCCCACTCCGCCGTCCAGGAAGGCTGGAAGCAGGTCAACCAGCACATCAATGTCCAGTGCAACCACTCCGAGATCATCCGTGAGGTAGGCGAAGCTAGCACTGTTCTCTTGAAGAACAAGGGTGCTCTTCCTCTGACTGGCGACGAGGGCTCCGTTGGTATCCTGGGCGAAGATGCCGGGTCCAACCCGTACGGCGCCAACGGCTGCGAGGACCGTGGATGCGACGATGGTACCCTTGCGATGGCCTGGGGTAGCGGTTCTGCCGAATTCCCTTACCTGGTTACTCCCGAGCAGGCTATCCAGAATGAGATTCTCAACCGGGACGTCAAGCACCCCGTCTACGCCGTCACCGACAACTGGGCTTTGGATCAGATGGCCTCCATTGCCTCTCAATCCGATGTTTCTCTTGTCTTCGTCAACGCCAATGCTGGTGAGGGTTTCCTCGTCGTGGATGGCAACGAGGGTGACCGCAACAACATTACCCTCTGGAAGAACGGCGAGAATGTCATCAAGACTGTCAGCGAGAACTGCAACAACACCATTGTGATCATGCACACCGTCGGACCCGTCCTCATCGACCAGTGGTATGACAACCCCAACATCACCGCCATTGTCTGGGCTGGTCTGCCTGGTCAGGAATCCGGAAACGCCATTGCTAACGTTCTCTACGGCCGTGTCAACCCTGGTGGCAAGAGCCCCTTCACCTGGGGTAAGAGCCGTGAGGCGTACGGTGCCCCGCTCCTCACCGAGACAAACAACGGCATCGGCGCTCCTCAGGTCGACTTTACCGAGGGTCAGTTCATCGACTACCGGCGCTTCGACAAGTACAACGAAACCCCTATCTACGAGTTCGGCTACGGTCTGAGTTACACCACCTTCAATTACTCCAACCTCCACGTCCAGGCCCTGAACGCCTCCAGGTACGTTCCCACCACTGGCAAGACCAGCGCCGCGCCCAAACTTGGTGAGGTTGGCAAGGCTTCGAACTACGTCTTCCCCGATGGATTTGAGCGAACCACCAAGTTCATCTACCCCTGGTTGAACTCGACCGACCTGAAGGAGTCCGCCAACGACCCCGAGTACGGCCTCGAGATCTCCAAGTACATCCCCGAGAACGCCCAGGACGGATCCGCCCAGCCCCGTCTGCCAGCCAGCGGCGGCCAGGGAGGCAACACCGGTCTTTACGACGAGCTCTTCCGCGTCTCTGCCACCATCAAGAACACCGGCAAGGTTGCAGGTGACGAAGTGCCCCAGCTGTATGTCTCGCTCGGTGGCCCCAACGAGCCCAAGGTTGTCCTGCGCAACTTTGACCGCATCACCCTCCAGCCTGGCCAGGAGGTTGTGTGGTCAAAGACTCTTACCCGTCGTGACCTTTCCAACTGGGATGTTAGCGCTCAGGACTGGGCTATTACGCAGCATACAAAGAAGGTGTTTGTTGGTAGCTCGTCGCGCAAGCTGCCTTTGCGGGCTTCGTTGCCTCGCGTGCAGTAGTTATATGGTGTTACGATTGATGTACAGATATGATTAACTGTAGTATATGCCTTTTTGGTTTGATACATTTTTAATTCCATACATTCATTGAGTAAAAGTACTTGCTTGAAACTGTAGTTGTATTTGCACTGATCTTATCAAGCTTCCCAGGCCGTTTGAAAACCCGAATATGGGAAGGTCCCGATGTCGATCAGTCAAAGACCGAGGGTCGTATCAAATCGATTAGTGATGATTCCACACCTGGATGACAGTAATCCCCATTGGTGTCATCTCGCATGAGAACGCCAACAGACTTCAGGAAAACATGTTACGGCAATACAAATGATGGAAGCCTGTACTGCAGGAATCAGTAAACACAGTAGAGAGCCCTCGGTCATAGATATTGTGGTGTTTCTACGTAGACCGTTGAACTGTATCTGCCTGTTGAGACGGAAGACCCAAAAATTCGACTAATAAACGCGCAAAATCAATTCTGTTGGGGCACGAACAGTTTAACTTTATTATGACATGGCGTTCACATGCTGATCTTCGACCAGCCGAGCCGAACGAGTATATAATTGTATGGATTGAGAATGCTCAACGCTCTCATACAACGACTCTGCATCAGTTACCGCGCACCATGTCTACTACACGCAACCCCAAAGACTCGATGAAATCCACCTGGCGCCAATGGGATCGAAACCAATGGCACATATCCCACTGGCTCTTGGAACTCCTCAACATCCATCATGTCGGCCTTGACGAAAATGTCCCAGTGCACCAAAAAACAGACAAAGTCCCCTATGCCCCAGAATGGCAATTCCACCGCTGGGTCCTCATCCACGCCTTCATCCCCCTCGCCCTCCACCAGGCCTACACTTCTTATTCCGGTCACAACCTGCCAACACTGGTGGCCTATGTGTACTACAGTCTCTCGCTAAAGGCCATCGGCGTGCACCAGCTCCACGTTCTCCGGCGTGTCGGGCAACGATATGGGTTCTTCGACGGCGACAAGCACGCCCGTGATGGCGTCCCTGATGTAGGCGTGTGGAAGACTGCCCGCTCACTTCTTTCCGTCATTGCCTTCCGGCCCATGATAGTCAGCCTGCTCGCCTACCAACCCAACGAGCGCCCCTCGTCAATCAACTGGCTATCCCTCCCCCTAGAAATCGCCATGTACGCAATAGTCCTCGACTTCTGGTACTACTGGTACCACCGGGTGATGCACGAGAACCTTACCCTCTGGCAATTTCACCGCACCCACCACCTAACTAAGCACCCAAACCCCCTCCTAACCAGCTACGCGGACTCAGTCCAAGAGTTCTTCGATATCATCGGCATCCCCCTTCTCACATACGCCAGCATGAAGATGCTAAGCTTTCCGATGGGCTTCTACGACTGGTGGGTGTGTCAGCAGTATGTGATTTTCACAGAGCTACTGGGGCATAGTGGGCTAAGGATCGAGGCTACCGCGGTGAACCCTTTGACTTGGGTTTTAAGGGCGTTGAAGATGGAGCTTGTTATTGAGGACCATGATCTCCATCATCGGAGGGGGTGGAAACAAAGCCATAATTATGGGAAGCAGACAAGGGTTTGGGACCGGGTTTTTGGGACGACGATTCCGCGTGTTGAGGGTTGGGAGGGAAATGTTGATTATGTTAATACTGCGGAGATTCCGCTTATTTGATTAATTTCATATTTTTATGATATGTATTCTAAATGTATTGATATGGCGTGGTGGTCAATAGGCGTTCTTATGGTCTTTTCTTCGACATCAACCAACCCTATGCTATACAGGTCATATATACCACAATTAAATTTTAAGCACTCAATCACACATTCTAGGCCTGGGAACTAAAGCCATGTTCTCGTAATTCACGCTCTGTCTATTGTCACAATTCCTCCGTCTTGTGTTCATCGCTCATAATGTCCATCCTGTCTGTCTCCTTGAAAAATGGAATGTAGTATGCAACGCTCTCGACCTCGTCAGAATGAGCGGTATTCGCCCAGATCTGATCCAATGCGCTTGTGGGAATATCAACCGTCACTGTTCTAGTGATAATATGGTTGAAAATGGACGACAAAATCGGGTTCGCTGCCATTCCACCGCCAATACTCGTCTACACAAGGCCCGGGTGGAGCGCAACAGACTTGAGGTGAGGATATCGTTTGGCATAGGACTTGGTGAAGTATATATTAGCGAGTTTCGACTGGGCGTAACAGGTCGTGGTGCTGATTTCGGTAAGTGGTGTCTTGACATGACTGAGAAGACCGCCCTTGGAGGCCATCGATACATCCTCGTGGGGTTGCGTTTGGCCAACTGGATTATACATTCTCTACTGAGGCCATTGTTGCCTCCGGTCACTAGGATGACCTTCCCATCTAGGTCTGGGATGTCTTTTCCAAACACTTCCACTGAAGTCAACGTTGTGCTCTTCGGCACACAGGATGTTAAGAAGTAGCTGAATCCTACAACCTTCTTATGCACCTTCTATCTGAAACAGCACGCCAGCAGCATCATTGATTAGTGAACATTCCGAACCAGTATAATCGACTTTCAATCACCCCGTCGGACTGAATCACCCCGTCCATTTTCTTGCTGGCGCAGGTTCTTGGTCAGTGTGTCCTGTCACCTATCACAGTAGTGAAGGCATTCCCGTAGGTCATTTTCAGATTTCAACACTGTAAATCGTGAATAGGTGTCGAAACAGCTTTACGCTATTTATAGTTCGGTAAAAGTACACTGTACTGCATTTGCACATGCTGTCGGCGACGTCATTTTCCCGGCCGAGCACAACCTGGAAAAGAACGTCACTCCGCCAACCGATAAAATCACCTTCAATCCCGTACACTTCTACACTACTTGTACACCCTACTTGTACACTACACTTATTCCAATTCTTATGAACTCTCTACTCAATTCTCTCACTCGAGATTGAGAATAACACGCATACCCAAACAAACGAGAGATAACAATGGCCACCCGCGACAAATCTCCCCCTTCCACACCAACAACAACACCACCACCAAAAACACACGCCTCCTCCCACCAAATCCCCCCAATCGCCCTCATAGTCTACCCTATAACCCTCCTAGTTGGCTCCCTCTACTCTTCCATCTCACCGACCGCCCGGTTCCCGCACGCCCACCCGGCACCCCTAGCCCCCTCGATCGCAACAGACATAAACCTCTCCTCGCCTCCGGAAAGCCCGGTAAACTACTTCGCGCGGAAGGACAATGTCTTCAATGTGTATTTCGTGAAAATCGGCTGGCTATGGCTTACGCTCGCGTTCGCATCACTACTCATCTCGCAACCCGTCTACCGTAAGACGGCTACTTCCTCGGGACGCCTCACCCAGGCAACCGTACGCTACGCCCTCGCAACAACAGCATGGTATTTAATGACACAATGGTTCTTCGGTCCACCGGTTATCGATCGCAGTTTTGTGATCACAGGCGGTGGCTGTGAGCGTGTTGCTAGTGGTGTTGCGGGTGCTGCACAGGCGGCCACGGGGGCGGGAGAAGTCGCGGCGTTAGAATCTGTGCTTACGGCGGCGGCTTGTAAAGCTGCAGGGGGGAAATGGGCTGGGGGTCATGATGTTAGTGGGCATGTTTTCATGTTGGTTGTCGTGACGGGGGTGCTTGTTTGTGAGGGTGTGGGGGTTGCCGGTGATGCGATTTGCAAGGCACTGTCGTTTTCCACCGGTGAAGAGGGGAATAGGAAAGATGAGGATGAAGGAGAGAAAGGGCGCGTTTGGGTGTTGAGGTTCGTACTTGCGGTTGCGGGGTTGGGATGGTGGATGTTGTTTATGACAGCGATTTGGTTTCATACGTGGTTGGAGAAGGTTTGTCTTTGCTTACTGGCTTTTATTGGTGTGATGTGGGCTAACTGGACAGTGGTCCGGATTGACGATTGCGTTGGGAACGCTTTATGCGATTTATTTCCTGCCGAGAAAGGTGCCGGCGTGGAGGAAGGTTGTTGGGATGCCGGGTGTTTAAGCATATATATGGTGAGTCTTTTGATTAGTTTGCTTTATAAGTGCTAACGGCTGAAGTCATTTCTACATACAGGCCTACAATGATTTACAAACGTGTACAATAAGTATGCTGCAACATAATAAATAGTTATTTCCCTAGTATCGACTTGGGTTCCGGACCGAAATACCCATATTGAAAAGCTGCATCGTCAGCACACTAACCCAAATCCCTCAAATGAAGAAGAAAGAACTCACCCCCCGGCATCAACGCAGTGGCATACATAACCCTCGTGATCGGCCTTAAATCATCATGCATCAAATCCGACGACATCGTCAACTCCATATACGGATCCCATGCGGCGATAATCGCATCCGCGTAGTGCTTCAGATCAACGGCGCGATCTTTCTCGGTTGATTGCTGGGACTGGCACTGCGCGCCAAGTGAGGTGCCGAATTCGCGGAAGGCGAGGCGGTATTTGATGTTTCGTTCGAGGTACCGATTTATTTCAAAGAGGTCGTCTATTTCATCAGCTGGAATAATGGAAATGGGACGAGGGGAGTGGGACATACAAAGCTGCTCAAAACACCTCCCCGCCAATCTAGCAGCCCACTCCTCCCTTTCCGAAAACCAATGCGCAGTCCAAAGCGTCATCCCCAAATCCAACGGATCACTCGACACAAAATGCTCCCCTTTACGGGCCATAACCCGTTGATAATCATCAATCTCCTCGCTCAACACTCCCTCCCCAGCTGCCCCCTCAAACCTAACCGCAGCAGCCTGCAGCAACCGAAACACAACAAACCCATCAATCGGATCCAGATTTCCCTCGGACTGCACAAGCGGCACTGATAAATCCATCGCCATCTTCCAGACCATTCTCGGCCGGTTAGATTCCCGATTCACGAAAAACCGCGGATGAATTGCTTTCGCTAGCGCCACGGCTTGGCGGTTATATTTAGGGTCACCAGTCGCCATGGACAATCTGTTAAGCGCAAACATCCACACCGTCAAATAATGATGATACTGCCCATCCCCATCCATCCCACCCTCTTCTTCCTTCCCGATCCGCAACCCTCCACCAACCACATTCTCCTCGTTAGCCCCAGGCAGTCTACTTATCCCATCCCTCGTCTTCCCCAGAACATCATGCACAACCTCAACCAACCGTTCTGCCATAATCAGATACCGATTTTTCTCCTTCTCAGATGTGTTCGCTGTGAGATCCAGCGTATTCGTGTACTCGCGATGCATGGTGAGGAGGTTCAGCACCCCGTAAGCATCAGTCCAGAGATAGCGGCCGCGATGGCCGCCAGATTTGCGCGGTGGTATCCAAGCATTCGGGTCTGGGATGCTGGTGAAGGGGCCGTAGACGGATTCGAGAGATTGTTGGAAGCGGTCGAGGCGTGGGGAGGGGGAGTAGATTGGGGTTCCCATTTTGGTTGTATAAAGATTTTTGTAACAGGGTTTGGTTGTAGAAAGCAGGGGTTTGAGTTTTAGTGGACTGGAGAGGAAGCATGCCTTTTTATTGAGTGGTATAGTGAGGTACGGAGTACTAAGGAGGCACTGAAGTCATAATGACCCCGGGGCGATTGGAGCGGTTGACGAGTGGGTGATCTCATTGTTTTACGGCGATATAACGCGGTCCTCCCTACCCTAACCCACTAATTTCTCACTACTCATTATAATAGTCAACCAATGCCCCTTCCCTTCCGCTTATCTAGGCTTTCTACATTCACCACGAACATGGCCCAACTCCAGCAACTGTTTACCGCATCCGCGAAGCCACTACCCGCCATCAGCGATCCCGGCTTCGCATCTCATTTTGATGATTTTGCCAAGTACAAGGTTGTCCTACTGGGCGATGGCAGCCACGGCACATCGGAATTCTACTCTGCGCGCGCAGAAATCACAAAACGCCTTATCTCCCAGCACGGCTACACAATGGTCGCCGTGGAAGCTGACTGGCCCGACGCCGAAGCCGTCGACCGCTACGTACGCCAACGGCCCGGTCCCAAAGCCGGCGTCGGCGGCCACACGACAGACTACGAGCCGTTCAACCGGTTTCCAACGTGGATGTGGCGCAATCGCGAGATGCAGGATCTGTGTGAGTGGATGCGGGACCGCAACTCGAAGCTGCCGGATAGCCAGAAGGCGGGTTTTTATGGGCTGGATTTGTATAGTATGGGGGCATCGATAAGGGCTGTTATCGATTATTTGGATCATGTTGATCCGCAGGCGGGGAAAGATGCGAGGAGACGGTATGGGTGTTTGCAGCCGTGGGTTGATGATCCGACAGCGTACGGACTTGCTTCGTTACGCGGGTTGCAGGATTGTGAGGGACAGGTTATGACGGTGTTGACGGAGATCTTAGAGAGACGGATACAGTATGCGAGGGAGAGTGCCGAGCGCGATGGCGATGAGTTTCACAGCGGCGAGCAGAATGCGTATCTTGTTCGCGACGCGGAGCGGTATTACAAGGCCATGTATTATAGCTCCGCGACGAGCTGGACCTTGCGCGATACGCATATGTTTGATACGCTGCGCCGGCTGTTCCAGCATAATCCCACAGGTAAGGCGATTGTGTGGGCACACAACTCGCACGTCGGCGACGCACGGTATACATCCATGGGAACGCGCCGCAACGAGCTGAACATCGGACAATTGTGCCGTGAGAACTTCGGCCGTGAGCACGTTGCCATTCTCGGCTGCGGAACACACACAGGTACTGTTGCTGCTGCGCACGAATGGGATGATGACATGGAAGTCATGGACGTGCGACCCTCCCGCAATGACTCCTGGGAAATGCTCGCGCATCAAACCGGTATCCCCAGCTTCGTTCTCGATCTTAGGGAAGACAAGATTGACCCCACGCTGAGGGAGGCGATGGAGGCAGAGCCATTACGGCTGGAGAGGTTTATCGGGGTGATTTATCGGCCAGATACGGAGCGGATTTCACATTATTCGCAGGCGTTTTTGCAGGATCAGTTTGATGCGTTCGTGTGGTTTGACCAGACGGAGGCGGTGCATGAGTTGGAAAAGATTCAGCCGGCGACGCCGTTGGGGAAGGGAGAGACGTATCCGTTTGGGCTTTAGTAGTGCCCATATTAGAAGACTATCAAAACTGTTATATCCCCTCATTCCTCGTAGGAGCTGAAGTCATAGTGCCTTACTCCGGTAAAAGTGACCTAGATTGACATCACCGCTCACCGCCTACTGTGTTCAGTGTTTGTTTATACTCGCCTCCCTTTTCGGTCTCCCACAACAGTGAATCACTCACTCCCCTCTACTCTGTACAGTACACCACAAGAAGAGTTTTCTGCTTAATATTATCAATATGGCGGTCCGCCGTTCCGCCCGCTTACGCGCCAGGTCATCCGAGGTGAGTAATCAGGAATGCCACAGCCTGTCATAGATTTCTTCCCTTGTTTGACATTCAACTTCTTGATATCTTTACTCATCGCGTTTCCTTGCTAGGAACCTGAGCCTCAGGCTGAAGCGCCCCAAAACAACGAAAACACCTACGCCAACAGGAACACAAACACAAACACGAACACGAACGAAGCGAAATTACCCCCCGTCATGGAACACGACGAACCTCAATCCACAGAACCCGTCCAGAAGACGCCAGTTCGCAACTCTACCATGAATAAAACACCAAACAAAACGCCCAAATCTGAAAAGAAACCCACCGAAAACAAAACCCCCACGAGCACCGCTGCCACGCGCCCTCCAATGGGCGAAATGCATCCAAGCAAGGTGCACCAGAGCACCACTAAAAAGGTTGACTCCGGATTAATCCTTGGCTTCAACCCAGTCAAGAAAGATGCGAATGGAAATGTTGTCAAGGATACCGTTGGCGAGAATACACCTACCAAAGCCAAGGCGAAGGATTCCCCGGCTAGCCAGTACGGCACTCCCGGCTTCGAGTTCAAGTTTGGATGCCAGGAATCGGAGCTTAGTAGTGAGGCGAAGAAGCTTATGGAGAGTGTGCGTGAGGATGTGGCAAGGATCAAGGCGCAGATGATCCAGGAAAAACAGTCTCAAGCAGCTGGCGAACAAACGCGTGAAGGGGAGAGGAGGATCGCGCAGCCGAAGGGCAGAGCCACTCGGTTTAGTAATGCTCATATGGCCGAGTTCAAGAAGATGGATTCTATTGCTGGCCATCCTTCTGCGTTCAGAGCTGCACCGGGTCGGTTTAAACCGGTGGATGCCACTCAGGGGCTGAAGAGGACCAAGTCCAAGGCGCGTCTTGATGAGCCTGAGAGTCAGAACAACTCGCCGTCGAAGGCTACGCCGTCGAAAGCGACGCCTGTCAGGCCTTCGCCGGCTTCTGCGGCTGGTGCCAAGCGCGTCAAGCATGATAAAACTGATGATGCCTCTACTCGTCGCCCGTCCAAGGAGGGTGATGCCCCGCCGACACCCGCTGCTGCGCCCGCCACTACTCCCAGACGCACTATCGATCCTTTGCGGCGCCGTACCGCCGTTCGTAGCTCCTTGTTGACCCCCACCAGATCCTCAATGGCTCGTGCGTCATCTGCTAGCGTCAAGCCGCCCAAGAAGCCGTCGATGATCCCGGCACCGGCGCAGTCTCCAGTTAGCAAACCTATGGCTGCCCCGCGCACTCCCCAGACTGAATTCAACCCGCGCCTCAAGACCAACTTGCCCAGCTTCGCCAATCTCAAGTCGATCCTGCGTCGTCGCGAGCCTTTGTTCTCGAAAGACCCTGCCAAGATCGCTGCTGGAACGCACTCTGCAGCGCCAGACTTTACTCCTGATCTCTTGTTCAACGGTGTCCATAGTGAGGGTGAAAAGGACGATGCCGCGCAGACGCCTTCGCCCAGGAAACGCGTCGGTTTCTCGCCCAGCGTCAAATCGCCCAACGACCTGCCTCCCGTGTCGCCATCCCCATCTAAGCTTCCGACATCAACACGTCCTACTTCGGACATCACCTACCCCACCTTGCCAGCCTTAACCCCAGAAAAGGCCACTACTTCAAACCCCGGAACGCCCTCAATCCGGCCCGTCCGCCCCTCAACCGTCACTGAAGACAAGACCCTAATGCCAGAAGTCCCGGGTGTAATGCACGGCATTAACAACAAAAAGCGCCACCGCGTGGAACCCGACGAGGCAGAGGCAGACACCGAGAACGTCCCTCCCGCCGACTCAACCACAAACACGAACACATCCGACGAACGCAGCGCAAAGCGCGTCAAACCAAACACACCCGCCAAGCGCCACCAAACCCCGACTCCTAGCCCTGTCAAGGTTCGCACTGGTACACCGTTGCGGCCTGCGAGCAAGATTAGCCGTCCTAGCGGCACTCCTGGAAGCGTGAGCCGTGCTGGTACTGTTACTGCTACTGCTACGCCTGGCAGTGTGAGGAAGAATCGGGTTATGACGAATAGTCGGTTGAACATGTTGGCGCAGCCGAAGCATCGTTAATTCGATACTCATGATTGCATTTATGGAGTTGCACCTAGATTTTAACACATTTCTGAGACGCGTTGGTCATCTCACGTCCAGTCAGTCGGCAAATTTGGTTGAGCTGAGTGTGTTTTATTGTATTTATCACCATTTCGTTTCTTTTTCCGTCTTTTCTCACGTTCATCTTTTGAAATTACAGGCGCTTGGGTGGGTCATATCATCCAATATGCGGGAATGGTGGCTGGCGTTTTTCTTTTTTCTCTTCTTTTACTCCATTTTTCCTGTTTTGTGCTTCGTGTTTGTTTTTGTTCGTCTTGGATGTCAGTCCTCGATTTGTCCTTGGCAATCGAGGAGGGTCGACATTGGAATCATGATAACCACTCGTGCATGTCAGAGTATGATAAATTGAATCGAATTGGTTTGGTTTGTTAATTGAATTATTGAATGAATGAATGATTATGATAAGGTCTGTTTCTTAACTAGTTTGGCACATGGGTGTCTGTCTCTAGTAGACGGCCGTCTACTCTGCACATCAAATCCAACTTATCAGACCAAAGAGCAAATGAAAGTAAAATACATTCCATTCCGTTCATAACCCTCAAACCCGGTGGCAACTAACCGACCCAAAAAATAAATAAATAAATATTCGTAGAATCTGGGATTCTATGTATAAACAATAGGAAAAAATAAAAAAGGGAGTAAAAATACACTGATAAAGCAAAAAAGGAAAAGAGGCATCGCAAAGGCATACATTCATTTCATCTCCATCTCTTGTCTTCTTTTTTCGGTAGTTCTGTTCCCCTGCACTCGCTCACCACTCGCGGCTGTATTAGAATTAGTTGCAATTCGTTTCATAAGCATCATTTCATTTTTTCCCCTTCCTCCATTTCATCCACTCTCTTCAGTTCAAACACCGAACCTCCTCACCCACTTACTCGAAAAGTAGGTCATCCCTTCATACTCGCCAAAAACGAATCCAAATTATACTCCTCTTGGTACTGCCTCTCATCCCACAACTCGCCCAAATCATCCAGCCACCCTTTCTTCCCCTTCTCCTTGACCTCGCCGTCAATATCCACCATGTCGACTTCATTACCTGCCGCGGTAGTTGTGGTGTCTGCGGAGGGCTTCTCGGCGTGGTCGGCTGTTTCGCCGAGGTTGAAAAGGTCGAGGAGTTGGTCTGTGTCCATGGAACCTAGGCCTGCGTTTTGTTGGTTGACGACTGTGCTTGCGACGTCGATTTTGAAGCGTTGCAAGCTGTTTTTGTTAGCATGGATGAATAAAATAGTAGGGAGGGTAAAGAAGGGGAGCGTACTTCAAAATCTTCTCCTCGAGGGTACCACGAGTAATCAACCGATAAACATTAACGACCTTCTTCTGACCGATACGGTGTGCACGGTCCATGGCCTGAATATCCTTCTGCGGATTCCAATCATGTTCCACGAAAATCACCGTATCAGCCCCCGTCAGGTTCAATCCCAGACCACCAACACTCGTCGTCAATAGCAGCACATCGTAGCTAGGATCTGAGTTAAACTTGTTCACGATATCCTGGCGCTTAGTGGCCTCAACGCTACCGTCCAGACGGAGGTATTGCACGGATGGGAGGAGTTTGCGGAAAACTTCGCTCTGCACGATGTCCAGCATTTCTTTCATTTGGCAGAAGACGAGAGCACGGTGCGGGCTGACGTAGCTGGCGCCGGTGCTGAGTTCGCCTTCTGCGGGTGGGTTGATGCCGATGCCGCAGTCGGTAAGTAAATCGCGGAGGGCAGCGAGTTTGGGGGCGTGAGAGACGTCACGGATTTGAGATTGTTTCTTGGTGAGGTAGGTTTGGACTTCGTTGTATTGCTTGTGGCCTTCTTTGACAACTAGAGCGGGCGAGTTGCAGAGACGGCGCATATACTGTAGGGCTTGGAAGATGTGTTCCTTGTCGTTCTTTTCGGAGCTGCCGACTTTTTGCTGGAGTTCTTTTTGTTCTTTCTTTGTGAAGTCTTCAAAGAGTCTCTTTTGGAGTTCACTGGGGTCGCAGTAATAGTTTTGGATGATCTTGGGAGGCAGGTCATTCAAAACTTCCTCCTTCAGACGACGGAGCAGGAATGGAAGGACTTGCTTGTGGAGGGCTTCGATTGCCAGCGCCCCAGCCTCTTGTTCCTTGGAAGACGATTTGCTAAACCGACTGGCAGAAATAGGTTTCGCGAACCGCTCCAAGAAGACCTTCTCGGTTCCCAGGAACCCAGGCATCAGGAAATCGAACAGTGACCACAATTCCAAGACATTGTTCTGGATTGGAGTTCCGGAAAGAACCAAGCGGTGGTTGCTCGTAAGACGCTTCAACGCTAACGTAACCTTCGCCTTGGGATTCTTGATCAAGTGACCCTCATCCAGAACACAGTAGTTCCAGGTAATCGGATTGAGCACGTCGTTGTCATTCCGGCAGATATCATAGGAAGTCACAACGACATCTGATTTTGCGAGTTCAGCCTGCAGTCTCGAGCGCTCCGCGGGAGGTCCAACATAGGCGACACAATTAAGGAACGGGGCGTATTGCTTCACCTCCTGCTGCCAGTGACCAGACAGCGACGGAGGACAAATGATCAAAGATGGCAACTTTCTGACATCGTTTGCTTGTGTGCGTTCGAATTCCTCGGCTCGCATATGGTGGTCACTAGCGACAATACAAATGGTCTGCAGAGTCTTGCCAAGACCCATATCGTCACACAGAATACCGTGAAGGTTGTACCGGTTGAGGAACGCGAGCCAGTTGACACCTTCCTGTTGGTAAGGTCTGAGTTCTGCCTTGATCGCAACTGGGACTTTGAATTCCTCCACCTTCCGGACATCGAGCATCTGTGCCATGAACTTCCTTTCACGATCACGTCCCTTGAGCATTTCTTCAGAGAAACCTGGGGGGTCGGGAATACCCGCTTCAAGAGGAACGAGCTTGACCAGTGTTGCGAACGACGTTGTAGCTAACAAGCGCACATCATTGTCGGAATCGCTCATTCTTCCAAGAACAGGAACGACAAGGAAAATGACATAGGGCAGGATACCATCTTCCATCACATGGATAAGGTGATAGATGCATTCTACCACTCCTTGTCGGTGGTGGACATCGAACGCATTGTTGATAGACGGAAGAACCTTCTCAACTAACATCGTCATACCATCAACGTTCATAACACTGCATGCTGTGGCGAAGCACTTGGCAGCAGCATACCGAATGACCGACAACTCACACTGCACCGCTTTAACAACGATAGGCAAAAGTTCAATAACCCACGGGTAAAGGCCGGTATCGAATTTAGGCAGCAAAGCACGGAGAGTAGACAACCCATCGACAACCTCCTGACCAAGTTCGTTGTCCGGATCGCGGATGTTCTGCGGGAGCTCCCCAGAAAGAGAATCTCTCAATGGCCGTTCAATCAAAGACGCAAGGTTGGGGACCTTCTCCAGAAGTGCAGGTCCAAAGTTGACAGTAAGTTGTTCGAGGGCTTCCTTTGCACCTCTGCGCATGATTCTGGCTTCCTTGGCCTCTCTTTCGAACTTGGCTGCATCGGGATGGTCGCGTCGATCTTCTTCCTTGCGGAGGGAAAGGATAGATTTCTCGAGTTGTGCGTGGTGATGGAATTCGGGGGTTTCAGAAGTGTCGACGCAGCAGTATTTGACCAAGTTTCCGATGACTTTGTCTACTGGTCCACGCTTTGCGGCCATTGTGTAGTGCTCAACCAAGGATGCGACTGCGGTGGCGGAGCGCTGCTGTAACTCGGCATTTTCTTCCTTCTTGACGCTGTCCATCATACCCTTGATGATGTGACCAGGCTTCTTGGGGATATCGCGGAGTGCAACCAACGCGCCTGCACCCGCGGCCCGGATACGCAGATCTCTCCGTTCTCTGATATCCCTGGCTTCATTGATAGCGGATTCCGTGGTCGCGCGGGTATCATTCAGAACTTGAAGAGCCGTAATGCGCTGAGCAGGGGCCAAACCCCTCTTCAGTCGCTCGAAATCAGGTCCGATCACACGCTCAGCATCTGCCAAAGAAAATGCATTTGGACCGGCTTCGGTATCGCCTTGAACAATCACCGCCAGAACAGGCAATTTCGATGATGGAACATGGGCGTGGTCCCTAAACGCACTGAGAAGCGAGTGACACTGAGCCCGTGCCACATGAAGGTAGCAGGCCACATCGCTATACCACGCCGGGCGATCTCCCTCAACAATCGGACGGACACGCTCGCATAGCAATTCGGTGTACTTGCTGCTCGGTCCCATGAATCGCGCATACTCCTCCACGATCATGGCTGCTGAGAGCTGCGAGGTAGAAGCGGAATTATCCAGGCCTTCTATGACCGGCTGCCACAGACTAGAGAGGTGAGACTTGTCCCAGAAAAACAACAGTTCGCCAAGAGCCTTAGAAGCATAGATTTTGGACCGCAGCATCGTATCCGCACCGACCAAGTCGATATCACCCTGTAGCATATGACCGTCGACATTATGGGCTGAAGATGTCGGAGGTGGCGGGGGTACGTCTTTCTTTTCGAATTTGCGTTTGCGTCCTTTGCCTGGTTCGGAGGTTGAGTTGTTCGAGCTTGGGGACGATTTGGCGGGAGCGGCAGCACTCATTGGGTAAGGCAAGCCGGAGGGCTTGATGAAGAGCGAGGCGTTCATAGGAATGGGGTATCGAGGAACACCAAATGGTCCCATGGCTAATGTGACGAGGGGCTGAATGCTACTCGACAGCTCCGTCTCTGACTTGAAGCATCCACGGATTTCAAGAGCCTTGAGCAATTCCGACCAGACTTGAAGAGACTGCTTCAAAACACCCTCATTGCGCTCGACCAGCAAATTCTGGAATATCAGGCGCAATGCCTTGCCGTCTACCCAATCATTTGTGCCCTCGCCTTCCAGCTGCAAGAATGTCATGAGAGCTCGGAGAACAGCGGAACGGACGCTGGTAATTGTGTGGCGGAGGAAGGGATATAGACGGGGAACCAGTTTGCCGAAGGAAGATTCTGGGTTGTCGGCTGCATTTGCTTTCATGGCGTCAAGGACTTCACGGAATGTGCAGAGCTTCGCCAGGAGATCCATCACGGAACCCGTACTGGCGCTAAGATCATCCTGCAAATTTGAAAGACAGTCCCAGACGATGTTCATCAACAATCCCAGCGAACTTGTGCGGGACGTGACAAATTCCTCCGCCATCGGGACGAGGGTTGCTGCACTGACGGCACGCACGTCGTCGTCATAATCGCCCAGGCCTTTCATAACGGCTTGTAAAATGCCATCCATAAGGTTCGAGTCCTTGACGAGCAGGTCTTTGCGGACGGCAACCAAGTACCTGAGACCAATCATTCCACCATGGCAGACTTCCCAGATTGGACGTTCGAGGCCCACATCGGTTTGCATGATGATCCGGTACAGGCATTGATAAACAGTGACGACGGATCGCGGGGGTAATTGGGACAAAAGCGCACCTAGCGTTTGACCAACAGTCTCCCGAATTGGAGCAACAACGTTATCTGAAATGTAATCACCAAAACGGTCGAGCATGAGGACGCAAAGAAGGCGACAGGCCAAATCATCCAACCACTTCCGGTTTAGAATATCGTTCTCGACTCGGCTCTTGTCCTGTAAACGCCCAGCACCTGCTCCTTGGACTCGAACAACCTCTCTGAGGCCCACAGCTGCACCATGACGAACCTCCCAGTTCGGATCAAAGATGTCCATCATGAGGAAATCGCACATGTGCTCAAACGGCCATCCAACCGGAGTACCCTCCTCTACCAATTCCGGTTCCAATAGAGGTTTTTCCGGTGTTTCGACACCTTTGAACTCCGTGACGATCTTCGAGTCGTCGTCATCGCCACTTCGATCGAGCGAGAAGTAGTCGGGTTTGGTGTCACCATTCTTCTCCTCCCCGTTGCTTTCGGACTTGATCGGATGGGGTGTCGACACTGTCGGAGTAGGGGCGCTATCTGATGGCTTCCGGGACGAGGAAATGTCAACCACACGGACTTTGTTGGCTCCCAACTTGGCACTCTGCTTGTTCTTCCGTTTGAGTTGGTTCAGCTGCCGTTTACTCAGGCCGGGCTCCTCGCCGTTGGCAGCTTCACTGGGTGAAGCGACCGCGCTCTGCAAACTGTTGTCTTTAGTGAGGGTAGGGACAGACGTATCAATCTTGGGAGTCAATGCTGGCTTGTTGACAAGATCATTATCGTCAATCAGGTCCTCCTCGATATACTCGCCCGCGAGCCCCAAACGGGAGGTGAGTGTCTTCTTTTGATGTTGTAGTCGCGTTGCCGGATCCATGGATGACAGCGACCACTCGTACTCCTTGCCCGCGCTCCCCAGTAACCGGTGGCCATATCTGAGAATCGAGGTAAGATCCAACTGTTCTAATCGGAGCAACCCATCATCTGTACGTGATTGATTTTCTGGCTTGATCTCAACCTCGTCCACATCCTCATCCGCCTTTTTAATCTCCTGGCCGTCGTCTTGGTTAGGATCGAAGACCTCAGCGTTAGAGACGATCAGGCCGATAGCCTTAGCAGAAGCTGTCCGGGTGTCCCATGACTTTGATCTGAGATATGGCAGGATCCGTCCAAGAAGGTTGAAAAGCTCATCTGGATGCTGTTTCTGTACGTCAGCCAGTTGCTGGGCAGCTGTGTTGCGAATGACAGGCGTGCTGCCAGTCTCGAGTAATCTGTGAACTTATGATTAGTGGATGCTGATTGGCTGGCTGTCGCAGGAATTGGCGGTGGGTACTCACGTGACGAGACGATCAAGTCTAAACGGAAACAGGTTAGCGCGACGTGATGGCAGTACGGGATTGGACGGACGGAAAAGCCATACCTGGAAGTCATGGTCGTCACTGCGAGTCAAGCATAAAAACAACAAATAATATTACAGGCACAAAAAGTAATGGGGTATCAACCAGAAAAGAAAAAAAAAAAAGAAAAAAAAGAAAGTCACGAAAAAGAACAACAAAGTGAAGAGAAAAGTGCCTCCAAACAACCGTCGACAGTCAAGCCAAAGGGATTAAGTAAGAGGCACTAAAATAGTAGGAGGTAAGCGTATGTATGGTATGAAAGTATGTATACCGGGGATGTTACACCCACGACGCAGCCATCGGAAACGGGGGGTGAAGGAATAAAGTAAAAGTTATAAAAAAAAAAAAAAAAAAAAAAAGGGCAAATCAAACCCCCAGATAAGCAATGATAGCACGGGAGTAAAATGCCACCGTGAAATCACGCAGAGAGTGGGTAGGGATAAGCGTAATAGGGAAACCGGCTAAGAGACGCGCGCGCAGGTCAACAACGACTGATGCTCCGTTCGAGGTCACGCCGCCGGGTTTATATCATTGGGGCCTGCTTCGGCCCATGTTTGGGCCCTGCACGCTAGGCTGTAACGGGTAAGGTGTGACCCACGCCCCGTAAAGGTTTTCCTATAGCACGTGACCGCCCCTGCCCGCCGCGATCGACGAAATTATGCCATCTCTCTTGCTCATGAAATAGTTAATAAGAGTACTCTTCTATGTACAGAGTAACTAGAGTATTGCTGTTCTTCACTGTTTATTTATAGAGAGAACAAAGCATAGTATGCCAAGATACCAGAGTATTGTCTGCCAGTCATCAGCACGGACACATACTTTGAAAATCATTCTGCAGAATGGAGAGTGAACTGCCTAAAATTGTACGGGATTAATGCACAGAATATGGCAGCTATGTTAGCTTCGGTCATTATTCTTGGTTCAAGCTCAGCCGCATGGAGCTTTAGTTCTCCAGTTGTACGCATCCAGTATGTCGTTGCCTTAGGCGTGACTCGTTGCTGCCTCGTACACAAGGCAGCAACAACGTCCCAATCAGGCCTCGCGTATTTCTGATGCCGTCATGATGTTTACGGACGCAACGAAACCTCGTGCAATGTCTATGTCCACGTAGTAGTCTAGAAAAAGAATGTTGAGCAAATATCGCGGTCGTTTATCAAAATTGTTGGTGCACAGTTGAGCCGGCAATGTAACATTGTCCCAGATATATATATTCAGTCATCTACAGAGTACTCCGTACAGCTCGAAATTGAATAGTCCATTCTATACAGTCCCATAATCCATGGCATGGAGTAAAAAACAAAGACGCGCAAACGTAAAGTAACAAATCCACCGTATCCCGGGTATGCGCATCCTCCTTCATGACGCCTTCGCCAACACATCTGCCGACTGTTCTTCATTCCCTAACAACCCCAGACTACGAATCTGTTCCGCCTTAGGCGCGTTCTCACGGGGGTGTGCAGCTTCGGCCTTGCGGTAGGCAGCCTGCATCTTCATCGTGCGGAGAGCCTGTTGTCATGATACCGGTCGTCAGAAGCCATTCTGTTCAAATGTTCATTTCCCCGCGTCCCGCGAAAGTTCCATCTTGAACCATTAACGGGCTTTGTATCCATTCACTCATCTCTATCCATTCGAGCCAAATCGGAGCGTACCTCTTTTCTGTGGTGCAGACACTCGTAGTAGTCCTCCAATGCGGGCATGCACTTCTTCTTGCCGGTCTCGCCCTCGCCGGAATTGACGACGTAGCAACCAAGGACTTCCTGCCAAAAACCATAGCAACGGGAAGGACCTAAATAAGAGTACTGTTAGCCTCCGGCACGTCCCTTGGGGGAGAAACAAAAACAGGCACGGCGCCACACCCGGCCATTATGACCGGCTGAAAAAAGAAAATCGACCGCTAAAAGGGCAAACCGAGAAACACATACCGCCATTGAGACCGTAACCAGACGCCATTATGAATGAACCTGAAGAGAAGCACGTAGAACTGTCAAAAATGGAGGGGTCTTTTAGCGTGGGAAGCGTAGGAGAGGGAGTTGAGGTTGGATTGCGGACGGAGGTTCGGCTGTTGATTGGTCCGAGCGTCCGCCGCTTGACGTCTCCGGCCACATCGCCCTCTACGAGCAATTAACTTAAATGTCTACGATTTAATTCAACATGGCCGTGCTCGCGGGCCTGTCTGGTGCTCACGCGATTCTTTTGGCCTCGCATCTCTGTGCTAGTGGCCAGGTTGCTGCCCTTCCGCGACTCCAGGCGCAGTTTCCCGGCTACCTTCCTTTAGAGCGTGTTCTACGCCTCCTTTTGACCTTCCTTCCCGAAAGTATAGAGCCTCAGTACTATACGCCTGTGCTTCAGGAGCTTGTTGATACCTTTTCGTCTTTGTCAGAGCTGTCGGAGGACTATATTGATTTGTCGCCCGTCAAAGATTTGTCAGAAGCAGCTGCGAGGAAACGTGTACGGAAGCTCCGTTTACTGCCGCTGAAATATCGCGACGACGACGACAGTGACGATACGACAGACCTCTTAACCCAATTCCTCATCCATCGCGCGCATAGAATTGACGCCGAAACTTCTCTTCAACCCTTCATCCTTGAACTCCTACTGCCTTTCTACGAACGCTCGCCGGTCTTATGCACGTGGTTCATCTCCAGCCTGATACCCCTACTCCGCTTAAACTACGAATATTACCCCGACCAAGATGGAACCTTCTCGCTGGATGTGATTGAGTCTTTGGACGATCAGACGGCTGTCAATGTGCTCCTTTCGATGACAGGATCTCACAGCGACAACATGGATTTAGTCAAGAACTTGCGCGGACTCATTGGTCCCTGGATTCATGGCAGCAATAGGTCGAAACGACGGAGGCTCAACGAAGCGGCGCAGCGTGGATCTGCCACGGTTACTCAAGGACCGTATCGACCGCGAACAGCTTCGCATGCTGCATGGGGTCCGGTAAATGAATGGCTATTGTCGCGGAGTTTGGTAGACCTGAAGAGCGTTGTGGGTGCCTATACAGACTGGAAGGGACCTCAAGATGTCGACCTCGGAGGTTATGGGGATGCAAATGGGCAATACCAGGGTGATGAGTTGGCGGATTTGCAAGCCCGACATGGTCAAAGTGGCCTTGCAGTGGTCTACGCGAATTCTGATACGAGTGGGCAGACTTTGGAGGGTTGTGTACAGATTGTCACTCGGACTGCCCAACAGCTGGGTCTTGAAGGATCTTTGCCAGACTCGCCACTTTCCACGGTTACCTATGATACGAATACGATTTCATCGACATCGCGAGCGTCGTTATTACAAAACGCCTTATTAGTGTCTTCAAATTCCCTAACACGCCCCTCCGCCACTTCGATATCATTCCTCGGCGCCATTCTTTCCTCTCTTGAGATATTGAGCGAACTGGGCCATCCTGTGACCAGTCGCGCCGCCGCAAACATGTGCCTCCACAACAGCGAGGACGTGCAACTGTTGGATCTGCGCAGCGTCGTATCTTCCACCACAAGGAGCACAAAATCGGGTCGCGACTGGATGAAGATCCGCCAGCAACTACTTTGGCTTCACAACTGGCAGGCAGGAGAAACGCAAACAAAGCGATCTTACCACGGTCTTTTCTGGAGAGTCCCGCGGGATATTGTAGAGACAGAAATCTTGAAGGCGTTATTGGAGGTTAAGGGTAAGCATGGCCCACAAAAGTTGGAACGCTCAGTGCTAATTTCCCTAGAATACAAGCTAGCTGTGAGCATTTACACAGATTTGAGAACACCTCTGCAAGCGTCGCAGGTTGAAGTGGCTGTAAAGGACGCCACCACCACGGCTTACGACAATGCTAGCAATGGTAACAGAACACGAGGAGGAATGAAAAAGGCATACGATATCCTGCAAACTTTCCAGTCACACTTCCCCGACTCTGTGTCATTCAAGCAGATCCAGGCTCTCATCTCAGCAACACATGCCTTGTCATTCTACTCGCTCACATTGCAACACGGCGTTCCGTTCCAACCAGTCAGCATCCGGGTTCACCAGGATCCTCTCTCTCTGATTGAGAAGGTACTCGATCAGAATACTAAGGGGTATACGAATCTGGATGACCTTCTTTCTATTGGGCGGAACTTGGTTGCAGCAGGCTTTCCGCCCACACCATCGGACAGTGACTCGTACGAGCACACTCCAATTTCTGAAGAGGACGCACCTATCATTGCCGAACGACGGGTAATTTCCCTGGCTATATCCTCCGCCCTCGCTTCCGACGATCTTGGCACCGCATACTCCTACATTTTCACACGTCTTGCTACTCAGACACCCTCATCCACCTCCATCAAGGATGACATCTCCTGGCGTGCGGTCTACAATGCAGGCCGCTACCGCTCCCCCGCCACCTCATCACCTCCCAGCCTTCAATCCCAAATTAATCAGCTCTCCCAACGCATGGAGCTTCTTTCCCTTGCATTAGTCCTTGTTCCATACGCCGACCCTCTCCCCGAGATACTCGGCGCCTGGCGCCGCTGCGACGAGGAAATGAGCGTGCTCCGTTCCCAAGAAAGCGAAGAAGAAGAAATCTGGGACACAAAAGGCGACACCGTTTCCATGGTCCCAGGTGGATTTGGCCCCAGTGAGAGCGAACAAGACGCACTCGAAACGAAGCAACAACACGCCAGACGTGCGCGGGCCCACCAACAACAGCAACAACAAAACCGCTCCCACGAAGAAGCGCCTATGGGACTCTTCGAAGTCGCCCGGGGCGCCGCCATGGCTCTTCACAAGAACACACTTCCTCTCCGCGGAATGGCGGCGGCTGGCACGTCGACATCTCGTCCTGCGGGACACGATTGGGTGGATGGCGATGACGATCGTGAAGCAGACAGCGAGGACCGGATGCGTAAGAGAGATGTTGTTAGTAACATGGTGACTGGGGGGTTGGCTAGTGGGATTGGTTGGGTTTTGGGTGCTCAGCCGGTTAATCGGTGATTGCTGTCTCTGTCTGTTTCTTTTCTTTTCTTTTCTTTTTTTTTTTTGGTTCGGCTTATGAGGATCATGACGTGGTAAGCGGGCGAATTGGATTTTATGTACTTTGGCTATTGAGTGGCTTTTATGTGCTATGTATACATGCTGTATTTTATTGATGAGCTTAATAGGCACGAATATGGATTAGACATCTTCTGACATGTCCTTCTAATTTAATGCTCGCTCGTCGTTATTGACCTGTAGACGCTTGGCCCTAAGCAGGAAGTAGCCAGGTCCGTTCAATGATACGAAAGACCTAACCCACATAATCTGTCTAAACTGGCCTATGGCATTCATTGACAAAAAAAAAAAAAAAAAAAAAACCTTTGGCTTCTTTTCGTTCCTATCACTATTCACCATCCCCAGACCCAACATCTACCATTAACCACTCTCAGCACGGAGACCGAGCTCTCATCTCCATCAGCATGAAAACAGATCATCTTCCTGAAAAGATATCATAATGGCAAGCACCTCGAATATGCCAGGTTTCCCATCAGAAACCGCCCATATGGGTGTTTACAGGCCATCTCCAGTTCGTATCGTCCATGAATTTCTTTCTTTGGTTCACTGGCATTCAATGGCATTCAATGGCAAGTTACCTTACCGCAAAGCCAAACTCTGCTATAAAAGACATGTCGAATATCGAGACAAAGACATACTTTTCATCCATACTACATGCCCTCGCATTGCTCCCGAAAGTTAAAGAAATCGGCACTGGGATCATTCAAGATATGGCTTTTTGTTGAACCATGGTGCCTTACCATAATAGTGTCCGAGATTGCATAACGACCAAAGGCACTAATTTGCAGGCATTTGCCGGATCTTCCACTTAATCATGCACCACGAGCGCGCCACTGGATTTTTCATATTGAAGAAAGTAAGCGAAGTCATGTGTGAATTCCGTTTATTTGAGATCTATGAAACAAAGCCTAGAAGACCTCGAACGGTCCCCGTCTGTGGGTTCATCCAGTGGAACTTGTTTCTCGTCGAGACATCAACGCGACGACTCCTAAAAAACCCAGGCACAGGAAAATTGGAGGTGAAAGCATATGTTAAATGAAGACACTTGCGCACATACCACCAGTCATTCGAGTGTTGGGAAACCCCCGTTGAAATCGTTGTTTTTACCAACGCAAGACTCCCCATAGGTAACACAGTCTTAAAATTAGGTTTAACGACATCGTGGCTGCCATCAAGTCGATTGATATGAGGCCTTGAAGCCCAGAGGATCTCATTCTTCAAGGACACTGTCCACCTGGTATGTATATCACCGATGAGACCAATAAACAGCAGCGTGGCCCTATGCACAATAATCTGTACTCTCTCGGTATTACCTTCGGCGAAGTTCTCCATCAGTGGACACGTCGTGGTCTCTTGGGATAAAAGAAGGTTTAAAACCGAGCGATCCCGCTCTGACACAACGGTTTTAAGCATTTATGCGTTTTTGGGAGTCTAATAGTACAGTGTGTCGTCCGCCACACTACTGCCCTATTCTAGCGCCAACTGTAGCGATGCACGGCTGGATCGAAGCTTCTGGCATATGGCCGTGATCAACCTCCTCGACTTTTATGCTCAACGAAATCAACTAATACCTGTGACTCTTGGTATTCTTCTGAGTTCTTCAGTGTTTGTATGCTTTTCGAGTGGTTTAGCGCAGCGTCCAAGAATTGGAATATTCGATTGAAACGCATTGCTCGTTTTTTATTTCCACGACCGCAAATTTTTAGGTCAAAGGAACGTATATCAGCGAATTCAAAGGTTCGACACGGTCCGTCGACCTGCGGCTTCTTTCGCCCACCCATGGTATAGGGCTGGCAACTATTCCAACCAAACATTTGTGGAACTGTCTGCACAATGGTCCGTGGGCAGAAATCCAACCGAGCAGAGACAAAGAATTCTGCGACAACAAATTTGTAACGCTTCCGGCAGTCATATCTTGATTGAGGTGCTTGTCATGAAAACGAGATTCTGGGTCCGGTCCATTCCCGAATCAGAAATTGACTAGATGTATAACCTGGTAGCTAAGGATCCTTGTCACCGCGGAGTTCTGCAGCACTCCACCATTAGGATGATCTGATGTGCAACGTACTCAATCATGAGAATTGGGCGAGTTTTACCCCAAGGGAACACATTCGTTTCTCTGTTCGTGAGTCTTCCAGATTGAACAGTCGCGTACTGGTTTCACTTCCAATTGAACTTCAGACACAGAACGTGTTCTTTTGATTCCGAGCCCAACATTACTGGCATTTACCTGTAGCAGAAAAACACGATGCTCGTTTTCAACAGAGAATTGTAAAAAAAAAAAAAAAAAACAAAAGAAAAGAAAAGGGAGTGGTAAAGGGCATATATTCCAATTTCACATCTGAGAATTCAGAAATAGCGTTTTGACATCTGTCGTTCTTACACTCCTCGAGATTCGCACTATCCCACATGCGTCTAAAGAGAGTGTAGGCGAGGTCCACAAAGACGAGTCTTTGGGTATTGAGATCATGGAAAGGACGGGTTAGAGAATGAATCAACGTCAGCGTCTTGTGCGACGATGATGTTTCGGGGACACACGTTGTGGAGCCATATATCGCGTTCGAAGAGGTAACTTTCAGAGTCGACGATGGACTTCATCATCTGTTAGTGGGTGTGTTTATAGGAGGCGAAGGAAGATGTCCTGGTTCGCATCTGAAATGTTCATTCCGCCTATATATTCAAGCAGGATCAGTCGAATGGCAAGAGTCCCAGTTGCCTGTGATATCAACGGATATAACCCATAGTAACGAGAAACCGGCAACTCATCTCCCCGAGACCTATGGTAAAAGGGAAGCAGCTCATAAGCGCGAGCATCATGGGTGTAGCACCGATCCATGCTACGAAATAAACTCACGCAGATTTCTCCATTGTCAACGTAGAGCGGGCATAGATCTTGACTACAACCGTTCGACTAGCAGAGAAGAAACTACCATCAAGATCAGGGCTGGCATCTAGGATTTGCACCGCCATAATCTGTGAATTATAGCTGTCTTCGGCTCTGATCAATGCCTCAATCTTCAGGGTCACAAAACCCGGTCCTAACGGTCCGCCGGGCAAGGGGGATATCTCAAACATTGTTCGACTGGGCTCACTTCTCACCTTTCTTGACATTCGGGGCTGGTGGTTCCCAAGCCATCGAATGTCACTCGCGTGGGGAGAGAGAGAGAGAGAGAGAGAGAGAGAGAGAGAGAGAGAGAGAGAGAGAGAGTGTGTGTGTGTGTGTGTGTGTGTGCAAACTGTGAGCCTACAGCCCCTTCGATAAGGATTAAAGGGTTTTGGAAGAGATGTGAATGGTTATCCATGTTTTGATCGTGGATCGAGATAGTAAAATATATAACAAAATAACCGAACGAGCGAGAGGCTTAGATAATACTAAATGATGGAATAAGGTGTCACACAGTTGGTACCTGGCGATTTAGGTGATTGCATATCGAATCTCGATCCACTTGGCACTGGGAGTATTATGATTATACAAGGTTCTCTGGGCCTGAATTAGAGTGTGTATGTACTCCGTATGCAAGCGATATAGAAGCAGTAGATTCTTAAATATATACCTGTCCTGCACCTCAACATATGACAATGATACATTCAATCAAAAGAAATCAACAACACCAAATGTACCAGTTCCAGAACCTTCATGTACCCAACAAAATCAAAAAGAAAACAAGCAATAAATGCATCAGCACGGCAGCACTGCTGACCACTGATAGTTTCCTGCTTTTAACCCATGACCTGAACATGAGGTCGCAGTGCAAAAGATATGTGTAAAAGTTGCCCAATATAATCAAGGAAAGACGTGAAAGAGATGATAAATGACGGTCCTAAAACACCGTCCTCAAAGGAATGACAAGAAACAGACGCTGTTATGGTAAAAGGAGTGTCGTCGTATCACGATTCATGCTGGGTTGACGACCGGGTCAACCATGGGGCCTGCCGTTTGTCGTGAGGTATAAGCATCAGAGGAGAGGCCGTGACATATGCAGAGAGTATTATAGGAAGGATCGAGATAAGAAACAAGTTTCATCGCTGGGATGAAACGTAAATCGGGCGCGGGGTTGAACGAAAAGGGATGCGGTAAAGCTGAGACGGGCAGAGCGGACATGTCAAATCTCTACTCTTTCCAGTCCCACACTTGTTTCAGGAAATTGGCCATGTTGACTTTCTTCTTGCCCTTCATGTCCACCATCCAGGGATGTTCCAGCATCCGCCAAGGAGTGGCTCTGCGGGGAGGCTCTTTCTCAAGACTGAAACCGGTTAGACTTCAGGTATTTAACCAGGGGGATGCACAGTACATACCAGCACTCAATAAAGTATTTGAAACTATCAGACCAGCGGATACCATTTTGCGGCTCATCCTTCAACTTGGGGATCGGTTGGCGGACGATATAGGTCAGGAGGTCGATCAAACCGGCGCGAGGCTGCATCTCGGTACCGTCGGCAGGGAAGGGGAAGCGATGTTGTGCGACTTCGAGCAGAGTTACACCGAGTGACCAAACGTCGGATGTGATGGTATATGATTGACCTGTGATTCGCTCCGGTGCCATATAGTACGAGGTTCCGATAAACGTGTTGGCATCACCCTTGGTTCCGAATTCACCGCTAACTCCAAAGTCGCACAGCTTCACTTGACCATTTCGACATAGAAGGATGTTGGATGGTTTGATATCTGTGCGGATTAGTCATGGCCAATATTGTCTCTGGGGTTGAGAAGACCCACCTCGATGGATAATTTTCCTCCCATGAAGATATGTCAGACCATTCAAGACACCTTCGGCCACCTTGCCCAGCACCTTTTCACCAGTGCGACCACCCAACTTCCTAACTTCCTTATAAATGCTGTCCAAGCTTCCACCTTCACAGAATTCCATAGAGATTGAAATGGTACCAGTCGACTTGTCCATGAATGCACCGTAGTAGCGGCAGATGTGATCCGAAGCGCAATGTTTGTTGAAATTGAGTTCTCGAACAATTTGCTTTTTGACGTCAGGATTTGGGTCCGTAGTGATAATCTGATGTTATTAGCATGCGTGCGTAGATACCAAGCGACCATGTTCAACCAACCTTCAATGCAAACACAGTCTTCCCTTCCTTGAGTCTGCACCTTGTTACTGCACCACCAGCACCTTCGCCCAGACTCCCCAGTTCGACAATCTTCTTTTGTTCACTAGCGGCTAGCCACCCTTCATCATCCAAGTCATCAACATCAAGGGGCCTGCCCTTCTCCAGACTCAACTTGTCCAAATCGGGAATGAGCCCGTTGACACTGCTGTTGTCGCGCTCCGGTACCCCGTTTTCGCGATCAGAGTAAACGGAGCTTATGGCGGACGAAGGATCTGGCGTGCCGCCGGGCGGTTGACGGAGACCCATAGCGAATGAAAGGGTCGAGTAATTCGACGACGAAGCGGAGGCGGGGCCACTGGCTTTCCCGTCGAGGTAAGTATAATTGCCGGAATGATTGTTTGCATCGTTCACGTTGGTAGTCACGAGGGGCGGTGGCGCAGGTCTCCCGTTGACCATCCGAGGCATTTCTTGTGGTACTTCAGAGCTGCTGCCCATGGGGGTTGCGAGTCGCAGTTGCGGAGGCGCCGGGCGGTTTGCGGGACGAGGAGGTTGGATTTGCGGCGGAGCAGCCTGGGTGGCAGGGACAGGATTGCCATTAACGAGCGGACGAGTATTGGGAGATGGCGGAATGCCCAACGTCAACTTGGGCTTGGGAGCATTGCTGTTGTTGCGATTCCTTCCCGGTACGGGCGGTCGGAGGAGAGGGACAGGTGCGGCGGTTGAGGAAGACATATTATCAACGAGGTTGTTCTGCCTGTCACCAGGCAAAAACAACTCGTTGGGATCAGCGGCAGTAGCCAGATCGGCGGTGTTGTTGGAGGACACTTTGGCGATGGTTTGGGGGATAACGATTGAATAAGAGAGAGGGAGTAGTGAGAGAGAGTGAGGAGATCTGTAGCCGTGGGGTCAGGCTGAACACGCGGCAGCTGTGAGATGTCAGCATCGCATTGTCGAGTAAGAACCCTCGCTAATAACGTACCTTTAGAGATGGGATTTAATACAAACGAACGCACCAAACGAGAGAAATCTCGAAAGTCGAGTTGAATGAAGAGAGAAGAAAAAAAGTTGGTTGTTGACGGTGGATGGCGTGTTCAATGGTCACGGGGTGGATCCGGCGGTTTGTAGGCGCCTAAAGGCTGGCAGGCATCACATTTATCTACTTAACAAGAGTAACTGAATATGCAAGTAGTTATATATACTAGAAGACAAGAAGACAATATGGCGATGCATCAAAATGCGATCATATTCTATCTTCAGATACAGATTTGACATGTTCAGCACAGCTTTGACCCACTGAGAGCAAAAATAGTGACAGTTTGGACGGTTGAGGCTGTGAAGCGCCACGATCGCTTCCAGGGTGATGGATAGCAGATGAATGTTGCTATGTATGGTATGTTTGATTGTGATCATATGCTAAAGAAAGAAACAGATTAAGACATGGACTCAGCATTAGGACTGGCGTTAGTGTTATGCATGGAAAAGATCTTGAGCATATCTTAGCACATCTTAGGGGTACGGGGGATGCCCCGATATGGTCCAACGAGGATATACGGAGGTTGCTCTACAGAGTACATGGGAGTCTGTACGGAGGACTCTACATAATCTACTCTGTGCCCTGTACAACATGCAAACTCTATGCTGCTTATCCCGTAAATCGACCGAATCCAGTCCTTTATGCTGGACATGCATATAACAGGATCCTCTGCTGCTCTTATACAGTTCCCCTGTTGATCGGTGGACCGAGACTCCGGTTCTCAGTCTCTCAGAGGCGAATATTTCTCCGTATTCTGCACACCTCAGGACGAAAGAGTCATTTTGAAAGGTTAAGACAAGGTTCGCAAAGTTCAACCTATTAGATACAGTGGCGTAGTCGGGATACTCCGTACTCTGGAGTCCTCCGAAGAGGCTCCTATCTCCATACAGTGCAGAACTCCGAAAAGGAGAGGTTAAGAATAGCATCGAAGACCGAGACCCTGGCGGTATTTATAGTACGAGAATTGATACTTCCAAGTCAAGTCATCAAAGAAGCCCCATAGAATATATATAATGTTTAATAGTTGAAGGGTCGGTAATCAGAGACAGGATAGTCTGGACCTGTTCTGTATACTCCTGAATATCGACATGAACTCTACAGAGTACTCTGGAGTACAGAGTACTATGGACTCTGTAGGGTATCCCGTATGGCACGAGCCCACCGATCATCCTCAGTGAGACTGAAAAGATACTAGCCACAGTGGCTCGGATCCTGCGGAGGAATTCCCCTCGGAAGGTTGGACGTTCATAGTAGTCTCAGCGATGCAGAATTGCCGTGGTTCCTCCGTGTCGGATAGCATGTGTTTGTGCAGTATGTATTGTACCCCGTACTCGAAGTTACAACAATACAAACAGACAGAACTTGGCAGTGTCAAGACTGGATAAGCACTACAGGGTACAGTACTAGTCTGAAAATAGAACTCCTTCCTCTAGAATAATCAATGAATCTGTTCAATGCATAAAGTTTGATAATGAGATGAATAAATTGACATGTTCAGGGCTCTATTTGGCTGGTAAAAACAGTATGGAATTATCCTGAATAATTAATCAAAGAAGCCGAAAAAAGGAAACGAGGCTAAAGTTGGTATCACGCCAATGTTACAAGTGGACCATAACCCACTGTATAATTTACCATTGGATTAAAAGTAAAGGAAAAGACCCATAGCGGGACTTCCAAAGGCTTGAGTGGCCCAACGCTTCAGGAACAGACCCATCGCCAAGAAAACCGCGCATGTGCTTAATGTCTCTGATTGGTGGGGGAGTGTGGTGGTCAGGAACTGAAACGACAACGGTGTGGCTTGGGCAGGGGTACTTGTACAATTTGGGACACTACAGAGTCCATACTTGTACCTGTAGAGCACAAACATAGTAGATACATTTACAGAGTACCCATAACATACAATTATGCCTGTATACAGATGCAAGTTATGCAATACTGTACAAGTTTGTACAGTATTGTACGAATACATACGCAGACTCAGGGGTTCCAGGCCACGCCCGAAAGTTGTCAGCCCGGACTCCTAAAACAGCAAACGAATGACGGGATCAACCCACACTATGTATATAGTGTATTGTATTACATTCGCCACAGACCTACAGAGTCTCCGTACGGTGTCTCACCGTATTACCGCCTACCCTACTCCACTTCTCCTTTTTTTGAGGATATTTTTGTCGACTGCCGATCCTCAGGGCTAATCTCCCAACCCATACAAAGAGGGCCCCGGATCCCGTTTCCTCATCGTTTCTTTTTGTTCTCTCCCAAGCTCAATAAACCAAAGTCTTTCTCTCTCCGTTCTCTCTTCGTTCGACTTCGGTCAGTCACTCTTTTATATATCAATCCTTTGATATCCCAACTATCTTCCACTCTCTTTACATTCTATTTTAAAAAACCACAAAACCCCCAAATCAATCAAAATGCGTTTCACTGCTGCTTCCGTTGCCCTCTTCGCCGGCATTGCTGTCGCCCTCCCCAACGGTGACCTCGAGACCGTCTACTCCACCGAGGATGTGACCATCACCTCGTGTGCTCCCACCGTCACCGACTGCCCCAGCCGTCAGACTTCCACCCCCCAGGCTGTTGAGGCTATCACCTCTTCCGTCCCCGCGGTGGCCAGCTCTGTTCCTGCTTCCAGCAGCAGCCCCGTCGCTCCTGTCGAGGTTCCTTCCAGCAGCCCCGTCGCTCCCGCTGAGACCCCCAGCGGCCCCGCCCCGGCTCCTTCCAGCCCTGCTGCCGGTCCCTCCAGCCCCGTTGTGCCTGTCCAGGTCCCCACCAGCAGCGCCTCGGTTATCCCTGTGACCACCTGCATTCCCACTGTCACCTACTCGACTGTCCAGGTGCCCGTCACCCCCTCCGGCCCCGCCGGTCAGCGTCCCTCTGGCGCTGCTGCCAAGGGTACCAGCTCGGTTCCCGTGATCCCCGCTCCCTCTGGCCAGGGCGCCGCCGGTGGCAACCCTAGGTAAGCTTTTTATTCCCTCTATCAATTGATCTATACATGGAATATATGCTAACTGGAACAGCGGCTCTGCTTCCGCCTCCACCTCTGCTCCCTCTTCCCTCTTCACCGGTGCTGCCAGCTCCGTCAGCAACTCTTTCGGTTTCGCTGGTGCCGCCGCCGCCATGGCCTTCTTCTTGGCTTAAATTATCCCATTCTTGTGTATAATGTAGCCCCGGTCGCTCTGGCTGCCTGGGTGGGTTCCTCTTGATCCCCGGTGGACTGGTGTGAATGGTTGAAGCGTCGTGGGGTTTGTCATTTAGTTTTGTGGTTTTTCGGGAGAGTTAATCATTATATCCCCTTTTTTATTCTTCTCTATACCTATTTTTGTTATTTCTTGGGCTTCCTGGATCGCTTCGGAGTTTATATTAATGTGAAGCGCTTGGTGGCTGAGTACGATTTAATGTAACTCATGAAAGCTTTCACATCTGGTGCAATCTTCGAAGTAATCCAGTTTGTTTTATTTCCTTTGTGATGTTCCCGTGTTTTAGTATATCATCTTCAGTCTATGCATTGTAATTATTTACGAGTCTAATTGTGTGACCAGTTCGTAGACTTCCGTACAACTAGGCCTGTAGGGAACGCCTTGTCTCCGCTGGGCTGACCAGCGAACACCGTGGAGCAAAGCATCCTTCCATGGGGCAGAGCGAACTTATATATTGCTCACACCGTACATTTGGCCCCCGTGATTCAGCCCTACTGGTCATATGGCAAATTAAAGTATCCATTAGCGAGTACGATCTCGAGGCTTGGACGATGACATGAGGATATCGCGTGTGGCAGTGTCAAGGGTTTTTTGCCCGAAACTTCAAGGAAATATCCCCCACGATTCTTTGTTTGATCGTCATTTGTTGGTTAGGCGCATTTATTTTGTTCCTAGTATGTAGGATGATTTTCTTGCAGTAGTTAGTGTTCTTCAAAAAAAAGAGCCTTCCAAAGGTGTAGCCTTTTACCAATTACCAAGTTGGGTAGCTCACAACCTGCTTCAGGCCCGATAAAGGATGAAAGGATTATTAGCACCGCCTTCGATACGGTGTCGCTTTATGTTTATAATTATTTTTATCCTTCCTTCTTTCTGGAATACGATGTCGCTTACTTTACTTCACGCGGTTCCATTCGTCATTAGTACCTATATATATGTGACACCCGACGATTGCGCAGGTCAGTCCCATGGTTCGCGAACATATACACTCCCACTTTCAATTTTCCATACCGCAAAGGCACCATGGATCTTTCCTCGCTTGAAGGTCCTCCAATACCAGATTCCAGTTTCAATGTCCGTACTTCCGCTTGGGTTCCGCGTGGCACGGAGATTCCTCGGATACACCTCGACCCTACTCCATCAACGCCGGCATTGACACCATGGGCGCAAACACCGTACCGGAGTTCGTTCAATTATGACGACTACCCGCCCAGGCCGGCATCTTCTGGATCCACCGCGCTGCGCAGATACTATCGAAACCAAGACGAGAATCCAGAGATCAGACGGAGGAGTTACAACGACGAGCCCCCAGGGTTCCTGCATCCGCCCTCGTCCTCGTCGAACGGATATAGCGTATCAGAGTCCGATTTATCGAACCATCACGCGCATAGCAACGGACCGCGATGCAGAAACACCCTCTTCTGGTGCGAGACCCAACAGACATGGCTTGCTCATGAGCGCCACACGCCGGGGAACACAGCACCCGCGCTTTCAATCCCGCAGTCCCAGTTTACAGAACCATACCATACAGCTTCGCGGGGGTTAGGGCAGAGCCAGAGCCAGAGCCGTGATCGGTATATGGACAGTGATGACATGCCACCTCCGTACGAAAACCATTATTACGATCGCATCCTCGCGGCGCAGCCGATGTTGACGTCGAATCCTCAATATCAGCATCAGAATCGTCGTCCGAGACAGGTGTCAAGATGGGGTGCCATTGCGAGACGGATGAATCGGTCGCCTGGTCCTTAGGCTTGTTCTATTTGGGCTTTTTCTTTTTTCTTTTTCCTTTTGTTTTGTATACGATATGCATGGAAATAGCGTTTGCTGGATTATTGTATTGCATTTACATTGGTGGTCTTTTGTTTTAGCCTTTGTCTTGATTCTGTATTATATCTATGAAGTTTTAATTAAGATACCTCTTTGCAATGTTCATGTTCATATTTGTTCATGTTGCTCTATCACTTTCCCACATCACCTCACCACTGTACACACCTCCATCGACAAGCATTGCTTATACCCATTCAATACCAAAATCAGGCACCTGGATTGAAGACAGTAAACAAACCATGCCCCTCTTTTATATACTCCTCCTCTCATTCCTCTTTTCGCTCTATCTCTCTGCCTCTCCTACTTACTCCTTCCTCTACACGTTGCTCGTTGGATGCAGGACGATATATGCCTCCATCAGAAATTGACCCTCACTTGGATTCTGAATCTTCGTTTGAGCTCCAGGTACGGCTGACCATTTAGCTGCAAATAGACGAAGTGAAAGGAAATTTGATGAAAAATATAGAATCTATCCCCAACCCACGCATCGCAACACAATCTAACCAGCATGAGCACACAAGACAACATTGCTAGATTCCACTACACGACCGAGCAAAAAATCCGCGCTTGGTATACTTGTGGTGGTGATATTGGTACGCTTTCTTCCCAGAACTCTTCTGTATACTTCCTTTGTGGAGAAAGAGAAGAGCTGATGAGATGCGGCAGACCCCTCAACCCTAACCTTCGACCGATCATGGCCGCACATCTCTCCCAAGCTGCACGATATCTATGTCGAGAGGGCACGATATCTGGATAGTTTGGCAGAGCATGGGGTGCTGGTTGATGGGTCGATGTATGAGAATTTCTTCGTGGAGGTTTATATAAGGTATTATCAAGCGAGGGGAGCGGGTGGTGGTAGTTGTGGTGTGCAGGGGGAGGAGGCTATGCCATGTATGTTCCTTTTTTATCCACAGGGGCTCTGAAATAGTGAGTGAATCATGGGTTGATGGGTTAACGGGACAGTGACTACATTTGACGCCTTGCTGGGCGAGCGCATCGGACGAAGAATGAATATCGATGTCAACTCGCTCGAGACGCAGGACAGCGACGAAGACAACACAGATACTCACCCAACATCTACAGAAGAAATTGCCTCCCATCTCTACGGCATTCAACCCCAATCTGAATCTACAATGAACCCCATTCTATCCCGCCTCGAAACTGCTGTTGCCAAAGGCATCCAAACCCTCAACAACCTGCAAGCCTTCCTCACCAACTCAAAGCCCGAAATCGAAAACACCTCCGATGTCTCCGACTGGCTTTCCGAAATCACCAAAATAAAACAATACGCGGCACCCCCCAAAGTCATCATCGGGATAATCGGTAGCACAGGCGCCGGCAAGTCCTCGCTGATCAACGCAATTATCGACGAGGAGAATCTGCTGGGGACAAACTGCATGCACGCTTCCACGGTTGCTGCGACGGAGATTGCGTATAATTATCGCTCGGGGAAGAAGTATCGAGCGGAGGTGGAGTTTGTTTCGAGGGGGGAGTGGAAGAGGGAGCTTCGGGCGCTGGTAGGGGATTTGAAGGAGTGTAAGGGTGATGAGGGTAGTTTGGGTGATCGGGGGCTGGGTGGGAACTCCGAGGCTGCGGTGGCCATAGAGAAGATACGTGCCGTGTATCCGGTGTTGAGCGTGACGGAGATTAAGGAGTTGGATGTTGAGGGGCTTTTGAGGAAGGATGGTGTTTGTGATGTCCTTGGGCAGACTATAGTTGTGGAGAGTGATGATCCCAAGGCATTTGCGAGAGACCTTGCCGTGTATATCGACAGCAAAGGCAAATGTTCCAAGACCGCTACCAACGACACAGGCAAAGGCAAAGCACCCATGCAAACCATCTTAGACAATCATCCCGCAACTAAAACTACTATAATGACAGCCTACTGGCCCCTCGTGCGCGTCGTCCGAATCTACACCAGAGCCTGCGCCCTCTCCACCGGCGCAACCCTAGTCGACCTCCCCGGCATCTTCGACTCCAACGCCGCGCGCGTCGCCGCCGCAGAGGAATACATGAAGAAATGCAGCGCGCACTGGTTTGTAGCACCGATCAACCGCGCCGTCGACGATAAAGTCGCGCAGGGCCTGTTGGGACAGAACATGCGGGTGCAGTTGCTTATGGACGGCGCTGTGAATGACTTGACGTTCATTTGCACTAAGACCGATGATGTTTCTGTGAGTGAGGTACCAGAGTCGTTGCTGAAGAGGGAATCCGTGTCGCCGGATTTGGGGGAGGGGTTGGAGGATATTGGGGTTCTTGAGGAGTGGTTGGTGGGTGCTAAGAGTGAGATTCTAGATATTGCTGAGCGGTTGGAGGAGTTGGGGGTTTGTTCTGAGGGTGGTGGTTCGCAGGGTAGTTCACCTGGTAAGCACAAGAAGAGCATTTCTGTTTCTGTACAGCGGCCTGCTCTCGACAATACCTGTGAGATGCAGTCGAATTCAGGCCTTGTTTCAGACTTAGTCTTAGAAGACGACACCCGCACCCTCAACGACCGCCGCAAAGGACTAACCAGCCTCTACGGAGCCCTCTCCACCGAGCGCTACACCAAAGAAACCCTAGAACATGAAAATCAAGTCCTCCAAACCAACCTCATCCACGAATATATCCAAGCCCGCAACACTTACTCCAAAAAAGAACTCAAACATGACTTTGCGCGTGGAATCCACGCCTTCCACAGCAGGTCCCGACACGTACCGTCTTCCACACAAGACCCTAGCTACTGCCACGCCCTCGAACAAGACCTTTCCGTCTTCTGCGTCTCAACGTGTGCGTACCAGAAACTCCAGGGCCGCTTGCGTCGTGAAGCGCCCGTTTCTGGGTTTAGTGCTCTTGAGCAGACGGAGATTCCGCAGTTACAGGCGCATTGCATCACAGTGACAGAGCAGGCGAGAGAGGCGTCTGCGCTGAGGTTCTTGTTTCATTTGCGGAGGGTGTTGGATTCGATTAGGTTGTGGGCGACGGTGGAGGATGGGGCACGGGTGGTTTCGCAGGGGAAAAAGGTCGAGATCGAGGCGAGGTATTATATTGCTGAGGAGAGTTTTAAGAGGGTGCGTTTCTTTTCTTTTCTCTTTTGTTTTGGGTGGTTGGTTGGGTGGCTGACTGTTGCGTTGCAGGAAGTTGAGCGGACGTGCGAGGGATTGATGCAGGGGATTTGCGATATTTTGACTCTGAACGTCATTCGCAATTTTGGTAAGCGATGAGCATATCGACAAAGCTGGGCGAAGTGCAATTATTGACGTCGCAGGCGATGCTTCGATTTTGGCGAGCAAGAAGTGTGATGAGACCGTCAAGGACTGGAGCGACCTCAACTACAACACGTACAAAGCCGTCTGTTGCCGACAGGGTGTTTTTAGATTCCATGTTAGTACATTATGTTGTTATTTACGAGTGTCCAAGCTAACTTCCACAGAACTGGAACCAGGAGTTGTAAGTGGCATCCGTGCTTGGTGTGTTCAATACTGACAGTGTAGGGCCAATCTTGTCATTGAACCATTGCTGTGCGATTGGATAAAGTAAGGTATCTTGAGCTGCTATCTCTGCAAAAGCTAACCTGTCAAGTGCTTTTGAAAATGAGATGCCCCTGGAAGTCGACTGGTTCACCCAGTTGATGAAGACTCATCTGCAAGCGTTCCATACCCATGCGATCTCAGCCGCTGAGATCATCCTCTCCGACGAAATCAAGAACGAGCTCAAAGAAATTTGGAAGGTTCAGTACAAGGTAATGAAGAGAGATGTGGTCCACACGGTCAACAGAGCAAGACGCAAGCAACGCGGAATCAACCGAGAATTTGCCGTTGGTGTGGAAGAATACTTGCATCCCGCGTACCTGAAATGCGCCTATGAAAATGGTAATATTATCATCCCCTATACTGTTAAAGTTAAAGTGATTTAAAATCAAACAAAACAGGCTCCGGCATGTTCCACCGTATGCGAGAACACATCCGCACCCAAAGCACCGGAATCGAGCTCTTCCAGCATAGCACCGACCGAGTTAAATCCGAATTGATCAAGCTGCTGGACAAGATCGAACACGATCTGATCTCCATCACCACGCGTCTTATGGAACAAACAACGCGCGACTACACTACTTGCATCATCACCCCGCTGGTCCAGCAGCTCACATCTTCAAGTCAGAGTCAGGCTCGGATCAAGCGGGAGGCGGCGGATGTGGCCCGGGAAGCTGAGACGGAGCTTGGGCTCGATGAGCTGTTGAATAACGTTAATACTACTGCTGCTACTACTGGTACTAGTCATGGGCGTGGCCCGTGGGAAGGTGATGGACGTGATGGGCAACGCGAGCGACACGCGCTGGAGACTATTAAAGAAGAAGATGAGAGCGAGTAATAGGGGGGACAAATGTGACAGATGGATTGATTGTTGGACTTTTGGCGGGAACAAACATCGGTACAGATGTCCTTTCGGAACCCCGTACTCTGGTACAGACTCGGATAGCCACACCATCTACAGGATTCCGTACCTTCCACTACTGCTACTGGTTGCTGTCCACGAAAAGCAGAATAATCATTCTAATAGTCTCTGTAAAATACCAAAAACCAGTACTTACACGGCCCGGCAATCCCACTGTGACTGCGCTAAACACAGACCAGCAGCTCGTCCAGCCTCCATGATTTTTTCCCATCTGCTGCGCTTCTTTTCTTCTCCTTCGTCACTCGTGGTTTCTTATTGATTTCTTAATTCTGGCCTGTCAGAATAGATCGACGGGCCAGCGAACAGTTCAGATTGGTATTTCTCTGTTATATATCAGCTGTCTTCCAGGTTTTTATATGAGCGGTCTGGTTTTTCATCTTCTTCCACTGCCACCGTCACCAAGATACAACCACTAAATATACAGCTATTTACCACCGAATTGTATCCGAATTTGACTGGATCATGGATTAATGTGTTCTAACTGCTTCCACCGTCTCTTTTGAGCTCTTCTGCTACACAACGTGCTATACACAGCGTATATCTCTCTGTATACCGACTCCGGCCAATCCGCACAATTCCACCGCCTTCGTCCCGATTCGATCGAAAAAAAGAAGAAAAAAAAAAAGTTTCCAATGGTTCTCCCTCACTTCTTCTCACGAGACAAATTCAAGACCAAAGATAAGGGAAAAGAAGAGAAGAAGAGCAAGAGCAAACCCAAGCACACTGTTATCCCTCCGGTTAATCCCATTAAACAACCTTCCTCCCCTCCACCGGTGAATCATATCCAACGCAAACCCCATCCTCAGCAGCCTACACCACAGGCTTCAGCTCCTCCACAACCACAACCTCAGTCTCACCCGCAATCTCGTCCTCCTCCATACTCTCCTCCGCCACCACCTCCGAAATCCTTTGATAGAGCGACCAGTCTTCGTACCTCGTCTCGCCACCCTCCGTCTTCTACCTCTGGTACGACTGCGACTGCGACTGCGGAACCTGAAATACCTCCGCCGCCGCCGCTACATCGTCTTCCTCCCAGGCACAAGACTGTCTCTCACCACGCTCACTCGCGTTCTCATAACTCCGCCATCCCAGTCTCTCCTTCGTCCGCTACTCCCTCGCCGGCGTCTTCCCCTCCTACGTCGACATCGACGACAACCTCTCCTCCCCACCATAGGTCGTCGCCTACTAAACCTACTGCCACATCTCGCTCTCAATCCCTACACGCGCATAGTCGCTCTTCCTCATACCCACCTAAAAAAGCTCCTCCTCCTTCCTTTTCATCCTCGAGGTTCAGCTTTTCGCCTCGGTCCTCGGCTTCCAATCGCCACTCCAAACACCAGGATACTCACCCGTTGAACCTCCCACCTGACGAGCTCCGTCGTTTGTCGGCTATGGCTGCTGCCCGCGACGAATCTGTAAACGCAATGGACATTGACAACAAGAACGGGGCCAATGGCTCCGCAGAGAAGAGCCCTACTCCTCCGCCGCACCGCTCTGGTGGTGAGGCGGAAGCATTCAAATTGGCTGGAAACAAGTTCTTCAAGGAGAAGAACTATAGCCGTTCCGTTGAGGAATTCACCAAGGGTGTGTATCGTCTTATGTTCTGAGATTGGTGTGTCATGCTGACTCTTTAGCCCTTGAAATTGAACCCAATTCTCCCGTTTTCCTTTCGAATCGTGCTGCTGCTTACATGGCAGCAAACCGTTTCCTCGAGGCGCTGGAAGACGCTGAGCGTGCCAAGCAGTTAGATCCGGCAAACGCCAAGGTCATGTACCGTATGGCTCGTATCTTGACCAGCTTGGGTCGTCCCGTTGAGTCTTTAAATGTCCTTTCTCAAATCCAACCCCCTGCCTCGGCTGCCGACCGTGCACCCGCAGAGAAGATGCTGCGTTTCATCAACCAGGCCGAAGAGATCCTCACTCAGGACCGTGGGGTATCTATGATGGTTTTCTGTCTCGACCAAGCCCGCCAGATGCTCGGTGCCGGTGTCAAGGAGCCCCGGAAGTGGACCTTGCTCACCGCAGAGGCACAGCTGAAGATGGCCAACGACAACGCATATGGCAAGGCACAGGACATTGCCATCAACATGCTCCGGGAGAACAACCAGGACCCCGATGCTCTGCTCATCCGCGCCCGGGCATTCTACGGCATGGGTGACACCGACCAGGCTCTCAAATACCTCAAGATCTGTCTGGGTTTGGATCCCGACATGAAGAAGGCTATGGTTATGCTGCGTATGGTGCAGAAACTGACCCGGACAAAGGAAGAAGGAAACGCCGCCTTCAAGGCCAAGGACTACCGCAAGGCCATTGATCTCTGGTCGCAAGCCCTGTCCGTTGACTCGAAGAACAAGGACGTCAACTCTAAGATCTTGCAGAACCGTGCTCAGGCATACATCAACTTGAAGGATTATGACAGCGCCGTCAATGACTGCAACGAAGCCCTGCGGCTCGACCCCGGGTACACCAAGGCCCAGAAGATGCGTGCCAAGGCTCACGGTGCCTCTGGTAACTGGGAGAAGGCTCTCCAGGACTACAAGTCTGTTGCGGAAGTCAACCCGGGAGAGAAGGGCATTCACGAGGAGATCCGTCGTGCTGAGCTCGAGCTCAAGAAGTCGCAGCGCAAGGACTACTACAAGATCCTTGGTATTGAGAAGGATGCCTCGGAACAGGACATCAAGAAGGCCTACCGTAAGCTGGCCGTCAAGTACCACCCTGACAAGAACCGTGACGGTGAGGCCGGTGATGAGAAGTTTAAGGAGATTGGCGAAGCCTACGAAACCTTGAGCGATTCTCAGTATGTTTTTTTTTACCCCGCCTTATCTTTTGATTCAACTTGCTAACACTCTTCTACAGAAAACGTGCTTCCTACGACAACGGTGACGACCTTATCGACCCTGCTGACATGTTCGGTGGTGGCATGGGCGGTGGCATGGGCGGTATGGGAGGGATGGGAGGGATGGGAGGGATGGGAGGAATGGGTGGTATGGGCGGCGGTGGTACCCATATCAATATCGATCCCAACATCCTGTTCAACATGATGAACGGTGGTGGCGGCGGTGGATTCGCTGGCGGCGGATTCAGCGGTGGTCAGCCTCGTGGTGGATTCGGTGGATTCCCATTCTAAGCCCCAACGGTCAGACAGTGCGATTGGGTGACCGTCTTCCCATTGTCCACCAACGATAAAAAAAAAAAAACTTAAAAGATAATAAAGGAGGACACGACAGACATGAGTATGAAAAAATCTGTTCATCCTTTGGTTTATTCGACTTTGTGTGTTTCTCTCTATGATTCTGTGATTGTGATTGATTGGATGATGGTGCCATGTCCTGCGATGATTCCCCCCGGGTGTGCATTGCATGTTCTGCGACTGCTTTGCAGCTGATGTTTATAGACTGGGCGTTGTCTTCTCTCTTCTTTTCCTTTCCCCCTTTTCTTTTTAATTCTTTATTCCATATGTCTATTTTCCCCTTTCTTTTTTTTTTTTCGTTCTTCCCTCCAAGCAGCAGTATAGGTGGGATGTGTTATTTCTTCCTTTTCATCATTTTCTGTTCCCTTCACGTCATTGCCATTGCATGGGGAAAGAGATATTGAAACGAGAAAAAGAGGGCTTCGTTTGCTTTTCCCTTTTTGCTTACATTATCCATTTTGATTATGATAAAGACATTGCTACGGCGTTTATATACTCATTGAAACGGGATGGTATTGATATTGATGGCTGACTGTGTTGCTGTCTGCGATTTTCGGGACATAAGCTCTTGTCTTGGTTCTTTGGTTTTAGCATTGAGTAGAACGATGTAACGACGCAGATTTTGCTTGAAATATGTTCGTTCAGTCCTTGTAGTCTCTAACTGCGATTTCCAAAGAGCAGTCTGCATGTCTTGAAGGCGGCAGTCACATGACGGTACGATAGTTCTCGCATCATTTATCATTGATCCTGATATTTGAAGCAACCTCCAAACCTCACCAACGGGCAGTGAAATCAACAGTGAATACTCTACTCGAAGCTCAGAACATGAAGCCTTTAAACCCTTACCGACGGGGCCTCGAGCTCACCGTTCAATCATACACCCTTCCACATCCACGGACTATGATCATTGGAAATGTACCAACCCCGAGAAGAACGAATGGCAAGAACTAAGCCCGGAGGATTATGGGTGTCGACGTTGATTTCCTTGTATACCTCTGTTTTTCTATCGTTCAATCCATTCTTCAATGTTAGATTAAGGAGAAGAGCTTTTAAACAATGAATTTTATAATGGCGGTCCATAGACTTTTATGATAACTTAATCCACCACAGGGCTTGCTCTTAAGAATAGACGACATGCTATGTACATTTGAAGGACATCTCTTAGCCCCCCGTGCATCAATAATGTGTAGGAAAATGAGGAACTCGCTGCGTCACCCTTTTTCGTCCTCACCATCCTCCCGCTCACGATAGTGGCCCATGTTTCTCGCGCCAGTTGCAGTTGTGCAGCTCGTGATCAAGATCCAGATTGCCGTTCTTCTCACTCCCAGAATCTTGAGACGGTTCGTCGGATTGTCTGCTGTTTTGAGCTTGAAGGAAGAGCTCGTCAAACTCGTTAATCTAAGGGGGCATCCAACACAGTGATCCGCGTTTCCTGAGATTATGGTTGTGGAGACAGTACTTCTGATCATCACACAAACCAAGCTCATGGAACTAACATAGAATTTCGGCTTTATTTTGAATTTTTATCGTTTTTTTTTAAATCATGTAGATAGGTGCAGTTTTCGAATTTCCGACGTTTATTACCAAATGCGACCTTCAAAGACACCGTGGAAGAAAGAAAACGAAAGTGTTGCGACTTTATGGGCTGTTGCTAGTTGTATAGGCTCGAATCTTGCCAAGTATTTTGTTGAGTGACCGGTAATATGCAACTGGAGTCCAAGATCCTGCCTTAAGGTGTGACCTCTAACCCAGTACGGCCTTCTGAGAGTTGAGCAGCTGATGCATTTGACAATTAGAGAGAATGTTGGACCAGCGTTTAGTTCTTCGACAAAGACGGGCACCGAAACGCATGGTACGACGTTCTCGACTGAGTCCAAATATTATGAGTCATTGAGGAGTTGTAGGGGGCACTGAAGAACAGAACAGAAAGATCCTGCAAGTCGTGAGCAAAGCTAGATAGAAAAAAGGCCGTAACAACGCAACCAAAAATATAAATATTGGGCCAAAGATGTCAACTTTAGCCTAGCCAACCTCAGACATCTATCCCTGCGCACCAGAATGACAACTCGTTTATTTTGTGTATATAGCGTATAAACCGAGCTGGCAATGATATAATAGTCCGCAGTCGTTGTTTGCTTTAAGTGTTTTTTTGTTGCACAGTTGGCTCCCAGGATAGCGTAGTATTTAGTTTAGTACGCATATATCGCCATGTTCTGTCGACACAAGGCGACAACTCTAGTTGTCTGATACCATCCTTCAATTCGCGTGTTCGACTCGTGAGGGTACACAAAACGTTACATGTTTATACAAATCTTTCAAGGGTTTCGGTTCTAAATCATAAGGTGTCTCCCCATGGCCTGCGAAACAAAGGGATGTGTAGGTGTCGATGCAGGGCGACAGTTTTGGTTATTAGTCATCGAATGTCGTTACGGATCTATTGGAGACACCAAGCCGGGTGCTCAAGATCATAATAGCCCGTTTTCTGGTAGCTGATGTTGGTAATGACAGCTACTTCCATGCGTGGTTTCGGGTTTTCTGTCACTTCAACCAAGCTTTCAGACTGCAGTAGAGGTAGATGCATAGTATACTCATGCGTTACTCGTATCGAATAACGATCGGTATTCTTTCAAGGTAGAAGTTGTGATGGCCTGTACTATTAATTAGCGATTTCTTATAGAAATATCTCAAAGAATGACAAACCTGCGCGCGGCGCAGAAAGCAGATTGTGGTTATTAGTCTTGGGAAGCCCATGTCTGTGTGTGGTCACTTTGCCGGGCATAAGATCGTGCAGAGTATGCTTTGAGCGATGGCGAAGCCTTGGGAGTCTCAGGTCGTCACCTGGTTCCAAAAAAAAAAAAAAGATCACTTGCTGCTTTGGGGGATGATATACATACGAATCACTTGATAAAAGCAGCGGTGTTATGACGTTAGACCTATTCCCAAGTCGATTGAACTTGAGGGCCACATTCTTACCAGCCCTAGCCGAATGGCCCAAGACAGATCCCAACACGCACCGCGAAGATTATTCTCTTGTATATAGACCGTGTATACATCAAGCCCACAAATGTAGGATAGTCCCACCATCGTTGTTCGCCGTTGAGGCGTTCTCGTGTTCAGAACGTCGGTAAGCCAAATTGGCTTTAGGTAGGTAGTCTCGTTTCAGCGGGAAAATGTATAGCGAGGGGGGAATTTCACTAGAGACAAAAACTGTTAATTCGAAAGTTCAAACAGGTAGAATAAGGAGGGACAGGGTTTACTGAGACTCTTCTGTGCTATGGCCACTCATGGTGATCAACTATATATATTGGGCCCATAATTATTGAAGCTCCGAGTAGTTGTTCTGTTTGGAAAATGGGTGCTTCAGTATAAAACATAATATAGTGGAGTGGTTGACCATGAGAGGGAATCAATAAAGTAAAAGGTATATATATAGAGGCAGTCAGGTGACCTTATTGGAACGTTCAATAAAACCACAAAACACAGGATATGGGACGAAGAAGACGGCGATACCTGTGCCCCAGTAATGTTACTGCAGTGAATCTGTCTGATCCTAGAACCAGAGACGTGCAAACGATTGTTTCGGGAAAACGCAGATATAGAAAAAAACATGATGTGACTAGTCAAGCACGGCCTTGGCAAAGAATGTATAAGAATTGATAAGGTGGGTATCCATTCTAGACAAAACTAACTATTAAGAATAATGCATATAACAGAACTGCTTGTACTTGAACTGTGACTATACCGTTCAAGGGATAAGCAAAAGCATATGAATAGTCGCCAAGCATAGCAAACAAAATTCGTTACGGCGTAATCTTCTGTTTCCCAATCATGTCCATGAAGCTATGTTGAGTCGCCATCGTATCACATCGTTAGGCGACAAGGCCATTTAACTTCGCACTCCTCGTACCGAGTAGAAATTGTTCTGGTTGATATGCTTTGCTTTGCCGGTTTTCTCGTCAAAGATGGAGCAACCGTGTAAAGCAGCATAAGGTGGTGTATATACTGTAACTATCAGTACCGGACAAAGGATGAAAGATGAGGCAATACCTACAGTGTAATGAGACGGCAAAGTTGTTCGGATCAGGGTTGGAGATTTTGTGAAGACCCAACTGGGCAAGAGTTAGTTTCCCATTTGAGATACCAGTACTGCAGGGATACGTACTTCATCAGACATGTAGGTGACCTGGTCTCTGCCATAAAGAGTCTCCCTCCTCACCTGTGGAGGCGATACTTGTCCATGCTCGACCTTCTCTTGATCTGGCCATGAATAGAGGGTCTCTTGGAGGGTGCCTTTGAGGATCTGCACAAGTCAGTTAGGCCGCGGTGCTTCGACTTCAACATGCAATACCTACCTTCATGACGCAGTGTGCATTGGCATGATCGTGGATCACGCTGCTCTTCCCAGGACTCCAAACTAAGATAAGCTGGCAAGAGCGACGCATTAGCATGTGATCCAACGGTACAGCTGACCCAACTACCTGGTTTTTGGGTCGTCAAGCGCCACTCACCAAGTTACTCTTCCCATTCCCCTCGTCAATGAGGTTCCTTGTATACGGCCGACTACTATCCCCCAGTGCATATTGCGCCCATTCCTCTGAATTAGAGATATAACCCTCCATCAGGCGCTGGATATCGAGTGGGTCGACGTCATCCGAATCAAGCCCCGAGCTTGGCCCTAATGCGGCGCTAAGATCGTGGACGAGCTTCTCGAAAGCAGTGTCTGGGGGAGGAGTAGGGTTCTGGTTTGGGATGGCCGGAGGAGAGGCTGATCCGTTGCTGATGTAGGGCATATTGATAGACGATAACGTTTTCTGTGGATATTTGGTAGGTTCGGTTGTTTCACACAAGGTGGTATAGATGTTCGAGGTATTTATGGTTATCAATAGAGTAGTACTTTAGGACTGAGATCGCCGATAAACGCGGTCTGGGGTATATCGAGCAGAAGGACGGAAAGAAAGAAGGACTGCGAAGAACCAGACCACAAGGTCAATTGCGCTTTATATCGAGTATCGAATTGCACATACGTCACACCGGTCCTTCCTCGGTAGTAATACAGACAAATGGATGCGGTGTAGGTACATCTGATAGTATACAGATAAAAGAATGTAGGATATGTAGCAGCAAGTACTATATCTATCGCAAAAGTCCGGTCGGGTCGGCGTCTTCAGGAGAGAACGGCGACTTCGCACGCCATCCGAAGATAAGCGATAAGGTGCCTAATGTCGCCTAAGGCGACAAGGCATGCACGCCACTCCGCCTGACTAAACCGGCGAATGAAAGTGGCGGCCACAATCAAAGTCTCCATATCCTATCCTTTTTGAAAACTGACGTACGGGTTCTGCGCAGCATTGCAAGCCAGCTTCTTGAAGACCTCAGATTTATCGCTTTTTTTTATACAAGAGACAGAGGGTGACCCTCGTATCTTACCGTCAAGATGTCGACCACCGTGGATAAGGTAGGTTGCTCACGCTTTTTTACATCGTCCCTTTTTTTTTTTTCAGTCGCCCGAATGTTGAAAAGCAATTGCAAAACGAATTTGACTAACACCATGTTCACCTATAGATCAAGCAAATCGAGGACGAGGTTCGTGCTAAATCGGTTCGACCCTTGCGCGCACAAGAATTTGCATACTGATAATCATCATGCAGATGGCTCGGACTCAGAAGAACAAGAACACCTCCTTCCACTTGGGTATGCGCGCACAGATGAAAAGGAGCAAAACCGGATTTTAACTGACGGGATGGTATAGGACAGCTGAAGGCTAAGCTGGCGAAGCTAAAGAGAGAACTTTTGACCCCGTCCGGGGGCGGTGGTGGAGGTGGCGGTACGTGCTTTCCCATCGTGCATATTTGATATCATGTGCTAACGGGCGCCATGTTCAGCTGGTTTCGATGTTGCCCGTACCGGTGTCGCGAGTGTGTACGTCATTTCTTGAATTCCCGCGTTAGTCGAACGAACGGTATTGACTTGGACAGTGGTTTCATTGGTTTCCCGTCCGTCGGAAAGAGTACTCTGATGAGTAGATTAACAGGCCAGCATTCCGAAGGTTCGTGTGAAACAACAGTACTTTCTAAGTGAAAGTAGGGTTAGCTGACTAGGCTTTGAAGCTGCTGCCTATGAATTCACAACTTTGACCACCGTGCCCGGACAAGTGATGTACAACGGCGCCAAGATTCAGATTCTCGATCTTCCGGGTATTATTCAGGGTGCCAAGGATGGTAAAGGTCGTGGTCGTCAGGTTATTGCGGTGTCGAAGACGTGCAACCTAATCTTCATCGTCCTCGATGTCAACAAGCCTTTGGTCGACAAGAAGGTTATTGAAAACGAATTGGAAGGGTTCGGCATCCGTATCAACAAGCAACCTCCCAACATCGTTTTCAAAAAGAAGGACAAGGGTGGTATCGCCATCACGAGCACCGTTCCCTTGACCCATATCGATCACGACGTAAGTGGCGCATCTCTTGCGGGTTTTGCGGGTTTTGCAGCGGCTAATTCGCGCGCTCACAGGAAATCAAAGCTGTCATGAACGAATATAAGATTTCTTCGGCCGATATTTCTATTCGTTGCGACGCCACCATTGACGACCTGATTGACATCCTGGAAGCCAAGAGCCGAAGCTACATCCCCGTCATTTATGCGTTGAACAAGATTGACTCCATCACGATCGAGGAGCTGGACCTTCTTTACCGTATTCCGAACGCCTGCCCCATCAGTTCCGAGCACGGCTGGAACGTCGATGAATTGTTGGAACAGATGTGGGAGAAGCTCAACCTGCGGAGAATTTACACTAAGCCCAAGGGCAAGGCGCCGGATTACACAGCACCCGTTGTGCTTCGGGCCAATGCTTGCACGGTGGAAGATTTCGTACGTATATTGCGGTTTATGAATTCCGTGATGAGTAATACTGACTACGTGCTAGTGTAATTCCATTCATCGGTCGATCAAGGAACAGTTCAAGCAAGCTATTGTGTACGGACGCTCAGTCAAGCACCAACCGCAGCGTGTCGGACTTACGCACGAGCTCGCTGATGAAGATATTGGTGGGTAACCCCATGCATGAGAACTAAAGAGAGACGATACTAACTGACCACAGTGTCGATTATCAAGCGGTAAAGGGAGACCCCGAAATCGACCTTTCAAAGCCCGGAGAGAGCCGCGGGCCAATCGCGCTCTAGGGAGATTCTCCGGGAACCCGTGCTGGTGTGTCTCGCGGGATTTATTCTTCTACCAACCCCAGCACCCAGCAGGCCCGGCTCTTGTGCGATTGATCTCGGCGAGAAAAATATGCGATAGAGTTTGATGAGAGGGGAACAGGGAGAGTTATCTATGCAGCCAGTAACAAGCTGGTATTGCATGTTACTTGTTCGGGATAGGGATGATTTGAAATGATGATGAGTTAGTATGTACTTATGTCCAGTCGTCTTTTTATTCGTAACGTCCCATTTTTTGTCTGAGGGACTGGCGTGTTTTCCTTTTGAGGTCATCTGAAGAACCGAATGACTTCTATTTCCATATATAGCTTCCAAACGAAAACGAGAAACAAAAGTTCTGAAAGTCAATCGGACTCATCCTCTACTTCGTACTCCGTACAATCCCTCCTTATCCAGAACTCAGCCTCGTCCACGCAAAAATAGGGAGAAAAAGAAAGGGGCCCTAAATCTAGACCAGGTCCATCACTAACGGTTGTATTGGCATGTCTGATCCTGACGCGTAGGTTTCGATTTCTCGATCCGGATTCGGGGCAAGTCCGGACGTCGTGCCCTGGGCGTCCATATTGCAATAACACCTAGAATACTCGAAACCTGTGCGAGGATCGAGGACGCGATTGGATTTGTGTAATCCTTGTGTAATACACGGCTTGCCAGTGGTAGTGATACTTGATAGGTTGTAGTACTTGGTACTATTAGTAGTTATATCTATGCAGAAAAGCAGCAGGGTCAACTAGGAGGTCAATGATAACATGGCATAACTCCCTTGATCGAACCGAATCCTAGCTCGCCCGAGTAAGTCCTTGTAAAAGATCAATGGCCTGGCCTAACCAGAACTGCCTTGATTAACACAGCGCATCATTAAGAAGCGGCCTATGCGGGCTTGAGAGCTGTCAGGAAGTGGACTATTGGCGGTTTAGTAGGTTATCTAGATGATCCTATTCTTAATAGACAGTACTTGTTCTAGTACCAGCGTGTAATTAGTATGCACCAATACTTGTAAGTACTTGTACCAGTACCGTACGAGTAGTTACATGTTACTGTACGGACGGAGCTGTGCGGAGATATCACTGAGCATCATCCGCAATACGCCGATCTACCCGAAGGATAATCGTACGGAGTTCCTATACTTGTACAAGTACATGTACTGGTAGTGATCCTGGTGAGTATGTACTCGTCTCGTATGAATACAAGTTGTATTATGCTAATGCACAGCCTCTTTACTTGGATTAATGCAATGCACTGCAATGCAAATGCACCTCCATTGACCTATACCAAACCATGCTTGATGTAATATAATAACACGCACTAATATATTAAGTCGAAATCGATCAATCAGATTTTACTTTCCATAAGAAATTCCCCCCAGAGCCCTGCAGACTTGGAATTATGAAAATTCTGAGTCGTGTCAGGTGACTGTTATGGCACCGATGCCGGGTGCTTGCGAAATTGCATTGCCATTTATGGAGTCGGCTGCTGCAGATGCGATCATAGTGCTTACTTGGTTATTTTACTACTATTTGTGTGTATTTATCTCCTCCGTCCTCGGCCTTTGCTCTTCAGAGCTCTAGTCACTGTAATTCGCTTAATTAGTGCTATATACTACTGTTAGTTTTCCGGCTAAGAGATTTGAAAAAACTTTCTTTTTCGGCATACCCGTGACTATACGCATCGGCAGTATGGACAGCTCTGCGAAGATCGTCCAGCAAACACCACCATGCGCACAGTGCCACCGAATCTTCATCACAAAACGTCACTAAGTACGGGTACGGTGTGCGTATGGTACGGGTACTCGATTTGAGATTCACTCTGCAGTGTCTCAAGATTGAGACGGGGCTAATCTGTCCGGATATCGTGATCTGTTTTCTTGTTGTTCACAGTTTGATTCTATTATTCATGTCCGTCAATGTGTAGAAAAGGAAGGTGGTAGATGAATGTTGCAAGTCCGAGACTGCCGACAGAAGAAGCAATGCTGAATTGCAACAAACCTGATACTCTGCTGATACAGAGCAGAGCAGGGTACATGGCTATTTTACCCTAACCGGTGACCGACGTGACTATGCATACCAGTCTACCCAATCTCAAAGAAAGATTAAGAAGTAAGCCTGGCGTACCTGACAGCTGTGCTTGAATGAATGCCAAATGCGGTATTTCTGTACTACATACTTGTGGTTCTGCGCTCTGTGGACCTACTTGTCTGGGGAATTGGTATTTGCATTTGCATTGCGTATGGTGGATTTGGAATACATCGAGAGGGCGGAAACAGTGCGGTTCTGATATGGAGTGGACGGCAACCTCCATTTTTTTTTTTTTTCAGTTGTAAATAGGAAGGGATCCTCGATTGTCGATGTCATTTTGAAGAGAAAAAAGATTGATCATGTCAATTAATGGGGCAAGGATGAGAAAAAAAAAAGTGCATCATCCGATATTCTTCCTTCTGGCGCTCCCGGCGGATAAGACAGCTATTTTTTCTTACGATTCCGCTCCTGATGCTTGCTTTTCTCTTTTCATTCTTTTTAACCTCCGTGTTCTTATCAATCAACTACAAAGCAGCCCAGAAGTTCTCAACTCTAGTCGATCAATTGAAACAAATCATACCATCTTGATATCTGGTCAGTAAGTTTTAGATACGTAATACGCCAGAGGGCCTCGTGGCAGTCCGAACAGCGGGGCGATCACGTTTTCGTGTATTACCCGACTAGTACTAGTGTTATTTTGAGTAAGGCTGTACATGCATGATGGGCGTGCAGGGTACAGAGTAGCTCGAGTATCTCGAGTATGCGCATCGCAATAAATACTCTCTTTGCTTGACTAGAAGTATGTAAGAGTAGAGAAGCAGAGCTCCTACTCAAAACAGGAGGACTCGGACAAACTCCTTCCACATACAGAACACTTCAAATGAAGTGTAACCCCCCCCCCCCCCCCAACCAATCAAACCCCTAAATCCGATCTGCTTAGGTTGCGGACAGAGTCAAAGTAAATCTCTCCTTTCTCGATATTAACCGGACTTGTACGTACATACAGACTATGACTGGGTTAGGGTGCCGGGCCGTGCTTGTGGGCCGCTCGGTGGGGTCTGCGCAAGTGGGGTGGGTACTGGTACCCGGAGGTCCTAGCTTCTCTAGCCTTTGTATTTTTATCGCTATGTATTACAGTTATAGCCTCTTCTAGGCGATGATTGGTGATTTGTCTCTATGCCAATGTAACAAAAACGAAAATGAAATCATGGTGGGGGTTATGATTGGCTGGAGGCTATTTGCGACTGTCATTTGTGTTACAAAGTACATGCAGATCAGCTGACGAGTGGTGAGTCTTCTGGTCATGTACAAGTATTCAGTGAATATGCTCTGTACTGAGTAGAAGTATTCTGCAGAGTACTCTGTAGTTGTTGCTCAATATCAGATCCAACGTATCCGGGTTATTGTAAACTCATCTCTGATACCGTGAACGGACCCGGAAAACAAAGATCTACATGATGCTGGATTTATTCCTGTACGGATATCCTCCGTTCTCCTTCCCCTGATGTCTTTCACATGGTGCAGAGTACGGTTACAAGTACGGCAACCGTTGTGGCTGGCTAGATCAGGATGTCATGCGCCTTTAGGTTCAGCGGGTTCATCGATCCGCTCTCCGCCCGTCCATCCAACAACATCTTGGCTTATTGAAGATTTTCCCTGTCCAGCCACGGAGGATCGCGTTTTGAACGGGTTTATTGGTTCGTTTGTGAAGAATCTGTCAGTAGCCCCGAGTCACTCAGTAGCTAATAAAAAAGATTCGGACCTCAACGCTTCACTTGACTCATTGCTTTTTTCTCTTTGAAGAGTTTTCAAGGTTCCGCTCCACTAAGATCGGGTATCCATTGACTATTGAGTCGCCTGTACCCAATTCCGTCCAATTCATTCCGTTCATTGTCTCATTCTCTTTACAGGGCACTCTTGATACTGTACTAGGATAGGGTCTTACAGATTCCGATAATACCAGACTAGTCCATCTCAGTCAAGTATGAAATTCGCGCTCTGATTGGATTAGAACTCTCCAACCTAAAAAAGACCCCGGCCCTCTTCCCAATCTACACCGTGACCAATCGGTGCCCGTATCGCCCATCTTTTTCTGCTCACTCTCGATTTTGTCTTTTTTTCCCTCCCTCTTGTTTCGTGCTGTCATGTACAATACCTGTTCTGTATTTTTGTATGTATCTCCGTATGTATTTAACACCGTAAGCATCGACTGCAGACAATCCTTCATCCTGTGTCTTGTGCCTATTTCTATTACCCTTCTGGGCCTCTGATCATCCATACATAATATCATACAATATACTCGTATAGATACATACAGATACAGATACGTACCGCACGCCCCGCTGAGTCGTGCTGTTTGCTCCCCTTCTTTCTTTGCCTCCGATTTCTTTTCCTGCAGGCCCTTTTGTATAGTTACATCCTTCTTCCACTCTTCTTCTCTTTCCCTCTCTCTTTCTCTCAGCTGCAGTGGACTATTCTCACGGGATTCAATCCATCTGCAATCCTTCCAAGATCAGTGGACTCAGTGGGTTCCTTCCTGCATCTTTTCTCTCTCATTGCTTACTTGAGTATGCATCTTGTTCTGTCTGCTGCAGCGTAAAGCTTTACATCAATATTTTTCCCATCCTGCCCACTGGCCTTGAACAACCCCCTTTTTCTCCTCGATTGTTCCCAAGCCTTTGTTCGACTTCACAGCTCTCTCGGTAACCTCTTTCAAAGGAAAAATAAAATAAAATAAAATAAAAAAGCACAAACAATGGATACAGATCACCACCATCAAGGATCAGATAACAGCAACAGCAACAACAACTTCGGCCCTCCCTCTTGGATGGAAGTTGGGGATATGAACTCCTCCCAGCACTCGCCCACCCTCCCCGATTTCCACAGCATGGGCTATGGCTCTCACCCTATCATGCCCTTGGACCCGTCCTACGGTCTGTCAATACCTCCGCCCTACGCCTCGCTGCCATTGACCGTCCCGTCACACCAATGGCCCAGCTTGATCGCAACGCAATCGCATTTCCCGGATTCTGGTCTGCCGTCGCATACTCAGCTTCCTGGTGTTTCTCAGGTTGCGCCTCAGCAGTCGGGACGTAAGTCGTCCACTAGTAGTGCTGCGCCGCGGAGGACGCTTACGGATGAGGACCGTCGACGCATGTGTCTTTACCATGAGGAGCATAAGACGGCGAAGCAGACGGATATTGGAGGTAAGTTTGACCTTGTTCTTGTTATTGGACTTTGACTAACATGATCACCAGCTTTATTTGGCGTGGAAAGAAGGTACAGTCATCTCCGCTTACCAGAAAGAAACACATGATCTAACATTAGGTTAAAGTACGGTTTCGAAGGTATTGCGCCAAAAGGAAAAGTATCTGAATGCCGAGGACACAACGCGATCTCCCATTAAGCGCACCAAAGGGAGAGTCCCCGACATCGAGAAAGCCCTATCTAACTGGGCTCGCAACTATCAAAAGCAAGGTTTCCCTCTGGCTGATGCGCAAATCCGGGAGAAAGCTATGTTCTTCGCAAGCACCTGTGGTAGCCCTGATGGGAAAGAGAGGGTTTTGACCACGCGATGGCTGGAAAAATTCAAGCAAAAGCATATTCTCGGCTCCAAGTCTCGAAAGAGTTCTTTTGCTAGCGCCAAGAGTGACTCGACCAGTCCATCTCGTCTCAGCATCAACTCCGCGTTGGCATCTGCCGTGCAGTCTCCTACTCTGATTTCTCCCACCTCGCCCACCGGGTTCATTTCACCAACATCCTTGTCTCCCACTCAGAGTCACGAGAACATCAAGACGAACCTGGCAGAGAGCCTCGCTGATTTGGCAGAATACCAAAGAAACAACAAAAATATAACTTCCCCGGATACCACTGCTTCTTCCCTCTCGCCTGGTGTGACTAGCCCAACATCATTGATGTCGGACCCATTTTCCCCTGCCACGGATGCCAACAAACCAAGGAACGAAGCGTTCCCATTCGGCACGGTTGACCCCAACATGATATCCGAGCAGCAGCAACACCAACAATCACCTCTCGAACAACATCAGCCCCATCCGCTGTCCCTTCCGATTCTCGAATCGCCTTTCGAAGAGCACCACAACACCAACACTGTCCCTGATCATTCAAATACTGTTAAGCGCAACCGTAGTCATCCCGAGATCAAGGCTCGACCAATTTATCCAGCCATCTTTTCCAAGTCAGCCACCGTTTCGCCAATCAGCCCTCCTGGGTCTCCCACACAGGATGAAGCGCGTCAGGCTTTGGAACTGGTCATGAACTACTTCCAACAGCAACCGGCAGGGCTGTGTGCGCAGGAATATTTTACTATGGGGAAGTTGATGGAGCGACTGGACTTGGCTAAGAACCAGTCCCATATGCTTCCTGGCGGATTTACTCGGATTGAAGAACACAACGATCCGACCTCCCAAATGAATAGGAAGAGGAGCATCCATGGTCTTGTTTAGGGCTGGTACCTAACATTGCATTTTTTTTTTTTTTTTTCTCATGCTTACTGGTGTTTGTTTTGGTTTTCATTTTGATGTTTTCTGGTTTTGTTCGGTTCGGTTTATTATTCCCCATTCCCGTTCTGTTCTGTGTACGCGTATATACATGCGCCTTCTGCGAAGGCCCTCCGTTTGTTACATTCCCTCCACCCTGTTTCTTACCATACTTTACACTCCTCAATTTTCCTATTACGTCTGTTTCTATACATACGCAGTCCCGTCTCGTTAACAACCAATCAACAAAACGAACGACAGCCGTTGAAATTAGCCTTTCGGGGAACCGCAGAAAAAACCGTCCGAAACCCGATCTTCCCGTGCTAATGCAAATGCGATATTTTCCCAGAAGCGCGCAACTGAGTCATGCTTGCCGATAATGCTATATGTATGGTTTGGAACTACATACGGGGCGTCGCGCAGTTGCATGTTCTCGAAGGTTAACGGCCTGACTCGGCGGTGCGACGACGACTCGAATATGATACTCGATTCGTTCTTCTGAGACATTCTGACATTCTGTCGGCGTTCTGCCTGTTAATTGGGGTTGCTTTGAGTTGATTTGCATATACGTGTCCTTTCTTTCCAATCTCTTTGATTTTACTCTTCTTGTGTTTGGTTGATTTTCAATCGCATTTTTACTTTCGCTTCGGGGTTTGAACCATGGATGGACTATGGACCCGGTAATCGTGTACGGATATGGAATATGGATGGATACCCTGGATGGGACGAAAATGGAAAGCAAAAGCAATCGATCGATCGATATGGATTACTTTTTTTTTTTTTTTTTGATTTTTTTTTCCCAAACTCTGTCTCCATTTCATCATATTAATTTATATTCCACACCGCTTGTTTGTCCATGTTGATAAACGAGAGCGCAAGCGCAAAGCGAAGCGAAAGGAATAATTCCTTTTTCTCGTGTCGTTTTTATTGTCCTATTTTTTTTTTTTTTTTTTTTTTTTTTTTTTTTTTTTTTTTTTTTTTTTTGCCCCTCATGTCGGCCACCGACTCTACTTATTATGATATAGCACTATGGAGGGCGAGCACTTAATCTACATAATCAATATCGATTTATTTAAATTGAATTCTTTACTCAAGTAAATCATAATCTTCCGGATCCGAACGTTCCTTGAATAGAGATGAGATAGATCCCTGCCCTAAGCACCGCACCCCATCCCAATTTCCAGCCCCAATAAACCGTACCCTGCTAGCTTCATTCCTTATGCATTCCTTCGAGGGCACCCCGCAGATACCTGATTTTTCCCCTGGCACTACTGGAGTACAGCGATTTCAATATAACAATCCCCTATACGGAATATAGTACTTGCTTATGGTCCATTATTAGGCGTGGAGACCATCTTCGCCACAATCTCAAAAGAAATTTCCACGGTCCTTAAACCCATCTAAATTCGCTTCCGGCGATTCTTTTTAGTGCGTAATATTTACTAGTGCTAGGTATCTGTGATTAAAATTTCGACTTCTATTTTTAGGTTCTATCATAAACGGTAATTTTGATGCCCTACAAACTCTCTTCACCCATCACCGACTGCCGAGTTCTCATGTACCTAAGGTGTAAAAAAAAAAAAAAAAAAAAAAAAAAACCTATAAAACAACTTTTTAACCATCTGATGACTGAAGGATGATGAAAGTATACCCCTCAGCTGATGATGCTAATCTTGGACATGATACCATGAAATTGCACTTCGAGAACGTTGATTGCCTTTCGATCATCAACCTCCTGCATCCTCCTTGAATGGCAATCACCTTGAGTTCCATATCTAAGTATCATTAAAAACAGAATATCCTCTCCCCAAGTCCCCTCCTCGATGCTCCCTCTCCCTTTTGCCGTCAGCAAATTGCGAGGTATACGAGGTATACACTGTGCATCTAGTCTGTCAAGATAATCAACCTGACCGAACAGAACCCCTGACCTCTTGTCAGGCATGAATTTCCGAGGAGCAATGAGTGCGACAGTTTCCAGAATCACCATAATATCCGTGAATGCGACATCACAGCTCACTTGCAAAGTCATTATTTCTTTGTTCTTCGCCAACTTTTCTGTACGGATCATGAAGAGGGGAATTCAGATGTTACCTGAAGGGATCAGGCAGAATATCGTCTGTTATCAGAGTCCTATGGCTCCCGGTGGCCAGAAGCATAGGGACGTTTCTCAGTTCACACTCCGGTGTCAGTGTCAGTGTCAATACTATCCACTCCTCGCAGGGCGAGGATTCCCCGAATGATAGGAAGGTGGTCTTCTGTCAACTCTGAGAGAATAGTCACATGCGACTCTTAAAATCGTTCATTGGCTAGGTCGCGGGCCATCTTCATAAGTCTTTGCGATCCTCCTCGTCCAGAGTCGAGGATCAAGCTCGCGCCTCCGACAATTGATATGTTGCTCTGAATTGGACAGCCAGCAATGGGCTTAGAGGGTTCCTCATTCAACTGGAGGGCTATTCGTTGCAACTCTCTTCTGTTCTCCGTCCTACGAGATACTAAAAATATCGGTTCGTCGGTGTCTTTGAGAAACTCATAAGTTGCACGAACCGCGTTGCCCTAGATGATGTGAGCGGGTAACTTAATCACCAATTGTTCAGCTCTTCCCCCTCATCAAACGTGCTAGCTGACGAGAAAGACTGGTAGGGTGCAGCGTTCTCTCTTTTTCGGGTCGATTCATTTCACTGGGATAATATCAATACAAGCTGGGACAGGGGGTATCCGGCTATCTGACCTATCTTTAGTCCAGCGTCAACGTCAGGGAACGACTGTGCTTACTAAGCAGCAAAAACAGATCATGGCTCAATGTGAATAGGTAATAATGCGTTGTATGGACATGTCTATAAATGGAGGATCTTAACATAATCAAACATTAGAAAAACAAACCCCCCGGTCCTCAAGCAACTCCCCAACAGACCGCTCACCCAACTCAGGCACAAGCCTAACTAGAACAGTTTCAATAATTGAATATACAAGATGCTTATTACAGTACTCATCTTCCAACATATCAAGCAGTTCATTCTCAATGGCCGCAACGAAAACCGCGTCTTCGTCTTCTTCTGCCCCGTGTTCTCGATCAGCATCGGATCCACCAGCTGTTGGCCCTGACTCTTGCCGCTTCTGCGAGTCATTCGTAGTGTTATTGTGCCCACTATAACCGTTATTATAACCGTGGCTGTTAATTTGATCGTTATCATCGATCCAGATGGTACGATGGTTGCTATTATTACTACTATTGTGCACAACACCAAATAATCGTCGCGCAACTGGCCGCGGAATCAGTGCCAAGATATTGACCGCACAATGTCGCCTGATAGCAGCAATTTCTGGTGCTGATGGTCCAGCGCTCTCGGCCGACGACGTATTCGCATACCCTTTGTTAGTAATGTTGGCTTTGCCGCCCTCTGCTGCAGATGACGTAGGGGTACGCATTGATAACGGGAGTTGGACTGCTCGATCAGGCTCCGCCCCCTGCGGTGCAGGAACATTTACTGGGAAAAGCGCCGTCCTGGACGCGAGAAGCAGATGGGGCAACAGAGCGGGGGTCAACACATAGTCTTGAATGGTCTCATACAGGAACCTAATGCGCATTGGTAGGATTAGCAAGCGAAGAAAAAAAAAATATGAATAGTAAATCAACGGTGAAATGAACTGCGCCAATGGGGACGGTATGGTCAATCGATCGAGAGCGGTACTTTAGCCCAAGCGGTGGAGACGGCGAGAGCGGCTCGACATGCATTTTTCTTACTCGAGCATGAGCGAAGAAAATATCTTTTGCGAGCGCGAAGCTAATGAGATCTGCTTGGCCAGACCTCCACAAACTTTTAAGCCAATCATAACGGCGAGAGCGGATTCTCTAATAACTGGAGATGACGAAATCCAGGCGGATCGACCGCATTATTTGTTATGTATGGCCCGGAGACTCTTCGGCCAGAAGAGGAGGCAGAGCGATAGCGAGAGTAAGAAGCATCAATAGAAGTGGTGCATATAGCCGAAGACGGTTTAGTGAGCCTTGACGGGGCTTCAGGTCAGGCCGGAACTCCAAAAAGCCCTGTACGGCAGAAATTTCACTGATTGGCTGGTTTGTGCGAAAAGGCCATTTTCGGCCCTATCACGGCGAAATTTTTGGCAAGTCGCATGGCCGTTTTCCCGCTGATGCGTGGGTGATCGTCGCCAGTCATTTTATGTATCATCCTGGCCTGTGCTGACCGTATGGATGTCTGTATGTGTGGCAGGGTTGAGAAAGAGGGATTTCTATTCGTCTTTGTGTGTGGATTTCGGGCACCTATTGTGCGCCAATCGAAGCCCTGAAGACCAGGAAGCGAGATTTGCTCAGGGAGAGTTGCACTGGGGGACAAAGCGAAAGGGAACCTGGAGAAAGAGACGGCAAGGGCCGGTCCAGGCTAGGTTTGACCGCGTTATCCACACAGACAAAAAGAGCGACAATCCGGAAAAAGTTGGAGGTAGGCGAAATGGGTTGATTGACAGGGGCCCCATCTTTGTGCTCAAACTGGAGTTCGGTCTGTCCGACACAACCGGGGAGCAGAAAAGACAACGACGGAAAGCCCGAATGGTAATTACTGGTATCGTGACCAGTAAATTACTGACCATACGAGTACCGTACCATAACCGTACGCGCCGGTCACAAACGGTATGGCCAATGAGCGTGTCCACATCCCTGACGCCTGGGATGAACCGTGCAGTCATAGTCAGATCAAGTGACCAACGCCATATGCGAGCAATGCAGCCATCTCCTGCAGCCGTCTGGGATGTCTTTTTGCTCGGAGGAGACAAAGGGCGCACTTGACAGCGCTGTGTAGATCATGGGTTCGGATGACGAACCGTACCGCTGCTCCACCGCCGGGCGAGGGGAATGAAAGGGAGATAAAGAGAAGAGGCAATGGTTGGTTGAGAAGAACTGGACCAAATTCGGAGGGTCACTGGCAAAAAAAGTACTCACCTATCAAGAGTGCTGTCAGCATCTCCTAATCTCCCTGGACCCGCCAGTACCAGATGTTGAAAAAGCGCCAAAAGTCCTCCCAACCATGGCATTCGTTGGGGCACTGCCAATAGTTCCGAGACCATGCTAAACAGCCGGAAGTCCAGTACTGGACGCTGATTGACTGGACTAGCAGTCGCACTTGGAGGATAGGTCTTTGTTACCCGCGAAGTAGTGGGTTGAGGTTGTGAAGCAACGCGAAATAGTCCCGTCGCAATAAAACGTAGAACAAGAAAGGTTACATAGGCGTACTGAAGGACACTCCAGATCCACATGGAGATTCGCGATTGAGACATGTATGACACATCGCAGTCTTCTTCCTCAGTCGAGAGTAAACCGAATTTTCTCAGTCGATCCTCTGGCTGTCCCTGAGATTTGCTCTTGTCGTCATGGCGGGGATCTTGCTGACTGACTTCAACAAGTTTTGCAATCGTCTCCCACAAGAACCATCTCTCGCATATTTTTCCACTGACTTCTTTCCCCAAGATGAGATCCGCCAGAATATCAACTAGCAAGGTGCGCAAACAGCTATTCTCGAGATCTTCTGTGGGGAGGAGAACGGCCAGCGTTCCGTACATTAGCAACCGTCGGTATGATGATTCATTTTCACATTGCTCGGCAATACTCTGTGGGTGAGCAGGATCTGGAATGGGCGAAAGACCCGGGTGTGGGTTCAATGCATGAAATATCGTGCGAGTCGATGTTGGCAACCCAGAAAGGGTTGATTGTTGTTTAGCAAACCGGTATGCTACAGATTTCAAGCGTCAGTTAGTATTCTGTTTATTGAAACCTTACAGACTAAGCAATCAATTAATAAGTCAATGTTATCCTTACAAGATATATGTGCTTCAATAAGAGCAGGAATCTCATCCAGAACCAGCTGGGAAACATCAGTCTGTCGCAACCGTTGCTCGAGCGCACGCGTACAATGCGCAATGACCTGCAGAAGCTCATTGACAAAAATCTGATCGGACGTGATCTTCGAATACCAAGAATAAACGAATTCTTTGACAATGATAGCGATCAGGGCGTAGAGCTGATGGTCTACATCGTTGGAGCTCGTGAGAGGAGGTAGCAACTCCTCTAGGGACAAAGAGCTGTTCGCCTGAGGACAAAGAACGCGACGGATAAGTGTTGTTGTCGCCTTATCGCTGAATGTATCTATATTTCCATCGTGACTAGAGTTATACTTTGAAAGACGCGATCGGGAGGATGTCTGAAGAGATGGCTGCGCAGTTGAGGAAGCAGGTCGGGCTGTTGATTTAGAGCTAGAGATTGTCGGACCAGCTTTGAGATGCGACAGCGGGTGTAGACCGGGGCGATGGAAGTCGCTTGTCATCTCATAGTAGTGCAAACAACTTTCGGAAAAAATAATCACATACGGTGAGGAATGTTTGAGACAAGAAAGAGTTGGAGTTGATCAACCGCGACGGATAGGATGACGATGGTGTCTATATATGGTAATTAGGGCATAGGGCTATGGGCTGGCAATCGATAAGGCTTATCAGCACTTCCCCTCACAATGCATACATACATAAGGAGTGAAAGGCCACCCCTCCTTTAAGAAGTCAGAAAGAAAATACTGCTCATTAAGGACCTCCAATATGGCAGAAACACCTACCCCAATCCCCCTGTGGTTGGACTGCGATCCTGGTTCGTAGGGCCCTTCTCCCCTCTATCTAACCGCGGGACTGACAGCGTCGTTCTAGGTCACGATGTGAGTGTTTATCGTTATGGCATATAAGATACGGTTGGTTCCTAAAACCATATCCTATAGGACGCATTTGCAATTCTTATTGCCGCTCATCATCCGCATTTGAATCTCCTGGGCATCACGACCATCCACGGCAACGCATCTCTGGAGAACACTACGGCCAACGCCGGTAGCATTCTCGAGGCCATTGGCCGTCCAGAAATACCCGTCTATCCAGGCAGTAAGAAGCCTTTCTGCCGACCTGCCATCCATGCTCCGAACATTCACGGTAGGGATTCAGTCTATCCTATTTCGCATAACTCGTTGGGTTAACCTGATACCGTTAGGCGATTCTGGCCTCGACGGGACGGATCTTTTGCCAAAGGCTACGGTTCCCCCGATTACAGATAAGAATCCTATACTTGCTATGCGTGATGCACTTCTCGCACAGCCAAAAGGGACCCCTTGGGTGGTCGCAACCGGGACACTTACTAACATCGCCCTTCTTTTTGCGACATTTCCCGAAGTGGCAGAGCATGTCCAAGGTCTGACTATAATGGGAGGCGGGATTGGAAATGGATTCACTAGTGCTCCCATGAGCAGGCTGCCGGGGGAGCATACAAGAATCGGAAACATAACACCATATGCCGAGTTCAACATCTACGTATGTACTGCTCTTACCGCCCCCTCCCGCCAGTCACTAACGCCCCCAATATAGTGTGATCCGGAGGCTTCCCAGTCGATCTTCAGCAACCCCATCATTGCCCCCAAGACCGCCATCATGGCTCTTGACCTGACACATCAGGTCCTTGCTTCTCCCACCGTGCAATCGCGCGTCCTTCACGGATTGGACGATCCATCAGCGACCCCCACTGTCCTTCGCCGACTCTACCATGATCTCCTTGTCTTCTTCGCTGCGACTTACGACACTGTGTTTGGCCTAAGCTCAGGACCACCATTGCATGACCCTCTTGCTGTTGCGGCGGTCTTGTCAAACTTCAACCCTGTCTTTGCAAACCTGCATCCGGACAAGGTCATAAAGTTCGACGATAACGGTGGAGAACGGTTTTCTATTCAGATTGTGACGGATGGACTTCATGGGATGGATGTGGCCATCACGGGCGAACTGGGCCGCTCTATCGCTGAGCCTGCGGAAGTCAAGGGAATTGCTATTCCCAGAGGAGTGGACTTGGATGCTTTCTGGAATTTGATCTTGGAATGTCTCCAGCGGGCAGATGATCACAATGCTGCCCGAAAGGCATGATTCATTACCCAGTACATAACTTCTCCCTTGTCAAAACTTATCACGATTACTATAGTTATACTGAAACCTACCATTCCCTGATACTACCATCAGGACCATAGAATTCCTTACACGGCCAAGGCTGCGTAGTCTGCGCAACACGCCGCACCGCCTCCTCATCAACCTCAATACCCAACCCAGGCGCCGTCAACGCCTCAATATACCCATCCTTGACCTCGAATACTGTGGCATCCTTCACATAACTCGTGATATCATACTCGCCCGCCTCGAGGTTATAGTGCATACCAACACTCATCTCCTGAATGACAAAGTTCGGCGTATTTAGATCGCATTGAATACACGCCGCCAACGCAATAGGTCCCAGCGGACAATGCGGCGCAATAGCAACATCGTACGTCTCCGCCATAGATGCAATCCGTCGCATCTCTGAAATACCTCCACAGTGACTGATATCCGGCTGCAGCACATCCACGCTCGCATCTTCCAGGAACCGCTTCACATCCCAACGGCTATACAATCGTTCACCCAGAGCAATGGGACACGAAACCTGAGAACTCAACTGTTTGATCGCCTCAGGGTGTTCAGAAAGCAATGGCTCCTCAATGAAAAGCGGCCGGTGCGGCTCAAGCGCCTTCGCCAACTGCTTCGCCATTGGTTTGTGTAAACGCCCGTGGAAATCCAGCGCGGCATCCAGGCCCAGGCCTTTAACCGTCTTTAGACGCTCAACGCTGGTATCCAGCACGTGCGGTGAATCCAGCCAGTTGATGTCCTCGGTGGCATTCATCTTAATTGCTTTGAAACCCTGCGCTAAGCGAGCCTTACCCGCAACCTCCACATCGGCTGGCCGGTCCCCGCCTATCCATGAGTAGACGGAGACTTTTGTGCGGAGTTTACCGCCTAGAAGCTGGTGGATCGGAACGCCCAGACGACGGCCCTTGAGGTCCCAGAGGGCAATATCGATGCCGGAGATGGCGGACATGAAGACTGGACCACCGCGGTAGAAACCGAGACGCCAGACCATTTGCCAGATATGTTCGATATCGCTAATGTTCATTAGTATCTGTTCATGATTGAGTTTGGCTCTAAGGCTTACTCTGCTTCATAGCCTTGGAAGCGCTTGCTCAATGAATCGAGGGTTCCCTCAATGGCCTCCGTGTGTCCTTCGAGAGTACTCTCGCCCCATCCATACTGGCCCTCGTCATCGGTGACTTTGACGAAGAGCCATCGGGGGAGGACACGGAAGTATTCAATGGACTTGATCTTAGCCATGTTGGATTTTCTCTGGAGTATAGTAGTATAGTAGTATGAGTGATGCGGGGGAGACGGAGATGAGATCCGGGGCAAGAGGAATCTGGGGTGCTTATATAGTACTTTCTATATTAATATCGAAGAACCGGCGGAATTTCGGAGTTGCTCCGTTTCATGCGTGTATTCAGCCGAATTACCGACGTCTTCTCATTGTATTCGTATAGGGTAGAGAATCCCCCGGTGCGTGGGATGTCATGGAGATGATAGTCACCGCGCATAAAGTCCAGTAATAATGACGAGTCTAGTCAATTTATGGTAAGTATAGGAATTATCCATAAAAATGTAATAGTTTTGCTATAGCAGGTCCCTTATACAACGACGAAAGTGTACTTTGAATAGCTTCAAACCGTCCTATTCTGGCCATGTCTGTTCTTGGCGCACTCTCGCATTGCCACTCGGCCTCAACTCCAATTCTTCCCATCTCCATCTCTTTTGCAGCAATACCCAATTTCAAATATAACCAGGAATTTAGCGACATCTCAAGTCATGGTTTTCACGACTGCGGTGTGTATTTGTTATTATCAATCCGGCTGAGAGGAATTGTTCAATCGCCCACTTCCCATCAGCCGCCGTTCATCTGATCTTTCGAATTTCTCCTCTTCAATCTTTCTCTATCCTCTTCTACTCCTCTACGCTCTCTATTTCCATCCTTTCATACCAATTATCGCCGCAGCTACCTATTTCTAATCACATATATTTATCGCCATCGCCATCGCATGTCTTCGTCGCCACCAGGCTCTCCCTCTCCGCTGGTTTACCTCCGCAGGAAAAGCATCGTATGAGAAGAAGATCATGCCTCCTGCTAACTCTCCATCGGTAAGGGCGCTTCAAGACCTATACCCTTGTTCTGTTACTGTCTAAGCGACTTCTTTTTTCTTTCTTTTTTTTTTTTTTTTTTCTGTTTGCCTGCGCGTTTATACATCGTTTCTGTGCCTTGCCCCTGACCATCTCCGCAAAATGCAGCAACATACCCCCGCTCTATCGCCCCCGGCTCCGGCGTCCTCGTCATTGTCGTCCCAGCAATCAAGCGCTATCCCGATCCCTATCTCGAACCTTCCTGCCCCGGCCGTCGATAACGGTGCCCACGATGATAACGTGAGTTTTCTCCGGTCTCGCGTGCGCTCCTCCCCGGACTCTTCCTCGTTAAGTCGCCAACGCCGACGGCGACAACAGCAACAACAGCAACAACAGCAACAGCAACAGCAGAACATTTCCGAGTTTGATCCAGATCCCATGGATGTAGACGGTCCACAAAGATTGCGCACATCAGAATCTAACCGCCGGATATCTATCGTGCGACGCCAACGAGACGAATCGAACCATATGCCGAACTACGAAGGACGGAGTACGAACATACGGTCGCTATATGGATGGGCCCCTGGGTCAGAGGAGAATGAGCAGGAAGATGAACCGGCCTATGATCCGCTACCAGAAGGCTTTTCGTCGTGGTTTGGCCGGTTATCAGATCGCCAACCTGGGCATAGACACCATGCGCGAGAGCGAGAGAGAGATGCAGTCATCGCTCGAACGTTTGCAGAAGGCGTTGCAGAAGGGGATCGCCATCGAATCGATCCTTCCACGTCGATGGCAGAGGCTCTGTTACAGTCTGTTAGACGACAACCACGCTTTTCACGGACCCGCACCCTTCAAAATTATCTTCTTGATCGGGAACGAGCAGATCGGGATGCGGAAGAGAGTCGAGAACGCCAGGGACCGGCTCCGAGGGCATATCGATTTCTTCCCACTAGCCGCGAAACACATCGAATACTTACACACAATGATCTGCGCGCGCGGATCAGTGCCCACCGGCAAATGCATCTAGATAATCCACCTAGCCCGCGGTTAACAGAGACGATCAAGTACCTTGAACGTCTGCGTGATTCGAGCTCGCTCGAAGAGAGCGTTACCTCTGCTGCCGGGGGAGGGTTCACTCAGTGGGCACTAGATGATGACGACTTCATTCTGGACACAGGATCAGTACACCCGCCCGCGCACTGCTCATGGTTAAGACCAGGAATGGTATTCTCGGGGTCACAAAAAGCAGCCGCCACTGGTCCCGGCACTCTTCTTCCACAACGCATATCCAGTCCTCCGCAATCCTCTGCGAATGACCCGATCATTGTCAATGGTAGCAGCGAAGATAGCGGTCGGGTAAATGTGTATACAACCAGCGGTCGTCGATATCTAGCAAACACCGTGTACAGTCTTGGGAATAGTAGAGATGAAAACTGGCCGGTCAGAGTCACCATCCACGACATCAATCACGAAGACATGACCTTGTCCGGGACAATGGAAGCCTACAATATTCCCGACAAGACTTCTCCTTCTCAGGACGCACACATTGTCACCTTCCTAGAAGGCGAAATCATCGATTTCAACAAGCACACCCTCGAGACCCAAAACTTCAAAGCAGACGCAGAAATCGACAGCACATACTGGCGAGAATTAGAGCCATTCAAAAACCTCACAGACGAAGAAATGACCAAAAACCTCGTGAGCCGGAAGTGGATCACGGAAGAGTTGTCCAAGGGGTGGATCTTGATGCGTTGGAAGGGTATATTCCCTTTTCGTACTTCTACCTAAGATCTTCAACGCTAACTATGCCTTCTAGAACGCTGCTTCATCACCCCCACCGATTCCCGCCAGGGCCTCACGATCTTCGGATTTTACTACGTCTCCCTCTGTCGAGAGACAGGCCAAATCGAGGGCCTCTACTATGATCCCGGCAGCTCACCATACCAGCAATTATCTTTGAAACCAGAGGATACTAAGATGGTGTTTCCATCGTACCAGTTTCGATAACCACAACCTTATACATATCTTTTCTTTTCGTCCACATTTAGGCGTTCATTACATGTCAGGGATTGACAAGGATTGGAGTTAGCCATTTTGCATATATCGGTGTTCTGTGCTATATGTCCATTCTTTTACATATTTGGTTGATTGGTAAAATAGTGTACTTTACGTTAGAATCTACTGATCACTCTTTCTAACACTTCGAACAATAGTTTGTGGAAAAAATATTGTTTGTAAGCATGCAATGCCACTCATCATGACACGCACAAACCCAATGTTAGATAGATGGGCTACAGACATTCCAACATGACAAGAAAATAGAAACAGAACCGAGCCTGAAAACTAATCCATCCCAGTCCCATTCACCCCGTCATCTTATCCATAACACATCACATCATAATCCACCGAGTCATCGCCGAGGAAGCGAGGCGCTTACTGCTCAGTCTGGAAGTAGTTGAGGAGGACAGAGCGCTCCTGCGACTCCTCACCCCAGTCCTTGACGACAACGCAAGAGCAGTTGACGACCTTGCGGGCGTTACCCTCACGGTCGAGCTGGCCTGTAAACTTTGTTAGCCAAATTTATCCATAAAAATCCACATATCGGAGAACTCAATCCTCCTCCGGAGGGGGGACATACAAAGGCCAACCCACTCGCCGAGCATCTTTCCATCAGGAACCTTGATCAAGGGGATCTTGTGCTCCGAGCAAAGCGCAACAACCAGCTTCTTGTAAGCCTCCTCCTCGCAGCCCTCGTTGAGCACACACATGTGAGCCTCGCGACGGTCAAGGGTCTTAGCAGCCTCGCGGAGACCACGGGCAAGACCGTCGTGGATCAGCGAAATGCGGAGGACGCCCTTGAGAGCGTCGAGGACGGACATCTGGCCGGAGGTGCCGGCATCAGCGCTGACCTCGACCTCGTCGGCGGCGACGGGGGGGTTAGATTGGGTCTCTTCTCCGTCCGACTGTTTTCATTCTGTTAGTTTGTTTCCTTTCTGGTTGGAATTGGGTTCAAGGGATTCATGGTAGCGCACCATTTTGTCTGTAGTGTTGATTATTGTCGGATTTTCCTCAAAGAGTCGTGGTGGACAATGCTGAGGCTTTTGAGTCTGGTAGGCTGGAGAGTCGAAGCTATTTTTCTGGCGATTTTTCTTCCGCTCGCTAAATTCCCGCCGCAAACGTGTGCCCTACTTATGTAATCAACACGTGATTATCTTTGGTAGTACGAGTGCTAGGACTACGAAACATACAAATCAATAGCAAATATTATGGATTGTCCTGAATCAAAGGCTATCCAATAATCGCTAGCCAATAATCATCATCACATCAACAGCAGAGGTATCATAGTCATACAATCAAGGAAAGCAATCCAGCTGTACACCACGCAAAGCTATGCTCCATCACCATCAATAAGATACTCCTAAGAAAGCAAACGCCAAAGAATTAAACGTATGTACTTGGTCGTGCGTGACCAAACCCATTAGGTAGGTTTCCGGTGCCAGCGGAAAGACCATTAACATGCGGAGGTTCCAAAGCATGATGCCCGTTAGGCTGCGATTTGGGCACTGGCTCTTCGGCTGAGGGTTCCGTGTCAATATGCATCCGGAGAAACTGGATGTTGAGTCCGTGCAGGTGCGGAATATGAGGAACGAGGTCCATGAAGTCAGAAAGCTGGAGAATGTTAGCATTCAACTTCTAAAAATCACGGGAAATGAAGGGATCTTACCTTAACCCAAAATACATGCTCCATTTCGAAGTACTTGGGTCGTGTCGCGCAATCCTTCTGCATGACCTGTCCCATAGAGCCAGTTAACTCGGTGTCATCCGCTGGAACCAGCATTCTTCGTGTGACACGCCAGAGATTGCCCTTTTGGGTCGGAGTCACGATGCGTTTCTCCCAGCTGACGTATTGAGATAGCTGAAGATCGTTCGTAGCCAGCAAAGGGGCGACTAGATAGTTCGGAATCCATTTCTCGTTCGCCACGCCAGCCTCGCAGTTTGGATCGAGCTGCTTTGTTTGTGCTGTGACTAAGGGCATAAACCGCTTTAACCAAGCATGGTTTTTTGCCCGTGGGTCATTAGACCCAACCAGATCAGCCGCAACCCGAAGCCTGTTGGGAAGAGCGTCTCGACGTCGTTGTTCCTGTTCCTCTTGTTCTCTGCGCATTTTGACCATACGCAGTCGTTCATGTTCGAGTCGTTTTTGGCGATCATCTTCTGCTTGTTTAAGCCGTCGGTGCTCGGCCTCTTTTCGTTGACGATCCTCTTCGGCCTTCTCGTGGGCAAGGGAAGCAGCACGTTCGTCTTCTTCCACCCTGGCTTGACGAGCCTGTTCCGCTTCGGCAGCATGTCGCTTTTCAGTTGCAGTGCGCTCTTCTTCGGCTTTGATCTTTTCTGCCTGGCGACGTTCGTCTTCCGCTTTGGCTTCTGTCTTCCTTGTTTTGCTGACCGAGTCCTCCATAGGTATGTCCTCCAAGTCACGAACGTCACGCCTGTCTCGTTCTTCTTTTACAACATTTCCGGATGTTCTAGGAACAGCAACACCCTTTTGCGAGACTGGACCTAGTTTTTGGGATGCAGCATGTCCATGTTCACGAGACAGATCATTGTCCTTTCCCTCGATACTCCTTGAGGGAGCATGAGACTTCGATGCATCGGCTGGAACGTCGTGGCTTCTCTTGACGCCTCCGTTAGTGATGGTTGGCGCACCATCTTCCGATAAAACGCGACGCTTTTTCTTTTGCGTTTCAGGGGAATGGATTTCAACGTCTGTGGTATCTCGGGATTGGGGAGGGCTTTCGCTGGAGCGAATGCGCTTCAATGTCGGGCCTCGCTTAGACGGCACAGCTTCAGAAGACTTTGTGCCTTCCGGCCCAGAAGACATGGAATCTGATGAAAGCACGCTGAGCCGTCTCTGGGGTGGTCGTCCGGGGATAAGTCGTCTCCTTTTACGCTGTTCATCTCCGCGAGAGATTCCAAATTCGCCATCCGTGGTGGATGATGTTCGCGGTTTTCGCCTCGGTGATTCTAACCGTCCATCGGTCTCGTTGTCGCTGCTATCTCTCCGAGAGGTCTTGGAACGAGCAGTGGTCAATTTTTCTTTAGGATGAGCAACACCATCACGTCGTTTTTCCTTAAGAGTAGAATCCCGGCGCGTCGGGCTTCCGGCTGATCTCTTGGACCGAGAAACGGGGGAACGTGATTCCCTGCGCGCGGGTCGCTTGTTCTCTTTCTGTCGCAGCGACGAAAAATCGGGTTTGCGTGCCTTTCTTCTAGAGTATTCATTAAAAGCTTCCCTCAAGAGACCATATTCGTCCTCCCAATTTTCTCCTTTGCGCTCTTGGGAAAGGTCGAAATAGGTACTGTCCCGAAACAAACGACGTGTTGGGTTGAAACCTGGCTGGTCAAGAAGGAGCTTGATGACTTCCAAGTTACCACGACCGATTGCAGCAAGCATTGGAGTGTTGTATCCCGACTTCTGGCCGGAGACAGGGTTTGGATCAGGGTCTGCAAATCCCATTCCCAGCATTAGAGACAATACTTCATCGTGACCACCCTTGGCGGCTGCAATCATGGACTCTGGATCCGCCTTCTGTCCCACATTGAGGATAGTAACGACCCCAGCCATGTCACCTTTCGCAGCAAACGCTTGGAGATTTTCCGAAGTAGGTTTTGTCCAAAGCAAATCGTTTCTGGTCGCTTCGCTGCGAACAGTCCTCCGTTTAGTAGTGGAAGGGCCGCTGGAGAGTGGAGGGCTCCGTGCTCCATGTACCGGTGGGGAGTCTCGAGGGCTGGTGGCAGAAGGACGCTGCGACGGAGTATCCTTGCGTTCTTCTGGTCGTCCTGCATTTCGTGGTGTGGCTTTGGCTTCTGCGATAACACGCCGAATTTCATCGTACTCATCACAATCTGACGGAACCAGCTCGTATGGCTCATCCCCTTCTGCGTTTACCGTACGAGGGTTCGCTCCAGCCTCCAAGAGAAGTTTGACCACGTCGAAATGTCCATTCTCCACGGCGTCAATCAACGGGGTGTCCTTGTCAATATTCTTGGTGTCGATTTCACAGCCCACGCTGAGAAGGAATCCCACAATTGGTGCGCAGCCCTCCAGAGCGGCAATCTGGAGCGGGGTGTTGCCCGCATTGTCTGCCACATTGAGATCCTCGGGACGTTCTGCGTGTCGAGCAATTGCCATATCTAACTCCGACGCTGCGCAAGCACGTGCCAGTCGTGTCCGGCCATTTTGGTCACGCTGCTTCTTTGGGCCCAGGGTCCTCGCGGGGGATGCCGAGGTGCCATCAAGCGAGGTGAGCTTCCGAATATGAGCACTAGGCATTGGGGATCCACTGGCAGATGAAGAGAGAGATTGCCGGTCCTCCGAGCCTTGCCTCGAAAAACCAGTCAGTGGGGTGGGTGCCTTCCTTTTCTTGGATGCTTCGCTCAGTTGAGGACCAGAGACTGTCCGTTTATGAGAAGGGCGCACGGGCGAAACCGATCGGCCATTTGATACAGGAGGGGGTAAGGAAATCCCATGAAGATCCCTAGGGACTGTACGGTTCTGACGTACTCGGTGGCCATCCCTATCGCCATCCACACTCTCGCTAAAGCTACGCTTCCGCGAGATCCTAAGTTTTTCGGTCCTAGGCACAGAATCCTCACGACTTGCTCGCAATGCTTGAAAATCTTCGGCCTTCTCTGTCTTCACAACTGACGGGGATATTCCTCTGGTGGTACGGGGACTCCTGGTTGGGGGACTCCTCGACCGGCGAGGGTCGAAGTCACGGATATCGAGGGCATTGTCATCCAAACGCTTCCTTTTCCTCACCTGTAAATCATTGGGCGGTAATTCACCCTCCTCGGGCTCCTCCAATTTGTCGTTTCCTTCATCACGTCGTTTCGGGTCATGTTTGATGTATTTCCGCCTCTTCTCCGGCGACACAGACTCACGGCCCGACTGGATTATGGTTTCCGCCTCCGAGTCAGCCTTTGGACTTAACGGCTGATTGGCCTCGTCAGTAGAATCCACCTTGCTCTTGGGGGCGACATCCGGATCCTTTGGTCGGAACGACTGTGGGTTCGCCTCCTTGGGGGGGAATGAAGGACCAGAAGGGGACTGGTGATTATTCACGTTGTTTGCAAGAGCGCTTTGACCGGCATCCAGGGCAGCTGGTAGGGAAGAGATGGTGTCCACATCACTCATAGCGGTAACGGTCGAATTCCGGGGGTTCTGCTCGTCATTTTGGGGGGCCGTGGCGGGCAGATGTAGTAGTCAGAAGCACCAGCAGATATGCGCGGGCGCTGGTGCTCGACCACGCTTGTCGTACACGTGCTTTGGATTGGGATATGACGAAGCAACAATGGGAAATTCGACAGACACGGCGTGAGAGCGTAACGAGACACAGCAGACAGTTGAACGATGTAGGTGTAATAGGATACCGTGGTTTTAAAAAGAGGAAAGAATAATGATGGCGTTGTGGTGGTAGTTATAGACGATGAGAATGAAAGGTCGAGGATGGAAGAGCAGAGAGACAAGGAAAAAACTGAAGGAGAAGAAGAGAAGGAGGATATAAAGAATTAAGAGATGGAGGTTATAAGAGGAAGAGGAGAGGAGAGAGGAGGAAGAGAGAAAAGAAGAGGACGTGGAAGGAAGCGATGGAACAGGAAACGAAGAGAAGAGGAAGAGAGCGAAGAGAAAGTCAGTGACCTCCCCTAAAAGATACGTATTGGCCACCCGCTTGTTGATTGGCGCATTCTGCCGGTGGGTGGGGCCGGCGGTCGACGGCGAATCCTGATACGCTACCACTATTGGAGCATAGATTTAATATGCTTTAATGTGTGGAATAATTATCGTCCTTTTGTTGTGTCTTCTGTCTATTGATTTTGTCTTTCTTTGATGTGGTTTATCTACTGGGAATACTCGGCATAGTGGTCTGCACTGTATGTAACGTAATATTTTGGTATCTCAAATTCGTCAGGCCACCACAAGGCATCCTAGTCAGTTATCAGCCAATCACATGTAATAATTGGTCGGCCGTTACTGCATCCGGACTAACCGGTAGCCCGAAAAGCTGCGAGTCCCACTTAGAGGCCAGCGATCTCTAATATTAACCAATAAAAGAGGCCTATCCAGGTAGCTCGCCTCCTTTCCCTGGTTGGAAGCGTTTTGGCCTAAAATAGTCTCTGACGGCGTGAGGGCAAAATTACAGCGCGGCTCGTGATCTGTGTCATATTGATACAATCAGGTATTGAGATGCAGTCACCATCATATCATTGATCAATTCTATATGATAGATGATATGCTAAGTGTATTCTGCGCATATATTAAAGATGATATAGATAGTAATATAAAGCTAGCTGAAACAAGAATTGTTTTGGAGAGGTTCATGGCCGTTTATCGCTATGTAAATTACGTGTATGGCCATACCGGAACGTGGGCATCGCCGCCAACACCACCACCAGATACGAGGTTCTCCTCTCCCTCAACTCCTCTCTCCTGCATAGTGCTCGATTCAAACACCCACATATTGCATCAACCTCAGCGCCGGTTGTTTAGCAGACGGATCTTCAGGATGGATCGTCTCTCAGCGCTTGTGGACGGTTTTCTTGCCTCCACGCACTCAGATGCTGTCGACGCCCTGAGAGCGTTCTTCCTCTTTGGAGCCTGCACGGTACGGCCATAACAACATCATCGCCATCATTTATCTCAATCATAAGGATATTTAATCATTATATATCATATCAAAAAGCATTTGGCTCCAGCTTATCAAGGATTAACCTATAGGTTCTTACCCTCAACTTGTTTGCTCCTCTGCGCTCCCGTTTCATTACCTATGGCGCCCGTGCAGCTTCGTCGTCCTCAACGACCACAGAGACACAAAAGCCGTCCAGCAATGACACAAGAACCTCCCTGGTAACGCGTGTTCTCGACATCTTGCAAAGTCTGCAGGTGCCTCACAGTTACTTCATGCAGTTCTATGTGGTCTCAATCCTGTCGTCGATCTTCTGGCTGGCTCAGTTGCTCCTGCGAGGTTCCGTGTTCCATGCCGTCACAGCTAGAATCAATCCAGAACATCTGCAGAGCTCTATGTCTGTGAATCAGGCCATATTGTGTTGGGTTTTGATGGTCGTGCATAGTGGAAGGCGCCTTGCCGAGTGCTGTGTCTTTTCCAAGCCGTCTGCGTCTCGGATGTGGTTTGTTCACTGGCTTTTAGGGATTTCGTTTTACCTTGCAGCAACAGTGGCGGTTTGGATTGAAGGGGCAGGTAGGATTACAACATACAGGACTTCGGATTATATTACGAACTAAGACGTTGGATTACTAGGAGCCCTCCGATCTCACGAGCTGACCTTGGATCACGTCAAGATTACCAATGCTCCCTCGCTGAGAACGTTTATTTGCCTGCCTTTGTTCCTGCTCGCATCTGGTCTCCAGCATGACTGCCACCACTACCTCTTCTCGCTCAAGAAATATACCCTTCCCATTCACCCATTGTTCAATATAATTGTGTCGCCGCATTATACGGCCGAGTGTGGTATATACTTGTCGCTAGCATTTTTGGCTGCTCCCTCGGGAGAGATGGTTAACAAGACGCTTCTCTCGTGTCTGGCCTTTGTTGCCATGAATCTAGGCGTCACTGCTGGGACCAGCAAGGAGTGGTACATGCAGAAATTCGGCGAAGATTCGGTGCGAGGGAAATGGAAGATGATTCCTGGGACGTACTAATTAAGGTGTGGGGAAAAAAAGATAACTATTGAAGATAGCTTCAGTCCATCACCGCTTTTTCACCGCCCATTCAAGAACTTGAACTTATTTCCCACTTTGGCGACCTTGATTACATCCCGATAGGTCAAGCTAGTCCTCGTCGCCCTATCAAACCATCCACACTCATACCGATCTTTCTCTCGCAACAAGTCCCAATTACACACCGACTCTGACCCCAACCCTTCCTCTCTAGTCGATTCTGCAATCCCGTGCAGAAAATCTGTATAAAGTTCGCCTGTGGTAACCAGCAGACTACGTCTCTCCTGCAAAATACGAAATTGCGGCCGCTGTTCTTCTGCTCCGTCCCCATCTCGTCCCTCTCGGCCTTGGCTTTTCCGTTTTGTATACAAATCCAACACAATCGGTGCTTCAAGACTAACAGTAGCCACGAGCGGGTAATACGCGCTTCCATCCTCGTGCGGCATAATGCCCTGTCCCGGTACGTATTCATTGATCAGGACATGATTTGGCGCGCCGTGCGGGGAGTCAGCAAAGATACCCAGTTTGTTGAAGCGTGGTTGGATGATTGGCGAGATGAGCCATGATGGCAAAGGCGAGTTAAGTAGGGTGTTTGATTTGGTTAGAGTCGAGGGCCAAGTTTGAAGACGGCGGTGGGAGAGATATTTCCAGCGGGGTCGGGGGGCGGATTTTAACTCGCAGTCAGTTAAGAAGTGATGTCTGCTAAAGTTAATGAAAGGAATATATACCTTTTGTAAGAGGAGATTCTCTTCATCTTCTGTGATGAAATCAGAAACGTAGTATCCTGTCTGTGGTAAGGAAATAATCCTGACTGCTTCCAGATCAAATCCGAAATCATCGTCCATCGTGTAGTTTATCAAAACAAGAAATGGAAAGAAGAGTGAAAACATCATATGCTGTTTGTTTGTTATCTCCTTATCGCATTCCTGCCTGAGGCTACCACCCCACCAACCGTCCCATCACCAACCATCTTCAATCACGGTATTACCACATCAAAAACCAACAACCTTATTCAACCCCATTCTCATACACTCTAAAAATAACAAAAATGGGCGCCAAAAACAAAAGCAAAGGGGGGGGAAGCAACGATGACTCTGGCAAGGGAGGAAAAGGTGGTGGGGGGTTGAAGCCTGCGACTTCGATTAACGTTCGACATATTCTTGTACGTTTGCCTGCACAGGACTGGGCAGTTAACTGGATGCACGGATGGTCGATATACTAACTACGATGATGATGAAAAGTGCGAAAAACACTCCAAGAAGGAAGAAGCACTAGAGAAGCTCCGCAACGGATCCAAGTTCGATGATGTCGCGAGGGAGTTTTCGGAGGATAAGGCTAGACAGGGTATGTACCACTCTCTCTTCATCTACCATTTCATACACTTGGTATATCCAAATAGAGCATACTGATCAATATGACAGGCGGTTCTCTCGGCTGGAAAACACGAGGTAGTCTAGACGGTGCGTTCGAGAAGACGGCGTATGAACTGGAGCCCAGTTCGACGGGGAGTCCGAAGTATGCGGAGGTGAAGACTGGGTTTGGGTACCATATTATTATGGTTGAGGGGAGGAAATAGATTAACTTTATTCAAGTATGCGAATTTGAATACAAATGAACACGGCCAAGTCAACACAGAGTTCGCAAACTTAATACAGAATTTATCTGTCCTGGTGCAGTACTTGACTGAGATCCCCAGACGCTCAGTGGTTTCTTCTAGCCAGTCGAGGGTAGCAGGGTTGACCTGGACATATGTTTCTTAGCTTGTGGTTCTGAATGGAAGAAGTCGACAGATGCAGCCATTTACTCGTTTTAGTATTGGGAAAGTAGACTCTGTCCTGGTCGAAAACGCGCAGTTTTTCGATTAGCTGTGACGTTATTGTTTCGATATGATCGATTGGGAGAGTATGTCGTGCAGTTCGGACTCGAGTTGCATTTTTGAGGAGCTTGCAAAGTTGCTAATTGGGATAGGCATTGTAGGTCTTTGGTGTATGGATTTGATGGGTTGTAGGTATGGGTACCTGTGATTCATGGCAGGCAGCAAGCGCACATAGATGATAAAGATGGCGAGACAAAAGTAATCGAAGGAAGGAGCGTATTTGAATATGTAGGGCTTCTCGTTGATGACAAAAGAAAAAAAGAAAGTTGTCTTTAGCTTTCTTTTCTGTCTCTGTACAGCAGAACCAGGTTAGATATTAAGTGTTCAATCCCCTAAAGCCCTGATGTAATCGTCATTCCTCGCCATAGCCTGCGATGCCCGCTCTGGCTCCTCATGGAGGAAAGATCTCAGTAAGCATGATTCAATATTTTCGAATGGAAAGTCAAAACTTCCTGCCGAGAACTTCTGATTTCTGCTCTCTGCCTTGTGACTTACGAGTGCGTCTGAACCTGATATCCGAACTTGAACCTCCAAATCAGACGCCCTGGAGGACCCACCATGTCCTTTTTCCAAAGATATGCCTGAGCAGTCAACAAGCCCACAAGTCACTCGTTCTTACCCTTGTGGCATTGTACAAGGCACATTTACAGTCCAGAACTTAGCGTCTACATAAGATCTTGTTTCTCGAGACCTCATGGAGCATCATCTTCAAGATTTCGACCTTCCTTGTGGATTTTGAGGATTATCACTGCCTCTGCCTTATCCTGGCGAGGCAACAGCATCAGATCTGCTATTTCGAATAGATTATCGAGCAGTTGTGTCATTCCGGCTACGAGTACCATGATTGGGTGCATCGTAGAAATGGGAGACAAGTTCTGCATCTGGCTTTGGCACGTGTGTAGTTCCTGTCATAGAAATTCGTCATTGAACAGTACGTTATTAGCTTGGCTGAACAGTATTGCATCATGGACAGGACAAATCACATAATCCGCAAGACGTGTAATACTTCCCCGAATTCCCAGGTTCCTTGACAATATCATGAAACCATTTCGTGGACTCAGCAGTACATACCGACACGATATTCGATGGTCCGAGATCAATGCAGAAATTCCTTGGTCCCGGGAGTCCCGTAGTGTATTCAATTGATGCTCCTAAATCGAAGTTCTCTTCTTGCCAACCCTCGATGGTGCTGTTGGAGTTAACCTATTATCTCTTTTGTCGGAGAATAGAATGTGGCTGGTAATTGCAGGCAGTAATATCTAGAAAGATGGTGGGAATTGATGAAACTCAATCCAAAAGTTATTGGGTATCAAAAGAAATATATTGAAACAAATAAATATATATATATATATATATATATAGATAAGCGACAAAAAGAAAGGATGTTGAACTTATATTCTTAGCGCAGAGAAAAGAGGTTATTCTTCCTTAACCTGAGCCTTCGCTCGCTCTTTAGCCTTCTTCTCTTGCCTTTGCACGGCAGCTTCAGCGCCAACACCCCCGAAAACAAGTCCAACTCCCAACCACTGTCCAGCGGATAACGAATGACCGAACCAGAACACACTCAGGAGCATGGTCAACATTTTCCGTGTAACAGTGACAGTGACCAGAAGTAAGGATGAGAAGCGAGAGAGTGTATAGAAGATAAACAGCTGGCCGATTGCACCACAAGCGGCAAACCCGAGCACGTTTTTCAGTGCTTCGGGGTGCCGAGACAGGAACGAGATGGCAGTCGACAACTCCGTCTCTGTGGATGGCGGAATAGGAAAGGGAAGAATAGCATGAATGATGCCGCTGGAAGACAGGTGCGGCATAATACCCAGGTAGAGAGTGGTCAGGGCAGTGGATAGGATGTTCTGCGCCACCATCATTTGCGGTCCGGTAAAACGCGTGTAGACCTGGGGGGAGGTAAAGATGTGGTCTTGCGTGGTGTTTGTGAGGCCATCCAAAAGGAGGTTAATCGAGAGTAGGAAGATCCCCCACAGCGAGGAGCCCGATTTGTTCTTTTCTGCGGCTGCTGCCATCTTCTTGCTCGTTCCAGGGTGGTGCAGGGTGAAGGTTGCGACTCCGAGAGTGACCGCGAGGACAACCAAGTATTTGTACAGCGGATAGCGCTTGCGGAAGATAGTCAAATTGAGGAACATAACAGGGAGAAGTTTGCATGATTTGGCGAGAATGAAAGTTAGGTAGTCTATATGAGACAGACTGGCGTAACCAAAGGGCGATGCGAGAGACGAGGTGATGCTGATGAGGATCAATGGAAAGAGGATCTTACGAGTCGGGAAGATCGACGCGATATTTTTGCCCTTTGGTGTCGAGAAGAAAAGGTATAGAAAGCCCGTGATAGCGGCAAAGGAAGACTGGATTGTGTTCAGGACGATCGAGAAGGTAAAGCGTTCCGTGGGAGGTTCTGGCTCGGTTGCGCTCGCCGGCCGGACGGGATAGGAGACGGTTGTGATTGCTTCCTGTAGGACACCCCATGAAAGGCTTCAATAGTTAGTCTATATTGTTCCAAGCCCATGTATGGGGGTGATGAATGTACAATGAAGCGTAGATTCCCAACACGCAGATCACCAACTGCATCAACCCCGGAGTCTCCTGCGCGGAATCATGCGCCGCGCCTTTATCTGTATCTTTGGCCCTAGCATTCTGTTCCTTCGCTTGTCCATTGGCCTTGAGATCGTCTGGAAGCATATGCATCAACTCCGAGGACGTTGCCCGCTGTAGGGGCGCTGTTTGTTTCTGTCGCGCCATTTATGTATGCGGCGAACACGGTACTTCGCTCGAAGGGAGACGGAACAAGGAGAAGTCAAGCAGCCTATGACGGTTAATTCGGGCGGCGGAGGGCTTTCGGTTAATCTCGAAGCTAGCAGTGGCCGTGGTAGATGAAACGACAGAGTTGAGGATATGTGTTCTTCCCACCTAGATATGCGACTGGAAATATTTCGGTTTGACCGCCCTCGGAGTTTGTTTCGAACATATATTCTCCGCAGGATTGAATAATCGCAATTGACCAATGTCTTGTCTCTTGTCTCTAAGGATTGAGTAAGTCATTTAGGAGATCTAAACTGTTCGTGGTTTATATTAGAAACGCGCATGCTAATGTTTGTGCGCTTATGCAGCCTTTAACAGCCTCGTCGTCTACTATCCATCCCACTTCGCCTACCCCTCCAGAATCAGAAGAGAATAGAGCAGATCACCAAAATGACAAGCGAAACGTCATCACCGTCTTCGAATCCCCCTACAACTCCCGCGGAGCCCTCCGCGCTGACAACACTCATCTCCTCCGCCGCCATCTCTCCCACCACTCCCCTCTCCGCAGCAACCCTCCAAGTCCTCCACAACCTCCAACACCAACATCTCTGGACTTCACTCCAAATCCACCGTCTCCCCCTCCCGGAAGCCCCACCATCCTCATCCGATGTATCATATGTATCATCAACAGCCACAACCGCCTTCGTGATATCCGGTGTCCCGCCGAACAGAATCTACACTCACCCCGACGAACAACTTTTCATGCTCGAGCGTGGTCTTCGCGATAACGACATTGATCCGGAGCGCACATTTGTCCTTCCCACTGTAGAAGGGCAATCGTGGAGTTTGCGGAAGATGGCGGCGGTTTTTGACTCGTTGCCGCAGGTCAATGAGGGTTTGGCTTCGCTGGCTCCCGAGGGAGGGAGTAAAGGAGAGGAATTGCAGTCAAGGGACGAGAAGGAGGCTAAGATTGCTGAGTATCTGGAGTATCGGAATTCTGCACGGATGACCAATGAGTGGGGCGGGAAGCGGTTGTTGTTGTCTATGGTGGATAGGAATATGGGTGGTGATGGAACAGTGGTTTACTATGTGGTCCAGGAGGGTGCAGTGAAACCTCGGCAGAATTGAAAAAGCATCTCATACTTGATAACATTTGTGATAGGCGTTACGGATATATACCCCGGTGTTGGAAAGCATAGGCTTACAGAGTAGATCGAGCAATTGAGACATCCGCATCGTATTCACTGTTTGTGCAATTGTAGCATCGACTGTAGCCTCTCCTCTCAACACTAACAACCTTTCTCTCTTATTGATTTATCTTTCGTCCGATTCTCCAGCTACCGACTTGATCACCATGATCCATTTCAGTTTTTGTCAAATTCTATCCAAGTGAGATCTCTTTAGGGCCATTCCAGCCTTGGAAGATGAGCGATCCATTACGGTTTAAATGCTCTATCCTCCAGCATCCTAAACACTGATCATTTATTGCTTATTCCTAAGCCCGTCTCTCTCGCGCTTATGGATTCCGTTAAAAACCGAGATTGATGGTTGGCATTGCTTTATCCTTCCGTGCCCTGTGACAAGGTCCACGCCATGACCCATATATCAGTCCCTCATTCACCATACAAGTCCAATCGCTACACTAATTTGGCCAGACAAGCAAAGAAACAAGTTGCTAGAAATGTGGTACAAACTTGCCTACGTCGGGTCGATAAATTTGGGAGACGTGGGGAAAATGATAGCAGCAATAGTGCTGCTTTTTATCACACAGTCAATAGCAACGCAGCCACAATTTATAACCGTTTCTGAGCTAATTGAGGCACACTTGGGGAAGAAGCGCCACAAAAAAATTTACAAAGCGAATAGAGTCAAAAAAGCAACAGCCACAAACAAGTATGGAGGGGACGTTTATACTTCAACCATTGATGACCAAAAGTCTCCGGAAAGTACTCGATGAGTTTTGCGAGGGAAGCATAACGATGGACCCCTTCTTCAAACTTTCCAGGATCAACATTGCGATCAAAAACGGATACGTCTTTTCGGCAAAGAGCTCGCATACATTAAAGATTTTGGCCCGTGTATTGACACTATGGTGAACTTACAAAACAGGGGCCCTGAATTCAAAGGATTTTAAGCATGCAACAAGGCTTGAGCAAAGAAACACACTGGTAAAGATGCTGGAATGTGCCACAATCAGGCAACGGCCATAGCAACTCATATCCTTGTAAGCAATACAGTCAACTTCGCAACACGCGGAGATTGGTGTTTCAATAGTAACAGATGCTTACTATTGTGTCTAGGGTTATGGTAAAACCCTGAGCTTTGCAGCCGCAGATACCCTACGCATAATGTAATCTTGTTCTTTGTGTCGGCGAGCCACTAAAGAGGCCAACCGAGACACTGTTATCGACAGTATGGGCCTTGAAATTTGTAGCTATTTAAAAAAAAAAAAAAAAAAAAAAAAAAAAAAAAAAAAAAAAAAAGAAAAGAGATAATGCTCGATCACGGACAATATATGAAAATACGTGCGTGTTTTTTATGGAAGGCGCTCGTGCTGAACTGCCGATGTGGATGCTGCTCTGTTTTCGCATCGGAGGGAAAAGTAGCAGGTGTTACCCATCTGGTAAAAGGCATAGTGACTTTGAGGACGCCTGGCTGCAATTGCACGTTTCCTTCCATGCATCTTCTTTCGCGAGCAACGGGAGCTGGAGTTGCTCGACGGCCGCAGCGTGGACCTGCCTGATTTGGGTCTTATTGCTCTAGGAAATAACCGGTATTTCTTCGTCGCTCATCGGACAGAGAACCATGTTGTAGACCTCACCGTGCTTCCTCCAGAAACTGGGCTAACTCTGTTTGCAGTTTGTTGGGAGGTCCCTCGGTTAATGTGACTTGGGGTATACACAAAACCCTACGCGTCTGTGTTCTGTAGTCTGGCCCAATGTACCGGCGCGAAATCCTCTTACCTCTCGTTTTCAAACGAGATTCGCACCTGACCCATATATTCCTTCCACGCCGCGATTTCGTATGTCCTTTAATTACTGAGAAGTTCTATTACCGCCGATCTACATAATCACGGAAAAATTTAGATCAATTGCTTTAAAATCAAAGGTTTACCATAACAAATCCTCGATGGTCTAGTGGTCATGATTTCCGCTTGTCAGTTTGAAAACTTGCAAGCGCGGGAGACCTGGGTTCGATTCCCAGTCGGGGAGATCTTTTTGGTTTTTGTTCCTATCATACATAGTCCGTCCACTTTTTTGTTCTTTTCTTTTTCCAACCCCTTTTCTCTCACCCCAACATACTACACTTTCGTTCTGTTCTGGAGATCCAATGATCATCATGAGCAAGCCCAGAATGCCTTTCGCCGAGGCCGCGTGGTTGCGCATCGGGCATTTCATTACGTGCTCCGTGCTGTCATATTGCAGGCTTGCCGGCCTGAAACGGTTGCAACGTTGAATGTGTTGTCTTAGAATACATAGTGTCGCATAATCTTGATCCTATCCCATATATCTTGGGGGGGTTGAACGTCCATGAGTTGTCCGGCGCCGAACACGGAGACTGCAGACAAGTCCCTCGGTGGGGAAATCTAGAAGAGATAGTCGTTCAACAAATGACAATCTTGAGACCGCTTTGCCTCACCAACGCCGCACTTACATTTTTCTTGTTGATGTGCCCCCGATACTGCAATGCTCTCTATCTTTACTCCGGGGCCTAGCCAATTGTCGGTGTCGGTCGATGCGCCTATCACTTTCCCGGCCTCCCGGCCCGGTCACTAGCTCCCATTGGTTACAGCCGCCGAAATCGTGTACTCCCCGGATGTCGCTGTATTATTATGTATAGTTGGGCGTGGACGGGGGTTCTGCGTGTTCTTTTCGTGTGGGTGGTATTTTTACTGCTTCATATCCACTCTTTACTCGAGACTGCAGTCATTTCATCTTTCAATCTTGCAAGCTTTGTCCCAAGTCCTGATCTTTCCAAGGTGAGTGGTGTACGATAACCCTAAACCCCACGGCCGCATCTAATGACGAAACAGGAGGCGTTCCATTTCCCTAACGACCGATCACGGCACACTGCGAGTATACAAATAAATCACAAGCGCATATATCGAGAAGCGCAAACGAAGACGGAGCGAAACGATAGAACCCGCGTCCTGGGTTGTGATAAGACGCATGCTACACCAAGGCTGAACATAAATCATTGAACACACACACTTGCAAGAAGCAATATGGAGCAGGATCTGGATATCAAGCAGTCGTTGCCATTTGGCTTTAAGCGGAATCGCCTGGCCGAATTGCTGGCGACCGACACGCTCGTTGCTGCGGGTTCAGCAACATTGATCACTCCGGCAGTGATGATTTTCGACAGGTAATTCTTATCGATATGGTTGATAAGAATGAGTTCGGCTGATACAGAGATGCAGACTGGTCGTGGAGAAGTCATCATACAACCAACCTCTCCTACCTGCATTTCGCAGACACCTGTGGTATTCTATCACTCAACCCGCTACGTTCTTAACATCACGCCCGAGCCTGCTGGTCTGGTCTCTATATGCTGCGACATTTGCAACTGTGAACGTGTCAGAGACGATTTTCAGTCGGGTCTTCCCCCAGATCGACCACGCCATAGCCGGAACAACGACCTTCGTTTCGACATTCTTTGTCAACTCCTCCGTCGGCATCTGGAAAGACGTCAAATTCGCCGAGCTGTTTGGCCACAACAACAGCAACAATACCACAGCCACCCCCACCGCCAATGCAACTACTAATGCGTCTTCTTCCACACCAAACCAAGCCAAAAACATGCCGGGCAGCGCACCCGCCAGCAAGATTGTGCGATCCGTCAGCCGCTCCATTCCCATGGCTACCTACTCGGCCTTCCTTCTCCGCGACGGTCTGACAATCTTCGGATCCTTCAGCTTGCCTGCAATGGCCTCAGCATGGATTCCGGATTCCATCGCCTCGAGGGAGTATCTAAAAATCCTTATCGCACAATTGGGTATCCCCGCGTCGATCCAACTGATCAGCACCCCCATCCATCTCTTCGGGTTGGATCTGTATAACCGTCAACAACCGCTACCCCTGAAGGACCGGTTGAATCGCGTTAGCAGAGATTGGATCGGCGCGTCGTTGATCCGCATGTGTCGTATCATTCCAGCCTTTGGTCTTGGGGGTTTCGTCAATAACGAGGGACGGGCGTTCTTGCAGCAACAGCTCGACCGGAACGCTGAATGATTCTATACATGCACGACTACTCGCATATTTAAACGCAGATGGATATTACCGCATCTGCGCGTCTGGAAATTTTCCAGAAACTGAAATTTTGGTGGTGCCGCAGCCCTAGCATTGGCATAGTCCCACCGTCCCGACGTGACCGGCCCGGCTGCCCGGTCTCGCGAATCCGACCATGATTCGGATGAGCAAATTCGAGATCACGAAATTATGCATGGCAGACGTTCATGATTGAAATGATAAGATAACTCAAGCGACCGTCCGATTACTGGGGGAAAAAGGGCCCTGCCGTGGTGGTCAGTCTATATTTATGCGCCAAGCATTCAACTGCACATATGCATTGCTCTCATTTCTTTTTCTTTGTGATATCCTTTTGGTATTTTGGCATATTGACAGGATATCCAGGCAAGACAAATTTATAGATAGCGTGACAGGCATGGGATCATGCCGACTTGTACATAATTTCATACAATCAACATTTGACAACCAACATCGAAATCGCAATAGATACCCACAACCTATACGTACTCTGTTATCTTTTACAGAGTCTATTTGCTCATTTTTGTTCCGTCTGGTGTATACAATACACTTTGCCTAACCACCAACTATACAAGGACTGTCCGCACAAGAGAAATGTAACTACTTCTGAAACTCCTCCCACCTTCTCCCCCCCAGGCATAAACTCATCCGACTCAATCCCAAAATAATCCATCATCCTCCCCACACTATGATCAACAACATCCTCTAACCCCTTCGGCCTCATATAAAACGCCGGCACAGCCGGAAATATCCCAACCCCCAACCTCGCCAACGCCAACATATTCTCCAAATAAATCACCCTCAACGGCGTCTCCCTAGCCCCCAACACCAACGGCCGTTTCTCCTTAATACAAACATCCGCACTCCGCGATATCAAATCCTCTGCATACCCCGCGCGGATCGCAGCGAGTGTTTTCACACTGCACGGTGCAATCAGCATTCCATCGGATTTCCACGAGCCGCTGCTCATTGGTGCGGAGAGGTCGCGGATGGAATAGTTGCGGGCTGTGGCGAGGTTAGCGATGGATTCGGGTGTCCAGGGTGTTTCGTATTTGATGGATGCGTGTGCCCATTTAGACATTATGAGGTGGGTTTCTACGCCTAGGGTGCGGAGGAATTGGAGGGCGCGGATGCCGTAGATTGCGCCGGTAGCGCCGGTCATGCCTATTATTAGGCGATTATGTTTGAGGCCATTGGGGGGGGTTTGAGGGTGTGGGTGATGTTGGTGTTGGTGTTGGTGTTGGTGTTGAGGATAGTCGGGCAGATTGAATTGCTAACCCCGGTTGAAGTGGTTGTGGTATTTCTCGTCTAAGACCGATCCTTGTGCTTTGTATGGTATGAGATTGGATGCGCATTCTGATGGCTAACTATAGATCTAGCCAATTTATTCACGACCATCCTTGTACCTCAATACATACCCCTGGGGAAGTTGATAATTTGATAACCTCGGTTCTATGATGTAAGAGAACGGACCTTATCCGCTACATTGTCCGCTTTCGAGATATGGAGTTTGAGCACTTGACATAGTTTGAATGGCTATAGATGCAGACGAGGAATGTGCAAGATGCTCAGATTCAGTGGATATTCCATACCAACGCCGTATGGTACATAGTGTACGAACAGACATAACTGTCAGCCGAGCACCAGTATAACTTGCGATGCATGGACGGAACATAACATCCATAATCCGGATTTTCCAATCACGAGAGATAATCAAGTATGGATATGAATTAGGTACGCCCTAGCTTAATTGAGCCTTTCCCCGGACTCAAAGACTGAGGTCCGCCCGAAGCAGCTATGCTTCAGCTGGGGAGCGTGTACGGAGTACATATTACCATCTGTCAACTCTGTACAAGCCCCCCTAAAAGCAACAACCGAAAGGGTGTTTTGAATATGTAGTAGACGTTGTCGTTGTTCAAATAATACCCTCAATATCCTGTAAAGTATTCGAGTTGTTTACTTCGCAGCTAAAGGTACAGTCACGTGTGCCACATCAACCTCGGCCTGATCTGGGGAACTCGGATCGTTATCAATTCCCGAGCGCTTCCTTTTCCGTCTACACCGATACCTGTACTCTGTACACATCGCGATCCAGTCCTCCTCCTATTTCCTCCTCCTACCGCTGCTGATATTGAATCGCACGATGATCCTACGATGAGCTCGACCAATTTTGCTGCTGCTCAACAGCGCGTGTTAGAACGCCGACGCTTGCACGAGACAGAATCTCGCGCCCGGTTTGCGGACCAGAGGGTGTCACCGGCAAACAATGCCGCCATCCAACGACTTCCATTTCCGTTTAACAGATTGCCTTTATCAGCTAGTTGGGTATGGAGTTCTTTAACGGGTCGTGAAGGGAATCGACCGGCTTTTCGAGTCGGTCAGGTAGATGCCGAGCTGTTGGATGAGGAATTGCTGGACTTGCTCAAGGGACAGGTCGGAGAGGCGTTGAAGTATTACGGCGTATTTATCTACATCCCCTGAGTACCTTGGTGTTATATTTATTGCTAACTGGTGTTTTTGTTTAGCCTCATTTGCGTGAAGACTGGTCGCATGAGATTCAATTTGCCCTCCGAGCCATCTTATTCAAGCTTTCGATATGGGATCATGATGCTTCCTACGGTGCCGCTTTACAAGACTTGAAGTATATCGATGTTCGTAGCAAGGGTCCTATTCATTCTACACCGACGAAATGGCAAAAGGGTCTATATGGTTTTCTCACCGTGGGCGGTCGTTACGCGTGGGATAAGTGGGAGAGCTGGCTAGTCGGGCAAAGCGATGGTTATGAAGAGGTAAGCATTCGCGATTCATCTATATCTCAGCGCTTCATGCTTACATAAATAGCCCTCGCGGAGAGTCCAATTTCTAGGGCGCATAACAGATCTGGTTTCCACAACACACTCGGTTGCAGCTTTCCTTTCTTTCCTTGTGTTCTTGGTGAATGGTCGGTACCGGACTCTGATTGATCGAATCCTTCGTATGCGCTTGACTCCTCCATCTGCCCAAGCCAGTCGCGAAGTTTCGTTCGAATATCTAAATCGACAGCTCGTGTGGCACGCGTTTACCGAGTTCCTACTCTTCTTGCTACCTCTTGTCGGGATAAGCAGGTGGCGCAGATGGTTATCCAGAGCGTGGCGGAAGACAAGGTCTACACTCAAGTCTAGCAGTGACGACAATGAGCCCGAGGAGAAGCGAGGAGAATTAGCATTCCTCCCGGAGAGAACATGCGCCATCTGCTACAAGGACCAGAACCCAACATCCACATCGGAGAATGACGTGATGGCTGCATCAGCATCGGCCGGTGGAATGATTGGTTCTGCACAAACGGATATTACCAACCCTTACGAGACAGTTCCTTGCGGCTGTTTATACTGTTTTGTTTGTCTGGTCCAGAAGCTGGAAGGAGAAGAAGGCGAGGGTTGGGTCTGTCTTCGCTGCGGAGAAATAGTCAAGAAATGCAAACCGTGGAATGGCGATGTGCTTGAGGAAGCACGTCCGCAAACGACTTCAGGAAAGGCTGTCGGCTTCGCTATAGATGGCGAATCGGATACAAAGAGTGCATCTGAGAAACAGCCCTTGGACGACGAGCTCGAGGGTTCCAGGCAGTGGACATCGGTCGACAAGGAATTTGTCGATGAAAATGATCATGAGACTGCTGCGGCATGAGCTAGGCCACACTTACCTCGACGGGCTCGCTGGTCGGTTTCGCCCTGGATCATAATATCTTTCATGCATTATACTGTGATGGCACTACGAGCTATCAGAGATACCCACTTAATATCTGTCATTTTATTCGGGGAATGTATTTATCACTTTGCGATATTATCAACTGTCAATATAGGTATTGAGACTAAACTCCGCTGCTTCTTCCAATCAGCCCTTCGCAAATCACTCAACATAGCCCAAGGATCCATACTCCTTCATCAACACAACCACCCTACATCCCAGCACAGAATCCAACACCCGCTGCACCCAACGGAAACAATGCCATAACCCCATTCAACCATACCCACCACCACAATCCCTTCAACGCGTTCATATCCTCCCTCCTTCTCTTTGCTCTCTCCTGCTCACTCATCTTCATCCCCTCTTCCCCCTCCGCTCTCGCCTTATCATCCCTCCTCGCATGCCCCTCAAGCCTCCCATTAATCCCCCTCATAACAACATGATTCCACGCAAACATACCCACCAACACCGCGCAGGCGAGGAGATACCATTTCCCTCGAGCGGTGGGGTCGTTCCGGAGATACCAGGCTAGGTATATGTAGCCTGTGAAGGTGGTGGTTGCTAGGGGGGCGAGAAGTCGTTGGGTGTTTTTATAGGTGTAGAGCCATTGGTGGGTTAGATGGGGAGGGGGAGCGAAGGGGGTTGGGTGGATGGATGTTGGAGAGGAGGGAGATGGTCGGGGTGGAAGAGTGAGGGTTGGGATTGTGAAGAGAGACAAGGAGAGGAGAGTTCCTGTTTCTTGTTAGATGAGCATGGGTTGAAGGAGTTAAAGGGTATGGGGTACCTGAGAAGAGAGCACAGCCGAGAATGCTGACTGCTTGCGCGGCTGGGATGTAATAGTTGGAAGTGCACATGTTGCTGTCTAGTTGATTGTATTGTGGAAGAGGTTCTGTGTTGTGAGGATGATGGAACAGTGGCTGCAATATGTATAGGATTGTGATGGCTGGAGTCAGCATGACGTATATCGCCCTCTGCTCTAAACAGGGTTACCATTCTGAAAATGTGTCTTGCGATGCTATGACAACAATACCAAATAGACAATGTTCGTTGTTAACTACGGTAAACAACATTATCCCAGAATGGAAAATCAACTCCATACTGACATCCCGGCAAAACGCCCATCATCCAATCAAAAGCTAGAGATTGCCCGCTACTAATCAGGGCCATTTTAGCTTCCCCCCGCGCACGGAGATGAATCCGATGGACTGACTGTGGAGGGGCTCTCGGTTCATTATCGGACTTGCGCCGCACACTTGTTGCTTTTCTTCAGGTCGTTCCCCAGCTTCTCGATAACTGTTTGTGTATACACAGGCAGTAGTGCACTGTATAATTGACAACATGGACCCCTCCAAGCCAGCCGTGACGAGCACCCTGGGTGAAGTCAAGTACATTGACTTCCCCAGTCTCCCCGACGACGCGACGCATGCGGATGGCTCGCAGGCGTTGAACAGGCACTCTACCACTATTACCCGGGGGCATGACTTTCCTGGTGCTCAGGTATGGGTACCAACCGTACTATGTATTCCAGGTCAACTGCTGATTCCAGACGTCTGGTAGGCAATGCTGTTCGCCGCCGGAATCCCTGATCGAGAAGCCATGACGAAGAGTCCCCAGGTCGGCGTTGCGTCGGTATGGTGGGAGGGAAACCCGTGCAATATGCATTTGTTGGATATGGGCAAGACGGTGAAGAAGTCTGTGACTGAGAAGGGCATGATTGGGTGGCAGTATAATACCATTGGTGTGTCAGATGCGATCACCATGGGTAGTGAAGGTTAGTCGTTGGAGATACTATGAGGGATGAGGGCTGACGGATTAGGAATGAGATTCTCGCTGCAGACTCGTGAGATTATCGCCGATAGTGTCGAGACGGTTACCTGCGCACAGTACCATGATGCTTGTATTGCTATTCCCGGTTGCGACAAGAACATGCCTGGTGTGGTGATGGGTATGGCCCGGCACAACCGGCCGTCTATCATGATTTATGGTGGGACGATCCAGATCGGATATTCGGACTTGCTTCGAAAACCTATCAACGTTTCTTCGTGCTTTGAGGCTGCCGGTGCTTATGTCTATGATACCCTGCGCCAGCCCGATGACGGTGGTGATACCAGCAAGAGCAAAGATGAGATTATGGATGACCTCGAGAGACATGCTTGCCCAAGCGCTGGAGCATGCGGTGGCATGTTCACGGCAAACACTATGGCTACGGCCATTGAGTCGATGGGCCTGTCGCTGCCCGGATCGTCGTCTACACCGGCAACATCTCCGTCCAAGATGCGCGAGTGTGTTAAGGTTGCGGATGCAATCAAGACGTGCTTGGAGAAGAATATCAAACCTCGGGACCTGCTGACGAAGCGGTCATTTGAGAACGCGCTGGTTATGACTATGGCGCTGGGAGGTAGTACCAACGGCGTGCTTCACTTCCTTGCCATGGCTCGTACTGCGGGCGTGGATTTGACTATCGATGATATTCAGCGTGTCAGCAACAAGATTCCTTTTATTGCTAATCTTGCCCCCAGCGGGAAGTATTACATGGCGGATCTCTATGACATTGGAGGCATTCCATCCGTCCAGAAGCTGCTGATCGCCGCTGGTCTCATTGACGGTGATATCCCCACTGTAACCGGTAAGACATTGGCGCAGAACGTCGAATCCCACCCATCCCTGCCGCAAGACCAAGCCATCATCCGCCCATTGGACAACCCCATTAAGACAACAGGGCACCTGCAAATCCTACGCGGCAACCTAGCCCCCGGAGGCGCCGTAGCCAAGATCACCGGCAAGGAGGGCATCCGATTCACAGGTAAAGCCCGCGTATTCGACAAAGAGTACCAACTCAACGACGCCCTAAACCAGGGTAAGATTCCCCGAGGAGAAAACCTAGTGATCATCGTTCGCTACGAAGGTCCCAAGGGCGGCCCAGGAATGCCGGAACAGCTAAAAGCTAGCGCGGCACTCATGGGAGCCAAGCTCACGAACGTGGCCCTGCTCACGGACGGCAGGTACTCAGGGGCTAGTCACGGGTTCATTGTTGGGCATATTGTGCCCGAGGCAGCGGTTGGGGGTCCAATTGCTGTTGTGCGCGATGGCGATGTGGTTACAATCGATGCAGAGAGTCATCAGCTTACCATGGATGTGTCTGAGGAAGAGATTCAGCAGCGTTTAGGGGAGTGGAAGCCCCCCGTGCCGCATGTTACTCGTGGTGTGCTGGCGAAGTATGCGCGGTTGGTTGGGGATGCGTCGCATGGTGCGATGACGGATTTGTTTTGAGATTGTACGAGTACTACGGTTGAAATGAGAACGATTCATGGATTTGTGTTTTACCAGCTGATTCATACTTCCATAGACGGAGAGTACTCCATACGTACGCCGTACTAAGAACGAAATATGAGACTGTACCTGAACGGACTCAAAGATAAGGCAAAACGTAGCATTATATCGGTCTCTACCAATCAGGAAGACTACCGAAGCACACTTACTCTTCTTCCATTTCTATTCTCGGGTCCATTGTAGGCCAATTCTTCGGTATGTTCAAGAATTCCATGGGTTGCCGACTGACGTTATGAGTGGGCGGCGATGAATCATCCGGCGATTCAACTCTACCCCATACAACCACCTGCACGCTAGTCGCTACTCGCATTCCGCTGGCCTTGCCAAGTGACCCTTGAAGATCATTTTCAGAAAAGGTAATGCACTATATTTCAGGGTATCCGGTTTTGTAACGGTTGTGTTGGTGAGCTCAGGTCAGGTTCGTTGGAACTGGAGAAGGGAGAAATTTTCCCTGTCCTACTTTGCGCCGGCGACTGCTTGACCAGCGCATAACTATACTAGCTTTTATTATTATTGATCACACGCTGATGTCGTGTATCTCGTACCGCAGCGCCAGTTAAGAAACCGTCAAATAACCGAGTCTTCCTTCGTTGTGACTGACCTGTCGCGAATCCTACCAAAGACTCAACCACGGAATCGCAACGAGACACCGAACAACAAACCACTTCTTGCCTGCATCTATTTCTAAAGAGTACTGTACTATTCAGTGTCGACGTGCAGAGTGGAACTGTCAGACGAGATCCTCTCCAGCGACCGTCCAACGTGCCGATTCGGCCATTTTCATTGGCAGAAACGCCGTTCGGGGTAAACAAGTGATGCGCAAATAGTTGCATGTCCGGTTGCATAGCAGTGACTAGCTCACCATCTGTTGGTCGCTTCAATAATCCGCTTGATAGGCTTCCGTGTCCATAGGGGTTTGAACCCATTGACCTTCGGCCAAAGAGCGTCGTCGCTGGGCTCTCGTGGGTTAAATTCGGGCTTCCAGAACAAATTCCCACGGCGCTATTCCGATTGCTCAGGTATCCCTGTTGTGAGGAATTACCTTTCCTGAACTTTGGGTGACGTGGTGGATCCGGATCTCTGTTGGATAGGGAGTTGACCGACTGTCTGGTGTTGTGCGCTGTGTGCCGGGTGTTGTTGTTTGAGGAACGCATGATTCCTGTTAGAGGCCAAGGCCACTGTGCAAGGGAAGGGCGATCGCTGGAAACCTGGACCTGATTGATCATCCTCGCGAGATAACTTATTTTGCCTGTCCCCGGCCATGGGATCGACCGGCGCTCCTTCGTTGGTTCCTACCTCTTCCTCTTCCTCCTTGTCTCGTACTACTTTTACCTTTCCGTCAGATATCAAAGGTGTGTTGCGCATCTGGGATTCCGTCATCTCTTCTACCCTGGACCATTATCGCAATGGTACTGTGAACTGGAGCCAGGTTGTGTTTCTTACTACGTGCTTTGTTGCAATGGCGGGCTGTGGATTCTTGTCTTCTCTGCTGCGGCGCAGAGGCTCGCAGCAGCTCTCTGATGGACGTGGCAGGCACTTTGGTCACTCTGTTCGCAAGAATGACCGAAAGAGCTCCGCTGGAGCCATGTCCTCTTCTGACGAGGACGAATATGATAGCAATGCATCTTTGCGTCCTGGTACGGATGGTTCTCTTACTGAAAAAGATATGACGGCTCAGCACCGTGAACAATCGGTGGAAGGTCAGTCCTATCCCTTGTATTTGTCATTGCGCTGTGATCTAATACTAACGAAAACAGCCCTTACCACCGATCCAGGTCTTTTAAAGAAGTATTCTTCGTACCACTCATACTCAACATTTGTTGCGACGTATCCGTCCATCAGGACGTTCTTCTGTCAGCATCCGCAGATGAACAAATTGCCTACCAAACCATCACCAATTCCGTTGCTTGTGTTTGTGCACGGCCTGGGCGGGTCCCTGGCGCAATTCCATCACTTGCTCACAAGCTTGACGAACATTGCACCTTGCTTTGGAATTGACCTGCCGGGATGCGGTCTGTCGACATTTGAGCCAACCTCTTGGGATGCATACACTGTCGAGGCACTGGCGGAACTAATCGCTGCCGCCATTGAGCAACATCGTGATGTCGAAGCAGGCCAGGGAGTCGTGCTCGTGTCACACAGTCTGGGATGCTCTCTGTCAGCGTTGCTGGCTTCGTCTGCATCCCCCATTGGGGCTCAGCTCAAAGAGCATATCATTGGTACCATTTCCGTCTGCCCCCGCGCATCTCCGCCACCTCCTAAGGATACTACCATGTTCCGTCGACTCCTCTACATTCCAAACCCTATCTTTAACCTGTGGCGTACTTGGGATCGACGCGGTGGTCCTAACAGTGCCAGTGTTACTCGATTCGTTGGACCGGATGCCGATCCTGAAACTAGGGAACTACAGGTACGCTTTAACACGCAGAGCAAGACCGCTGTGTGGCGGCGCATGGCTTGGGGAACTCTCCCAACGGACTTTGAGGACGATAAGCCAATCGGTGGGATGCCAGGAGAGGAGATTTGGGCAGGAATACAATCTCCAGTTCTCCTCATTGCTGGCGAGTCTGACGCGGTTACCAAAGCGGCAGAGTTGAAGAAGATCCTTCAATTCTTTGGGGATATCAAACCAGACGAGACGATCGAACCTGATAGCAGCATTGTGCCCGATGCTACTAGGGTCCAGGATCAAATCCAGATCCACGTCGATGGTCAAGCGCACGAAGTTGAATACGGAGGTGAAAAGGAAACCGAGAAAGTCTCAGAGGACAGGCGGAAGCGCCCTGTCAAGACAGCAATCCTCCCATCCCCAGCCTCCCACGCCCTCCTCTACGACCGCGCAACTTACCGTACCGTCTCCGGAATCATCCAAGACTTTTTTGTCTCTCACATCGACCACCGTCTGAGCCTGGGCTGGCAGTTACACCATCTAAATACATCTGGTAAATGGGATGTCAAGAACGTCGCCAAATGGAAGAAAGTACCACCCGTCTCGCAACCTTTAGCAGATACCTTCGTCGCCCTTAAAATGCTCCGCGAAGTCGACGAGGAACACAACCCCGTCCGCTTCTCCGAAAAACACCGCGACAACATCTACGCCGTCATCGACATCTCCCACGAAAACCCAGTCTACAATCCAGCCTCCTTGGAGAAGGGCGGCATCCACTACCACAAACACCCAACAGTCTCCAAGATCCCGCCAACACCCGACGAGACGCGGGACTTCATTGCGCTGGTCGATCGCCTGCAGGCAGAGATCACGGACCTTGTCGAGAAACGGCCAAAGAGTGAGCGGAACTCACCTCGTCCTGTAGTCGGCGTGCATTGTCATTACGGTTTCAATCGGACTGGGTTCTTGATTGTTTGCTATTTAATTGAGAGACGCGGGTTTGGGGTTCAGGAGGCGATTGATGAGTTTGAAAGGAGAAGGGCGCCGGGGATTAGACATGGGCACTTCTTGGATATGTTGTTTGTGAGATATTGTGTTGGGTTGAAGAGGGCGCCTACTTTGTAGTAGTTCATGTCCATGTTCATGTTCACTTTATTTCGAGTGGTTAATTGGCAGGCGTTGGTGGTGTTTTAGATATGAGTTATGATAGAGTGTACCAATAGAGTATTATTCCCCGTAACCATTTTCAGTATTTTCCAGCAGTAAAATACGTTAACTATTAGGGCCTTTAATAAGTTCTCCGAGATCCATACTTGTACATACCTTCGGGAATTGGTGCCCCAGGCAACTAGGGTAAGTCTAACCCAAATAGGCTAAGCGAAAAAGCCCGCCCACACAGAGCGAACCCGGCCGCCCTTTTCGCGCAACCGAGAAAACACGAAACGCACCTTTTGAGGTTTTCGACCAACCCGCCCTCCGACGACGACCATCCCTCCGGCTTTAACCTCTTCAACTTTCTCCCCAGGTTCAACAAAGTCGCCTGCAAAAATGGGTGGTGTCACCGTTCGCGATGTGGAAGTAAGTCGTGTCGTTACTCCGGTTTTGTCTCCGGTCTGGTCTGGTGGTCTGGTCTGGTGATCTGGTCTGGTCATCTTGAAGAATGGGAAGAATGATCGAGCGATGAACGAGTGAATATGGAATAGGGGGGTTGAGATTCTACGAGAACAAGGAGGAATTGAAAGCGACTGCAATCCGACTGGGATCGTCGGATACCGGCCATCGATATCTGCAATTCGGCACTGAGGATTTATGTCAAGAGGAGGGATGTGGAGGAACAATATCAAAATATATGGGCTTCGTGAATTCAACGATCGGAACGTTTTCATTTTTCAAGAGGACCAGACCACGACTTGGACAACGGGCATTGGACAATTATATGAAAGGTGAAGGGCGCATGCTGACGGATTTTCTCTCCAACAGGCGCGGAAGTTCATCTCTGCCTACTCTGCATTCTTGAAGCGTCAGGGAAAGCTCCCCATCCCCGGATGGGTTGACACTGTCAAGACCTCTGCCTCGAACGAGCTCCCTCCCCAGGACGCCGACTGGTACGATACCATATAACCAAAGCAAACAAAAAATCGCAACGCCACCTAACAAAAATGATAGGTACTACGTCCGCGCCGCTGCCGTTGCCCGTCACATCTACCTCCGCAAGACCATCGGTGTCAACCGCCTCCGCAAGGTCCACGGCTCGACCAAGAACCGCGGCAACCGCCCCGCCCACCACGTCGACGCCTCGGGTTCCGTCGACCGTAAGGTCCTGCAGTCCCTCGAAAAGATTGGTGTCCTTGAGCACGACGAGGACAAGGGTGGCCGCCGCATCACCGAGAGCGGCCAGCGGGATCTGGACCGTATTGCCAAGACCACCGTTGACGAGGAGGAGGAGGATGACGAGTAAAGAAAGAAAGGAAAGCAAAATACGAATTTTTATAAAAAGTTGCATATTCCTTACTTCCTTGCCATCTTTTTTCTCTTCTTGATGTGTTTCCTTATGTCCTTTACCTTCCGTTCCGTCATAATATCCTGGGAGAAATGAAATAAATGGATGGGTGCTTGGGTTGAGCGATCCTCGAATTTCATCTATGGCTTATGGAGGAAGAGTCTCCGCATCTTTAGAACTTGGAGACCTGGGCATTGATCAATAGTGTTTCAGGCTTCTTCCAATCAATGTACGGAAGTACGATTCATGATTGTACGTCTATCCACAAGTAGTCAACTATCTACATTGTACACCATACCCCCAAGTAACCTCCACTATTTCTTCCCCGACTGCGCCGAAGGATCCTGTGTTCTCAGTTAGCACCGCAACCATAGTCTTACGAGGACCAACGTACCAAATAAACCTGATAAAACCTCATCCTCACCTCTTCCCCATCAATCGCAAAAGCAACCCTCCCCGCCCATGGCACCTCAACCTCATTCTCCGCATCCGCCCGCAGCACATACCTCACCGTCCCATACAACATAACCTCATCCTCGCCCCCGAAAAACACTTTCGTAGGCGAGTGTTTCCGCGAAGCAACATGTGTCCAGAGGCCGTGGCGGAGCGTCCTAATTTCTGTACCGGATTGCGTTAGCTAGCCCCAACCATAACTATAGGGAAGAGATGGCAAGTGGAGAGTACCATCACGTCCGACGGCCTTCTTAGAGCCCATGATTAGAGTTGCATCGTCGGTGAAGGAGGAAACATATTTGTCGTGGGCGGACTCGGTGTCGCTGGTTTGGTAGAAGGTGGAGAGGAAAGAGAGGATGGGGGAGGTTGTTGAGGGGGAGACAGAGGGGTTGGTGGTTATTTCGTAGGACATTTTGTTTTCTTCCGTCTCTTTTTGTAGACCTTTTTGGGTTGGAGATGTGAAGGTCTGTATAGAGATGTGGTTAGTTACTGGTTAATTGCCGTCAATTAGAGCTAACATGGGCTTGGACTTACCTTTTGTGCTGAGGTAATGTCTATGAGATTGCGAATTGAAAATATATGGATAAGTTACTTGTATATGTACTCTGGCTCAGTACTCGTGTTTCTATCCTTGATGATATAATGAGGGGCTTCCGATAGGATGGTTCGCTTCCGATCGTGTTTCGGCTCAACGGTTCTATAGATTCCGACGACGATACAGAGTATGACTAGGTGGCAGAGAACTTAAAGTTAAACAGTAATAGTGTGAAAGATTGTGGAAGATAAATGCGAGAAGTAGACGGTGCATTCATCTATCACGTCACGAATACATGCCTAGATGCGACGCATAGATGCTGCTACTAGAGGTTTAAGTCCACACCCGAATCATCGGAATCAACACCTATAATCCCCCTCCTCCCTCATAAAATCCCCCCAACTCGCCCGATCCACACCGTTCGGACGGCTCCCCCGCTCAAACACATTCTCAACCCCCTCAATCTCCGCCACAGGCTTCACAACTTCGATATCCGCCTTATACGCCTCCGAGTGCCACTTCTCTGTAAGCACCTCGGGCTCATACAAATGCGGGAATCGCTGCTGCATGATCTTCAGCACAGTCGAGGAAATGCGGTCGACGCTGTCACAGTGGCGCAGGGCGAAGAACTCGGGTGGTTGGGACGCGCGCATGGACTCTTGGATGGAGGCGGAGTATTGGCCTACGGCGAAGAGGAGGAGGTCGTAGTGCATGAGAGAGGCTTTGCCGTGGTACGAGCCGCCGGTTGCAGCGCGGTGATAGAGGCCGGTTAGGGCTGCGATTGCGCCCATACAGCCCGTGCCGTAGTCGGAGATGGGGAAGGGGGGGACTGCGGGGGTGGAGTGGCCCATGAATTGGCCTTGGGCCCAAGCGATGCCGGTGACCTGTTTTGTTAACATAATTCAGATCGATTTCTTTGATTAGAGGCTTACACAGTCAGCAATCTGCTGCCAGCCTGGCCGGCCGGCCCATTCACCCTCGTAGCCAAAGCAGTTCTCATTCACATACACAACACCCTTGCCGCGCTTTTCAGCCAAAGCGGCAAGAGCATTCGGGCCATAGCCTAATTTTTCCAGAGCTCCAGGACGGTATCCGTCAACGACAACGTCAACGTCTGCGACTAGTTCTTCGAATTGGCGTCGTCCTTCTTCCGTCTTCAAATCGAGATCAGCTGCATGCTTGCCCATGTTTCCGTCGACCTGGAAGAACGGCACATCCGAGAGATTGGGGCTTGTGATCTTCAAGACATCGGCGCCGTACTCGCTCAGAATCCGGGTGACAGTCGGACCGGCAATGATACGGCAGAGTTCCAAGACTTTGATCCCTTCCAAAACCTTCTTGCTTCCGAGACGGCTGGCGGGGAACGGTGTTGGAGGAATGTCGCCCTGCAAGCGCGACACCTTCCAGAAGGGCTCCTGCATGTTGGCTTGGCCCTATGCTCGTTAGTATCTCCAGCCATATCTGACACTGGGATGACCTACATGAGGGGTCTTGACAAAGTCCTCGTGCTTGAACGCCGTCACACCAGCCTGTCTCCTCTCCCGATTCATGTTCTCCAACTCTGCAGCCCCATATTTCTGCACATGGCTCTCGATCACCTTGATAACCTCTTCGTAGTCTGTCAAATCCGGACGGTGACCCTCCAAGCCAATCATATTCAATGTCGTCGTAGCTTCCAGCGAGCCGTGAATATGGAAAAATTCACCGGGGTTCTTGGTACGATAAAGATTCGCAGACATGCGGCGGTATCCATTCGACTGCGCGGCCAAGAGATCCGTGTCTATCCAGTCAGCAGCAATCCCATTCCATCTGCACAACTGCACAGCTGCACATACCCTTCAACCTAGCTTTAACAGCAGGATCCAACTTGGACAACCCATCCAACTTGGCCATATACGCCTGGCAACCAAACGCCGTAGCCTTCTCCAAACTAATCTTGATATCCCGCGACGACGTGCCATACCGCAAATCGGCTAGGGCTGCGGCTACGGCACCTTCGATACCTTTCAATGCAGCCAAGGTTTCAGTCTCTTTGAAGGGAATTGGGTAGTAAATTTGGTCGTGGGAAGAGTAGAACGAGACTTTGTCCCGGTTCTCAACGACTTGTAGAGGCAAACTGAAGCGTTCGGACTGGTCGCATAGCAGGGAGAAGATCCGACCCGCCTCGCGGATGGGGGAGTATGTTTCTGAATTGGCCATTGTTACTTGTCACTTTTCTTCCTTTGTATAACTTTTAAAGAAAAGGAAGAAGCTGGAGCGGAATATATATGTGGGAGAAGTTCAACACCCGGAGCCCTTGTCGGATCGGGTGGATGTCCTCGGGCCATTGAAAGGGTTGCCATTTAGGGAACGCAGAGGCAAATTGCATCCACTAAAGCCACGAAACGAGCAAAAAGAACCCCGCAAAAACGCGAGAAACAGAAAAAGATCCGATGAAGAAGTTGACGGGCCGGGGGAGCTTCGGAAGCGATAAGATCGGATGTACACATTATACTCACGTGAAGATAAGTAAACAAAATCACGTGGCTAATTTATATGATCACGTGTTGATAGGAGCGTTATTGATAAAGAGTGTAACGTGACTATCATTTAGATCTACAGAAACTCGACATGATACGGAAAGCTCCGTTGGGATTGGATACACCGTGATGCAGCTGTAAGTCATCTCGTGGGATGCTCGGTAAATGCAACCCTGGCAGGAGTTGCGGAGTGAGTTCGTGCTCTGGCCTCTAGATTTTACTTGTAGACAGTGACTACAAAGTATATTCAGCTATATCAAGTTAAAACTTCCTTGAAGAGGGCCGTGACGTCAGCCGTCAACTGGCAGCCAGTGATTGAGGGCATGTGTTTCGGGAGGCCAACACGTGCTGTCATAGGGTTCTTGCCCTGCCCACACAAACACGATAGTACAGGATAGTTTTGTGAGAAGAGGAGACATCCCTTATTTTATTATATATATATACGGATAGGAATAGATAGATAGATATATATATATATATATATATATATCTATACATTTATATACAAATATGATACTCATCCTCTACACACATAGTATGTAGATTGTACATCCGGAGTAGGAGTATGCACTCCGGTACAGACCCAACCGGGACCACCCGGCGAGTCTCCACGACGCCAATCACGGGGCCCACGCGCCGCGACGGTTGGCTGGGGAAAGATAGTGTAGAGTTGTATTTTAGATAACAAGACTTGTAGGGAATCAAGAAATAACGCGCACAGAAACTCGATATCAAGCGAGCTGAACACTTATAAAAAGCACCATAACCCGCGGGGGGAATGTACTCACCGCGCTAAACTAGATTGGGTCTGCAACATTCCTGTGCCTGAGCAACTACAAGTGTTCTTTCGGACTCCTTTTCATCTGATCTATTCCCTTTCTTTTCTCTCTATTTCACTATATCCTTGCACCTCTCTATACTCTCTAACTCTCTATATCCTCTATAATCCTCTATAATACAAAGAATTTTGTCTGTACTCCGAACAGTACTCCCACGCCTCCAAAGTCCTCATCTGACCTCCCGCGTCGCATACCCCCGTCAGCTTCGCCTCGGCTGATTAAATCGCTCCTCCTCATTTCGCTCGCCAGTGTTACGTGAGTCAATTCGTGCTTGGTCCTCTATTCTCGCGCCTTCTCTTCTTTTCTCCTCTTTTCTTCTTTATTTTATGCTTCAAACATCCTCGAAGCTGCCTTGTTGACATATCGCCTCCCCCTTTGTTCTATACGGTGCTGACTCAACCCTCAACCAAAAGAAACCCCAGGTCTAGCCACCACCACTTCTCTTCAATACAACTCTCGCACACATTATGTCTCGCCCAACTGGTCCCTCTAGCATCGCCATGGCTCTTGCTGGCAAGACCGCTTCTGTCGATATCCCTAAACCTCGCTCGGGCTTCACCGCTGCTCGCGATACCGCTCACTCTGCCATGCTGCCGACTCCTCCCAACTCCATCTCTCCTACCCTACGTCCTCACGTCTCCTTTGGCCACAAGCAGTCCGCCAATCTCGCGGGTACTTCGCCCTTGGCCACATCCCACCCCGATTCCGATCTCGACCTGGGAGATGCTGGAGACGACAGCACAGGTGCTATCACACCGGGCATGTTGGCCAAACACTACTTGCCTGAGATTATGCTGCACCAGGGGCCCTTGGCGATCCGTCATGTCATGGGCTACCTGACTACATCCATCCCGGGTTTCTCCAGGATTCCTTCTGCGAAGGCCCGCAGACTGGTGGTGGCCGCTCTCGAGGGCCGTGGCTCTGAGCAAGGAGGCGGTTCGGATGGTAATGTCGTTTTTGAAAAGGTGGGATGGGGTCGCTGGGATGCACGGCGTCGAGGCCAGCCATCCCGCCACAACCAACACCTCGAATCATCGCCGCCCTCCAGTCTCCCCAACTCCTTCCACCAACGTGGCGTCCAGATTCCCTCCCGGAGAGAGGACTGGAGCCCCTACGGAACCAGTGCTGCTGGCGATTCCGCCGTGTTCTCGTACTCGGAGACAGTGGACTTCGGTCGGCACAGGGATGACAGCATGCTCGAAGACGAGGCGGACAAGATGTCCCTCGATGGAGACGATCGTGAATATGCCTCCTCGTCCGAGGCTCCGGACGATGAGATCCCAGACGGCGACTGGGGTGAGGAGGACGTGACGGATGAAGAAGACTGGGCGCAAATCGGCGCCGACGCTCTCCGTGCGCGCTCACTGAACACCAGCGGTGGATTTCTTGATGCGAAGCAGCAGCCGCGTGGCGGTGGCCCTGCTCCCTCCGCCCTGGCCAAATCGCTCCCCAACAGCATTCCTATCCAGCAACTTGGATTCACCCTACCGGAGGGTGTCGTTGGCGATTGTGAGGAGCGTGCTGCCGTGGAAGCACTTTTACGACTTGGCTCTATGTAAATTCGATACGATCATGTTGGCGGGAGTTGGTTTTGTTTGATTTTTTAGGACGCTAGCATACATATTCAAGAGCAGGGATCGAATGGATCGACCGCTAGCACGGATTGCATTGGGATTGGACGGATGGCGTTTGGTTTGGTTTGGTTTGGGAAACGGGATATGATGCGCCCTTAAGAGGTTTTCAGAGCTTCAGCAGATCATTTGGCTTACTGCCAGTACTTATTGCATTTTACCAGATTTGGTATATCTCTTTTGATGTACATTTGAAAATGTCATCTCATGACTGGATATAGTTATACATACAGCATTTAATACCCATAATCTACATACGTACTTGATTTTCTAGACAGCTCGAAGGCTTTCCCCTTCCCTGTTAGGGCTCACCCCTCGCCGCTTTTTACTCACTGCGCAGACCTGAGCACGCCCTGAGCGGCCTGAGCTGATCACTGAGTAGGGGCCGAGCAGAGGGGTGAGTAGCCTGACTAAGGTAGCCTCAATAAAATGCACCACGCTAGGGGTCTACCTGTCTCTACTTTTCATTATAACACTCTTGACCGTCACCCCTGGGGACTGTGCTTTTAGCTCTCAAAAACAGGAGCAGCCATATTAGGGCCCAGGTCAGGGCTCTTAGGAGTCTGAACAATCCCAGGAGCAGGAAAGGCCGTGCGGAAAATACTAAGTGCACAGAACCAATTGTTATAAAGGCTTACTGCTTAGGATGACAACAGTAAATGATCTCTGAGAGGGTGGCCTCGAGCACGCTGGATGAGAGTACCGCTGCTAGCTCTCAGGACGATGGATTATCACCTTCTCGTGGAGTCCGGTGTTAGTACTTGTCTTTTGACGAGGAACTTAAGATGAATCACCCAGTCGCTATGGTTGTATGGGCACGTTGAATTGGTCCCCCGACGCGTCCGCGCCCTCCCGACCACACGCACGAAATGGGCAATGACAACAAGGACTAGCTAAGGTTCCTGCCTCCCTTATCCCGCTACGAATGTTGCACGCCATGACACGCTGGCACCCTACTGCCATATAACGGGGGATACAACCTGTGTATCCCCGACGGGGCGCGTCACTGACGCGCCCATCCTGTGTTGATTCTAGGCCATGAGACAAGAAGACAGCTGGGATTCCCCTTGGCTACTACTGCTACTACTACCACTGTAATCCGATGTGGAAGAAGCGGGATCTCTCGGATCGTAGCTCAGAGGGGAATTCGGGAGCAGATTATTGTGGACCAGCGAAGCCTACATGGAGAGGATTAGTTTGAACAAAAAGGTAACTATATTGCCTAAGTACAGAGTAAATGAGTAATTTGTATAGAAGAGTTCCTCGCCGCCCGCGCAGCTCGGTATCTGATTACATCATTGCGTCTTAGCAGCCTACCACCAAGCAATCAACGCACTAATATCACATGCTCATATTGCTTGGCAACGGCGGCGGCGGTAGTATATTCCTTAGCTAAGTCTTCCTTACCATCCATATCTAATGATCATCTCTCATCTCACTACGTTCTATTCCTTGCAAATTTCTTTCTCAGCTTACGTCAAATAGTCCTGGATGGAAAACTGACACATATTACTTGCCTCTGTGTAACAAAGCCGCCAGCAATATTTCTTATATTGTTGTTTGCCAGGCAGGTGCATTTCTAGTTCTTATTAGGCAGGTGCACTCCTAGTTCTTATCTTCCAATGGCTACCGCCATCACCAGCTGGGTGCTCAACCCAATCTAATCTTTGACAACGTCTTGGCCCCGTACTCGCAAGTTATGGTGCGCTTTATCCGGTGATCTTCAGAGGTCATTTTTTATAGAGTGTTGCAGACCAAGATGATATCGACACTCTCAGGAAGAAGATTTGGGACCGTTTACCAGCAGGATTTGAAGATACTCTAACTGACTACAGTGAGCTCAAGCTCTACAGGCCCGTTGTGCAACTCAATTATGAAGAGGAATTTAGGATTGATGATGGTGGATTCCTACTTCCACGCCGAATGATTACATTTAATCCACTCTTCCCAGAAAGCAAGGACCCAGGTGTGGATATTGTTGTTGTGAGCAGAGATACCATTACACGGAAATGGAAGCGCTCTGAATCACAAAGTGGTGAGATTCATACCTAATGATCTTTTCATGCTTATAGTTAGCATTTGCACATTACAGCGGGTATACCTCGGACACAGCCCATTGCGGAGGATCCACGTCTATGTCCTCGAAAGCGTACAGTGTCAGAACTTGCGGCCATTTTGGATGAAGTGAACATAGTCCATGTGCATGGAACACCAGCCAGTGGGAAAACATATCTCTCTGAACTTCTGAGGGACCACTATTGCAAAGAGGGAAGAAAAGCATTCTTGATCACAGAATGGGAAAAACTGAATCCCAAGAATCCTTGGGGCAGTCTTATCAAGCTTGTTGAGAATTCAAATGAACAACTAGAAGATGCCCCTACCACTAGTTTCACTACAAATTCATCGCAATCAAAACAGGATCCCTTTTGGGTTTTGACATCAAACACTGTGATTCTCGTAGATGAGGCACAGATGACCTACAATGATGCTGTTCTCTGGAACACAATCCTCAAAAAAAAGAGTCGTCTTTTCTTAGTTATAATTTTCGACTATGTCTTTTTTGCTCTTATAGCAGTCCAGAAGCAGGCCCAGATCAAACATTCTTCACTCCAGTCAGGCTTTCTAACCAACAATGCATCTCATTGACACCACAAAGCCGGCAAGGCTCCCCATCTATTGGTTTTAGTTTGATAAAGAAGAGTTCAAGGACGTTGTTTCACGGCCAATCCCACTTGAATATCAAAAAAAGTTCACTTTTGATGAAGGTGCCCCGGACTACATATTTGCATTATCAAATGGCCATCCAGGAGCAGTCGAATCCATACTTAACATACTTTTCCAGGTACGTACCAAATATGATTTCAAATAATTTTGGGATTCTTTGGACATCCCCATAGTGGGGCATGTTGAGAAGCTTTATCAGAACCAAGAAGCTAACAGGTTCAGGCCTATCGCCATGACATCAAGCATGGAAATATCAGGACTTTGACAGAAGATCATGTCATCTGGTTCCTGGAGGACACTGCCACAGTCTTTCAAAAACTAAGCATGCAGCCAGTTCATCGCTCTTTCCCTCGTATAGAGAGATGGACAAATGGAATTTCGAACATATTGAACACAATCACAGAGACAGGAAGTGTTCCATCTGATCTCAATGATGCAGACATCAGGTTTGTTTATCAGAAAGGTTGGATTCACAGGGCAGCTCTGAATAGTGGTGATATTGCAGTTCTACCATCGCGCTGTTACAGATCCCTAATGCACTAATCTCACGTGATTATGCGGGGAGTCAAGGCAGAATCATTGGACCATAAGCTCTGGTAATAATGCAGGAAGGACAGGGATCAGAGATGGTAGTTAACGAGCGCATTACGTGATCAACTACCATATACCATGGCTTGACATTGGTAGATGGTATACAAGCGGAGGATATAAGGACACTCATTCATGTGTGTAGTTTAGTTCTTCGCAATCAATCTAGTTAATCAAGCATTGGTTACCTTCTAGTTTCTGACTCGTCCGCACTTGACCAACAACCCAGCATACGTGCTTGGTTGGCCTTGTTTCTCTATTTGTTACCTTTACCGTTTCTACTTGTTGATTATCTTACGGAGCCTGGAGGGGGCGATATACCTTTTGACGTGATATACAGAGGATCTGGATGGTCATTGAGCATACGATTACTTGGAAAACACTTAGGGTAAGTGTCCTGTCTCGAAATACAACTAACTAGAACCCTAGGTACGATACGAGAGAAGCCAGGTTGTGACACTTTTATTATGGTATTTTTGTTAGCTGTAACCAACTTCTTGGCTATCAAGTAATCAAATGAATTCACCTGGTTCCCTTCGTCTTGCAGCTCTTGTCCCATGTCTTCTTCATTTCATTCCTCTCCAGGGCCGATATTCTCGTCTTATGACTACCTAGTTTAGATTGAAAGTATTATCTCGTTTTATCTACTAGACTGAGACCGTGACAATAAGGGCACAAGTGGAAATAGAAAGCAAAAATTGTATTCATGTCTTTTCAATCTCTTGTGAATCTCAGCTAGACTGCGGCAAATCCGCAAATTTGCGGATGTGGATGGCGAAATAGCATCCGCGTCTGCGGATTTGCTGCAGTCTAGTCGAGAGTTTCGACCCATTTGCGAATTTTGGCGATATCTACCTGTAAGTTGACGCGGCAAATTCGCAAACGCGGATGCCATTTTGCCATCCGCATCTGCAAATTTGCGGATTTGCCGCAGTCTAATCTCAGCCTAGCTCACAGGATAATCGGCTGTGTTTCTGGTAGCGCTGAGCAAGCTCCGTGGACCCAGATTGATCCCAGAAGCGGACTGAGACTTCACCCGAAATTAATCTAGATAATTTGACAGGAGACAAAGACATGACCACAACTGACCATCAGATTGATGATGCCAGCGCTTGGGCTGGGGGTTTTGCACCGAGTGTGAGTGGCCGCAGAGTATCGCACTCCTCTAGAGTGTCTAAACTAGTCGCGCGAGCGCCAAGAGTTCATACCCTGAGTGTATGCTTCGCTTAGAATTCACCACTCAAGATTCAGCTAGTCTCCATCAACTTTCTACCTGTGTATCATCTTGTATGGCAGATTGGACTACCTGGGCAGTTTTGAGGGCTGTCGAACTACCCGCGTAATATAAAGGGGGAGTAAGTAGCTCGGAGGCCACGTGACTGCTCACTGAGCAGGCCCTAAGTACCCTCATTAAAACGGCGGCGTCCAAAGGAAAGTCACGGTCGCTCTAGAAAAACAGGTACGTATAGGTGCATATATAAATATCTCACCTACTCACATTTCGTTACGCATGACGTTACGCATTATTGTCGATGGAATGTTTGTATTCTCCGGTGGCAAAAGTTGCATGCTTCCCTTTCGTCCTAGAATTTAGGATCCATTATATCAGGGCTAAAGGGGTAATTAGGCATATCTGAGTTTATTCCGTTGTCTGGTGTGACGGTTTTCTTTCATGGGTGCGTACAGCGTACGATCGTCTCCACTGTACCCCGTATATCATACTACTGCATAGAGAAGAGTGATGCTTGTGCCATTTGATGTACAGGGGTTGGTCTAATAGGATCATTCAAAACATGCAGATTGACGTTCCAGAAAGGACTGTTTCTCATTGAGCAATTGCATTAATATTATATTAGTACAGCCAATGTCCCATAGTACTAGTACCACTGTTTATACAGAACCAAGCGAACGCCAGTAGCTCAGCAATACATATACAATCTCATAAACCATACCCATCCGTAATCCATAATCCTTATCTGTGTCCCCCTCATCCCATTTTATAAACCCAGAGAAACCTATTGATCCCCATCATGAGCCTCATTAATCCTCCTCCACACCTCCGCCTCAACCTGCACTAGCTTCTCCCCCGCAGTCTGCACCCACCCTTTCGCCAAATCCAGGAATCCCTTTTCACTGGTGTCCAACTCGTCTTGCATTATGTTATTGTTCGGTATGGAGTAGGGAGATTGGTATGAGTTTGAAGGGTGTCGAGGGTAGACAGTGTTGTAGGGTGTTGTTGTTGAATTTGGGGTTTGTTGGTACTGCAGATACTGTTGCTGTTGAGCAGCATAACCATACCCATAGCCACAGGTCTGCGTAGGAGACTGGATACCCGGGTTAATGTTTGGGTCTGCAGTCGCAGCAGGCGCGCCCTCAGCAACGCCACCCTGCGCAACAACCTCTCCAGCCTTCGGTGGCGGGGGAATGCCCTGTTCTTGTCCATTCTGTCCTTGGTCCCGCGCCTGTGTCTGTCCATATCCGGACCCCTGTGCCGGCACGCCAGCAATAGGAACTGCCCCAGGCTGCGGCGGCGGAGGCGAAGAGCTTGTCGTCGTAGCTGGTGTCGGGTTCGTTGTCTCGGACGGCGTGTAGACGTACGTTGAACGTTCTGGTTCTTGAATTTCTGGTTGTGCCTGTGACTCTGGCTGCCCTGTTGCAGCTTCCGTTGCGGCTGGTAGGGAGGACATGCTGACTGATTGAGCGGCGCTGTGTATGGGGGAGTAGGATGGGGCGGTTGAGGTTGTGGTTGCGGGGACCGTTGGGGGGAGCTGTTGCTCTGGGTTTTGGGCGTCGTCCTGCTTTGAAGATGGAGTTGCTGTGGCTTCAGGTGCACCACCGCTTTCTGGTGTGTAGACAAGCGTCATCGTTAAGAGCTGAATGCTTGGAGACAAGGAGATGAAGCTCGAGGTGACACGACGTCATCGCAGAGCTTTACACGTGACTACAAACTCACTAATCACACCAATCATACTACGCCTGGTGAAAACTCTTCGGCCAAGGACAAGTTAAACCCCAGACTTTAATTAATTCCATACTGAGAAAAATACAGATTCAGAAAGAAAAAGAAAATTGCTTGCAGACAGTAGTAAAGTACAACGGGTACAAGAGAAAATGTCACATGGCTCTATGATCAAGACCCCGAAAGCGCCCTTGATCGATATTTCTATCAAGACCTCCACACAACATTCAGCACCTAGCAGTTACGCCAGACGCCATTTTTACACACCCTTCCCCAGCAACGATTAGAACTTAATCAATCGTCTATTTGTACTTCTTTCCGAAGAGGAGGAGCTGGGCTTGGTCGTAGATGGACAGGACACCAGCACCAGCGACACCACGGAGGATGTTAGCACCAGCACCCTTGAAGAGAGACTTGGTACCCTCCTTGGCGATAATCTGGCGGGCGGCATCCATGGAAGAGGAGTACTTGACGGCCTGTATCAAGGTAGGTTAGAGATTGATTGACCAACAGGATTATATGATTGATACATACCTCACCAGAGGTCATCATCATACGACGACGGATGGTGTCAAGAGGGTACGAGGCAACACCGGCACCGGTAGTGACAGACCAGCCGAGCAAGAACGAAGCAAGGAAGTTACCCTCAAGAGGACCGACGAGAACAACAGGCTTGATGGAGTCGTACATGCCGAAGTAGAGACCACGGTAGACGATGATTCCAAGAACAGAGGGACCGAAACCACGGTAGAGACCGGCAATACCGTCAGAGGCGAGTGTCTTCTTGTAGACGTCAACGAGACCGTTGAACTGACGGTCACCACCGCCCTTGGCGGACTTGGCGTCGTTGGCAAGACGGGTACGGGCGTAGTCGAGAGAGTAGACGAAGAGGAGCGAAGTGGCACCAGCAGCCTGGGTCAGGGTTAGCTTAATCGTTCAAATACCAGTAAACAGGGTCAGGAAAACATACACCACCGGAGGCAAGGTTACCCATCATCCACTTGCCGTAACCGTCACGCTCACGCTTGTAGGCGAACATCGACTTGAAGGTGTCGCGGAAAGCGAAGTTCAGAGCCTGGGTGGGGAAGTAACGGACGACGTTGGCGGTGTTACCTCTCCAGAGGGAGACGACACCCTCGGAGGCGGCGGTACGCTTGAAGCAGTCACCGATACCGGCGTACTTGCGGTCAAGACGGCCAGCCTTAAGCATCTCATCCTGGTTCTGGATGAGGAGCTTGATACGCTCAATGGGGGCAGCAGCAGTCTTCGAGACGGCAGCGGAGACACCACCCACTAGGCAACAGTTAGTATCAATTCAGTATGTTTCGATCGACGATTCTCCAAAATTAAATCGATTGGTTGAATTATATCGATCGATTGTTGGTGGAATTTCAATGGAACGTACTCAGGAAGTCAACGACGAAACCCTGTGAAAATCTTGTTAGTGCATCGTTCGAAGCGTTAAGAACGCTAACTATAACTAGCCAATTCCTATTCTTCAACCCCAGATAGATCCAATGGCCTCTACAGACCGTTAAGACGCTGTAGAGAGCCCCGTCTTACCCGGGATGGTACGAACAGAAACCGACCAGCTCAGCAGCAGGGATACAAGAGCAACTTACGGGCATGCCCAAGACGGACTTGTCGCCCTGGTTAACCTCACCCTTCTTGTCGGCCATGATGACGGAAGTGATGGAAGGAAATGAAGAAAAAGAGGGGAGATGGAGAGTTGAAGGTCAAGACAAGAGACACTTCAAAAGGGGATGGGAGGAGAGAAAAAAAAGAAAGAGGGAAAAGAAATAGCGAGCGAAGGGCTCTTGTAAGCGGGAAGAAGCGAGCGGAGCCACACTACACCTAATAAGGCTTAGTGCGAGAACAAAACAGAGGGAGAAAATTTCGATTCCGGCGCTAGTGCTGGCCCGGGCAACGCAGCCGATATCTCCCGATGTACAGTATCATGTATCAACATGTGTATCAATTGTATCAAACAACAGTTCTCTGTACAGAGTAGTTTAAAAAAGGGTTTGAGGATTCACTCGGACGATTCATGGACTAATTAATCCTTCTCATATTAACCAAAAATGCACTCCAGTGTTCTTGTTTTACTGGGCTGTCACCCGGTAAAGCCTCTCCGCCCGCCCACCGATTGCGCGCCCACACCGGGGGGTTATCCCATTGTTCCCTCCGAGCGTCCGGTAGCTAGACCTTTGGATCGCTGAACACCATGGATCATGAACATTGGATACGATAATTCTTTTATTTCAATTGACCATACAAAATCTTGTTTACAGGGTAAGTTCCCTCACTGATCTCTCCAAGAGGAAATGCCGGATTTCGCCATACCGACAGCCTCCGGTCATGCGTGTCACGGGACTTCGGATCTTGATGCCGAGTCCATGTGCTTGGAGGGGTATGGAGTACTGCAGAACGCCTTACTACTTGTATCAGAGAAAGCCCTGATAGATGTGTATCAATTTTGGAACAATGCCGTGCCAATGCTTGATTTACTGCATTAAGAAAGCACAATAGCTACAGTAGGGGACCCTGGGTACCTGTATAAGGGGTGTGTCTCTCCACTCCCTGATACAGACAGCCAAAAGCCAAATGTGCGCGACATGCACCTACTCATGCATTCGTACAGAAACTCTCGGCCAGAATCTTTTGATGTGTTGATTTTGGATCAAGGATTCTCTCCCCTTCTTTTCTTTCCTGTCTTTCCAAGTAAAATCCTGTCGTGAAAGGTTTGCGTTGCCACTTCCGTACACTCCGCCTGTCCGATTGCAGTGCTCGCCACGCTCCATTCTCTTGTCAAGAGGTAAAAGGGCTAACATAATATTACCCGTACTCCATTCTAAATATCAAAGGCATTGTTTCTAAGCGGACAATCTCTGCTACTCTGTACTGTAGCATTGTACTGTCCACGTCAGGGCCATTGTAGTATGCGGTATATCCGGCTGTACGGAGAAATCCATAATTACCGCATTCGGTTGCATCGCAATGAATTCTAAGTCAATATCGCATCTATCTCGTACAAACAATAAAGGTTGTTTAAATAGCGCTACAAATGCTGTTATCTATATTTTACTATATTGCACGCGCCACCTGTCAATGGATATGTTTCCGATAGTCCAAAGATCTGCCCCGGATTCTAGCAGCGCACGGATAGCAAGGCTTTCAACGGCGCGTGCCAAGTTTTCAGCCGTACAGATAAGGGCAAGATATTGTCAATTCGAGATGGAACTTTTCGTAGAACAGTACAGCTATAGAACAAGCTCGTATGTAGTTGAAAAGTACATCAGGCTTTAATTTATGAACGATCAGAGGTATAAATGTACAAAACACGCCAAATCAGTTCTTGGTCCTTCTTCTCTTCTTCTTCCTGCCACCATCACGAATATCCACATCGCCGCCCTCTTGCTCTTCCTTGGGTGCATCCTTCTCGCCGCCAAATGTAAACTCCGGGCCCTCTTCGTTACCAAAGGTATCCTTCCGCCATTGTCTAACTCGGGCCTTCTTGCCCAGCTTCTTGCGATCTTTCTGTTTCTTCTCTTCCTCGCGGAACGATGCCAGCTTCTTCAACCCCGCGAACTTGTTAAGATGAGTATCATCGGCCATGAGGATGTCCCGAGCGCTAAGACCAAAACTCTGCGGCGATGTTTCACGGTAACGGAAACGGGTTGCGTTCTTCTTGGTCGCACCAGGGAGAAGGTTGATATCCAGGTCCAGGTTGCGGTCTGCGGCCTCTTCAATGCGCATTCGGTCTTTACGAGCTTCGCGCTTCTGGTCACGCTTCTCTTGGGCTTTGCTCTTCTTGCTTGATGATCCCTCTCCATCAGCGGCGTCATCCATCTCAGTGTCAGATCCTTCCATGCTGGGTTTCGGGTTCTCTGCATCAAAGTCGGGAACGATATCTGTGATGTCGATATCATCGTCCCATGTGGGCTTCTTGGGCTTTTTCTTCTTGTCTGCGCTCTCCTCGTCGCTCCCGGCTCCTTCTTCTTCGGCGTAGTAGTCTTCACCAAAGCGCCTCTGCATCTCTTGTTCCCAGTTCTTGCCATCCCAGGCATCGTCCAGGAACTGAGCCCAATCTTCATCCGTGAACCGAGACGCGCGGATACCAGCGACTTCCTTGATTTGATTTACCTTCTCTTGGAGCTGGTCGACTTTGAGCTTGCGTAGACGATTCTTCTCGGTTTCGCGCTGCTTCTTCTCCTCCTCCTTCCTTAAGCGCTCTGCTTCTCTGAGTTTCTTGCGGCCACTCTTTTCTTCTCTGCGAACAGACTGCTGATTCGTAGCATCACGAGCATGGGTAGCGATCCTCTCATTGGCCTTGTTCGGATCCTCGAAACGGAAGTTGTACGCTTCTTCAAATTTTTCTGCCCGTTCTTCCTCTTCTTCATCCTCAGACTCGAATGGGTGAAGCTCCCTGTTGTTGGGGATCCATGCCCTGGATGACATGAAATTCGACAAAAAGTTCTCCGGGTCCCTGTCCGCATTCTCCAAATCCAGCTTGACCTCAGACTTTGGTGCAGGCTCAGGAGCAGACTTGGGAATAAGGAAGTTATCTTCATCGCCATCTGCTGCAGCATGCATCTCCTTGACTACCGCGTTTTTCAAATCCTCTTGTTCTTGGGCGTAAGTCTTAGGCGGTTGAGGTGCATCGTTATCCTCTGCTAAGGCCGCACCGCTCAGGTAGTTCTCCCGGTGGTAATCGCGCAGTGTCATAGGCTTTTCCTGCTTCTTCGAGGTCTTTGGCTGAGCATCGTCATTTTGAGAATAGAAAGTAACGTTCGAATCGTACACCCGAGGGTCTTTGGAACGAATCGCGTTCAGGGTTGCGTCAATTTCGGCATCGAGGGCTTCGGTAGCGAGTTCTGCGTTGTCGTCTTCGTCTTCGTCATCCGATGAGTCCTCTGATGACCCATAATCTTCATCACGATCGTGACGTTTTCCAAGAGAAGAGGTTTTGCCGAATTTTGATTCCACTGCAACAGCAAATGTCAGCCCGTTTCTCAATGGATGCACGTAAATTATGAACAAATTCACATACACTTCTGCATTTCCTCTCTCTTCTTGTTATGCTCAAAGCGACGCGCATACTCCTCATTGACCTTGAAAGAGTCTGCATCAGACTGCTTGCCAATGGGAACTCCGCCGGAGTCGTCGCCGGAGTCGCTGTCGTCGTCGAGCAGCTTGCGCGCTTTTTTCGATGGAGGCTCCATGCTCTTTTTTTTTTTTTTTGTCTTTTGGTAGAAACGCGGTTCCGCGATAATAAATCAATGAATTACAACAGAAGATTTCGTCTTCGACAATTCTAGATTAATTGCACCGGAAACGAAAAAATTGACCATCTAGTGCCGTTCATGGCAGAAAAAAAAAAACCTCGATACCTCACCGCCCTATATTCACCGCCTGATAAACCAGGCAGCAAACCGAGTCACTGACGTCGCGGAAGATCAGCGGCGTGTTCAGTATTGCCCTCAGAAGCGCCGGTGGAGGATCCAAGCTCCCTAAGCCATGATAACTGCCAGCCCCTAACTCCCCTTTCGGATTTTATTGTTGTATTTTACTCGAGCATTATACTGTACATTCCATTGGTAACTCGCTTGTTCATTTTTGACCGTCAATCTTTCCCATTCGTATCAAGTGCATGGCCGCAGACATACACTAGATGTCGACTCAGCCGCAAGCTCCATTGCCCCAAATCGGGAAGCTGGTCAGCGTGGTGTAAGTTCAGGGGAAAGAACAAATTGCGACCTTTCTTCCAGGAACTTCCAAGGATCATTGCTTATTGTTTTTGTCTATTAGTCCCGTTGGGCTCAAGGAGGCTGCTCTCGACTCCCCGACCTTCCGAGCGACTACCCTACACTTTTCGGACCAGATCGAGTTTCTCGAACGATGGCTCGATGGCTACGCGAAATCTGCCTCGAGGCTCACCTCTGAGCTTGCGACCCTTGAGAGTACAGTGGGAAGCTTTCTCTCCTTCTCTACAAACCCCCTTGCCGTGTCCGAAGCCGTTCTCGACCATGATTATACTCTGCTGTCGATGAGGAGGAGTGGTGACGGCTCCAGAGATCTTTGGAATGGATTGGTCAGCAGTACTAGAAAGCTGGAAATGCTTGTCGCAGAACCGATCAGGGTGTTTATCCAGGAAGACTTGAGGAGCTTTAAGGAATCTCGTCGGATACTCGAGCAGACGCAAAAACAGTACGATTATCTCTACTCCAGATATTCATCGCATAACAAGTCGAAGGAGCCCTCGGCCATACGTGAAGATGCTTTTCAGCTCCATGAGGCCCGCAAAGCGTATCTGAAGGCGTCAATGGACTTTTCCGTACGAGCTCCGCAAGTGCGAAACGCTCTCGACAGACTACTAGTTCGGGTTTCATTCGACCAATGGCGGGAGTTCAAAACCATGCATAACAACAATGGCGCAAACTTTGGAAAATGGGGCCAGGAGATGGATCGCATAAAGGGCTGGATACATGAGATGGAAGGAAGCGAGAAACTGTCTCGCCGGGAGCTACTATCCGCCAGAGATCAGATTGAGGAGACCGCAGAGACTGCATTCAGGCCATCTCGCGAGCTGGAAGACTACTCCATATCGACGATCCCATATCTTGGTTCCCGCCCTTTGTCGGGAGAGAATATGACCGCTGAAGCTAAACCGGAGAAGCAGGGGTGGGTTAACCTCCGGACACTTACAGGCAAGCCTACCCGGACTACCTGGGTCAAGCGCTGGGTCTTCTTGAAGAATGGAATCTTCGGTTGTCTGGTGCAAGGCTCCCGGACTGGTGGTGTGGAGGAAAGCGAAAGAATAGGCGTCTTGCTTTGCAACGTTCGACCGGCTTTTCAGGAGGAACGAAGGTTCTGTTTCGAGGTTAAGACCAAGAACAACAGCATCATGTTGCAGGCGGAGACACAGAAGGAGCTTATGGAATGGATCTCTTCTTTTGAGGCTGCTAAGCGGAAGGCCCTGGAGCACCCAGCAAGTACTGACCTTTCGGTCTCTGGCAAGATGACAGTCCAAGATCCAGCTTTTTCGATCTCACAGCCCCCTGCTCCCGAGTTCTCTGCAGATCCGTCTGAATCGCTCACCCCCAACGGTGATGAACCAGGCTCGTCTGATCGTGGGATTCTTTCTCTGCCTGAGCGTGAGCCATCTGCTTTTAGAGCCAGCACTGAAATTGGGAGCAGGCGGTCTACTGGACCTGATTCGGAGAATTCGCCGCGAGAACATACATCCCGGCTTATCCAGAAATTGGACCTCCATCGCAAATCAAACAACGCTGCGCAGTCGTCTAGTCCTCTTCCCTCTGTTGGAGGTGGCATAGCGAGCCTCATCACTGCCAGTCATAATGCTATTCCTTCCATGCCAATCGGTGTACCAGATAGCGATTCGGCTAGGGGGCGTAGTCTGTCCAATCGCAGTCTATCCAATCGCAACGCACCTTACACAACTCTTGCGCCTTTCACCTTGGCAAACCCGCCTGCTCCTACAAGCATGAGCAAGGCTGCCGTGATAGTAAGTAATGAAAGGGGAATTGGCCTGGGACAATCAGATAGCACTGGGGGAATGCCTAGTGGGATGATGGCGAATTTATGGGGCAGCTCCAACTGGGGTTTTGTGAACAGATTTGAGCACGAGCGCCTAGGTCAATTGAATGGTACGGCGTCTGACCAGCCACCGCCTACACCGATGAGCGATTCTTCCAAGCATACTGGCGCAGACGCGGATACCCCAACAGCTACGAAGCCGAAATCTGGGCCTGGACATAGACAAACCCTAAGCCTTGACGGGAGTTCACCGACCGTTGTAAAGCCGGTTGCTTCGTTTGAACATCCCAGTTTCTACCCCCTGCAGCTGAGGATACAGGATGCTCAGTTCCGATTGTTCTTCCCTAATGTGAAGCGAGAAGAGCCTTTGGTTCTGGTTATCAGAGCCACGTGGAGTCCAAATGACCAGCAGGAGTTCCCTGGAAGAGCATACGTGACAAGCCGAAATATATACTTCTACAGCAACTATTTCGGGCTGGTATTGACTACCAGCATTGCTTTGGATACGATCAAAGAGGTGACTGCTGCCTCGGGAAGAGATTGCGACTTCTTGTTCCTTCATTTTGTCCCTCCCATAGGGACTGACACTCCTGGTCGGGGTACTGTCAAGACGTTCCTTGAGCCACTAAGACTTCTCCAAAGGCGGCTCAATTTCTTGATACAGGATTCGATAGCTGTCGAGCCGTTGGGATTGGAGGATATTCTCAAGACTCTGACGAAGATGGAGTCGGACGGGCCGGCACGGGACCCTAGCTCGGATAGCTGGGAAGATATGGCTGGCGCAGAAAAGGCCATTGATGGATCTATCGACCATAAACCCAGACAGGAATTTCGGGCTCCGATATTTATCGAGAAAGACCTGGGAATAAGCCCACCGAAGGCTGGCAACGGTAGGGATGTGGCGAAAGTCAGACTACCGACCCAACCTGTGAACTATGTGCCTCAAGGCAACCTTGCGCTTGCGGCTGAGAGGACCTTTAATATCAGCGCTAAAGCGTTGTTCCATATCCTCTTTGGTGACAATAGTGGCGTTTGGCAGCTGCTTCTACATGAAAGACAGGCTCGAGGTGAGTTCCACTGGCGTGATTGAAATGAGTCCCGGCTAATTAGGCTTGAAGATATCAAACAAGGGCCGTGGGTTAGCAATGAATCGCGTCACCTACGACGGCAATTGACTTTCCAAATAGAAACGGCAGGCTTGATTGGTATGTCTCCTCTTGAAAATCCATTGGGACCATTCCAGCTAACCATCTTGTTGTTAGGGCGGACGGAAGGAATAGAAATTTCTGATTATCAGATTATTGATGTGCTCAATGACCATCTGTGTTACGTCGTCACTGACAAGCGGACTCCCTGGCACCTACCATTCAAACGCTCGTTTAGGCTAGTCAGCAAAGTTGTGATTACCTTTGTCTCTAAATCGAAGAGCAAACTTGCTATCTACACCAAGGTCGAGTGGTTGTGGAGACCTTATGGCTTGCAAGGTGAGTCTTTTTTTTTTTTTGTATGTTTACTTGGACTGAATCGTTGCTAATGATCCCAGGTATCATCAATAATCAAGCAATTGGCGATCTCGAGCAAGATGCCTTGGATCTTGTTGATCTTGTCAACGAGCAAGTGCGAAAACTTGGCGCCCATGGTCGCACGAAGAAGGCTATTTCGGTATTCGGTCACGTAGGTCGCCAGAACCAGGCGTCTCAATTGCCACCCAATGGATCCAATATGAATGTGGAGCCCCGCAAACCGCGACAGCAGAGGAGCCTAGTTCAACTTTTGTTTGAAATGCTCACTTCCTTTGGGGAAACTGCGATTTCGTCGGTGTTCATGTCGATTTTCGCCTTTTTGTGCTGGACGTGGAAGACTGCAAATGCGAACAAAGTTGTATTGCTCCTTTTGCTGTCAAGTGTATTCTTCAATATGCTTTATTCGTCACAATTTGCTTATGAGTGGAGGTATGAGAAGAATGCAGGTAACTTCATGGCTCGTCTAGGGGTTCACCCGGACAATGTCATGACCAAAGCGGTCTATTTGAGAGACATCGATGAATTAATCGCCAACTCGACAATTGGACAAAGTCCTGACAACGTTAGCGATTGCTTCTTCACATTCCACGAGCAACTGATGCGCGACCAAGCCACCCCGCTCTCTCTTGGAGCAACAGGCCCCAGAGACGCCGTGACCAAGAGCGCAACGAAACGAATCCAGCAGACGCGTGAGCGCCTCGCCACATACCGGCACAATCTCCTCGTGGCTCTTCGCGTGGTGAACAGTATCGAACGAGAAGTCATTCAGAGCGAATGGGAGCGTTGGCTACGGCAGGAGATCCGACGCTGTGGCCAGGTTGAGGTTCTCCTTGGCAAAGATAATGGGGACGATGAGGCCGAGGTGCAAATGGACACCGTGTTTGCCGAGTTGACAGACGACGTTGAGCAGTGGTATGGTAGATACTGCACCAGCTGCCAGAAAGAACAGGATTTTATTGAATTGAGTGGCCGTAGTTATGGGAGTGCATAGACATGACAACTCCCTTGGACCCCCCTTGTACATAATAAGGTTGGTTTCTGGGTTGATTTTATATATATATTTTGGTTCCTTTTCTGCAGTTTTTGGAAACGATACCCTGTTGTGGTTTTTCCTGCGGGAAATCATTCCGTTTTACTCTTGACTATCCTCCCAATGTACATTATTATGTCAATTGCCCGGTCAATCGAATGATACAATATGAATATTACGAAAGCTGCATATTCGGAGACTAATTAACTAAATAAGTGAGTAAAGATGTCGTATAAAACTGAAATAATTTAATAGAACATAAAATCAAACTCATTTCAATAACAAGTCCTCGATGGTCTAGTGGTCATGATTTCCGCTTGTCAGCTTAACAACTGCAAGCGCGGGAGACCTGGGTTCGATTCCCAGTCGGGGAGTTTCTTTTTGCTTTTTTTTTTTTCACACTTGTCCAAATTTTTATCTATCCCTCTGGAGATTACATTCGTTATTCATACGTGCTATTCTACTTGCGTGTGATACGATGCTAATACTCAGGCCACTCCGGATCTACTTGTCTTCTCCAGGCATGCAGTCCACCCTGTATATCACCAATGAATCTCTGCCCTCCACGGTCCAATCCAAGTTCTTTAAGCCTCTTCACGGCAACCTGCGAATCATTC